CCCTTCTTAGAGACGAATGCTTTCTTCAATAGAAATAGAGGAAACTTGTTGGGTCGATTTCATTTTCTTGGAAACAAAATGTTTAATTTTTCTCTTTTTTTATTTACAACACTCTTAGCCTAGAAAATTTCATTTTCTACTAAAACTTTTGTGAACCAAGAAACAGGCCAAAATAACCTTCCATTGCCCCTAAGATCCTAAGCTTCTCTTTCGAAGGAAACTACCCATCCTCGTTCCTCTTCCTTTTCCTTATATACACAACATTGTTTCCATAGAAAGATCGTCTATCTGAAAGCATTGTCGGATTTTTAGATATTTTTCTTTGTTCGACGTACCTTTTGCTCGTGTCAATAGAGGTTGTTCGGTTCTTTTGAACTAGGCAAGGTGGTGCGCGCGCCTGTGTAGTCAGGTGTGTTGGTGAAATGGTTTGTCGACGATGGTCACAAAGATTCCCTGGGTCTGTTTGCTCGAATCGAGCTGGAATCGAAAGCGAGCGGGTTTGGTTTCGTTGCATTTTTAGCCGGGATATTAGTCGTGTCTTTGTTTTTTTTTTTCTTCTTTAGAAAAAAACGAAAGTTTCAAAATGTAAATCTTTGATAAAAATGGGTGAGAGAGTTTAACGGTCGTTTCGGGAATTTCTTCGCCTTCGTGACGAAGAAAATTACAAGCCAAGGGCTAAAGTACCTAAGTCGAGCTTCCACGCTCAGCGTAAAGTTTCTCTCTTGTTCTCCAATTAACCCGAATTACACTCCGGCCTGTGTGCCGGACAAAAGCTCCTTCCCAGTGCTTCTCAACTTGAACCGAACGCCAGCGAGTAATTGCACAATTAACTCGGTGAATTAATTCCTTCTCCGTCTTCGCGTCGAACCGTTCTATGCGTCTCTTGCCACCGTCACGATTACCAGGAAATGGAATCTGTTTGAATCTGTCACACTTCGCGGTGACAATTAATTGTGCGAAATAAAAAGTTTCAAGTTTGCATTGATAAATTTATGAAATATTTGAAATTAGATATTCCCTGAAAAGAGAATAAGGTTGCAAGGCGCATTTCTCCAGCGGGCACAGCTGCGGGACTTCTTTTATCCAGCTGGGGAAGGACTCGGTCGTCCTTCTAGGGCCACATAGGACTTCTTTTCTCTGGTCGCGTTATATCCTGCCAAGGGCAGAGGGAAGCTCCCTGGAGGCCCGACTCGTTTCCAACTGGGGCCACTGGCCCCGGTACGTGGGATATACCGGACGACCTTGGGCCTCACGGCCAATTTGCGAGGTCCATTCCCTACAGATGGGCCCTTACAGCCGTCTTATTAGCCAACCTCCTCTCCTACGTCCTCGGCATTCTTTTTTCAATGCTCACTTTTGCTCGCGTTTAGAACCTCTGTTACAACGAAATTTTCAGTAGCCATTTCTATCTGCAATCATAAGACGCATACGGTGCGATCGAGCGAATGCTATTCCACGTGTCGTGAAAAAATCAATTAATTTAATTGCACCGAGCGAACGTGCAGCGCCTCTACTTGACGCGTTGACATTGAAAATCTTAAACGGCGATCGAATGACGACGACGACGACCACTTCCTTTGAAAGTCCGTCTTTAGTTCTCCTGCCATTGCGGAAACGTGGCTCGAGCAGGTACTACGTAATTGCAGCGAATAACAGCAGGCTTGAAAATATCAATTCATTAGTGATAGATATTCGTTCGTATTTTGTCGCGGCGAAACGATGAACGAGTAAGTAGTTTATCTTCGGTTTACATAACTTTTCGCCCAATCGCGCGATTCGATTCGATACGGGGGTATCCCCTTGTGGTACCTTAAAATGTTCTCCGTTAAGTGCGGGTAAATTCCACGATGACATCGTTACGAGCGTAATTTAGTAAATTATCGTTAAATGGTAGTAAAAATTTCCAAGGGTTCACGACCCTTAATTCAGGAAATTCTGAACGGAACTAAAGTTGAAAATGCAAAGAACGGTTAACGAGCAATTCCATATCGCTGATATGTACAAGCGATGCGTCGCGTCGGTTCATTTTCCCAGGTGTTGTTTCACGACACGTGTCCATTAAAGTCTCAATGTCAGCGTATGCAGAGGCACGTACAGCGATGAAACGTTCTGCTCTGTTCGCTGTTTTATCGAGAGCATTATCGTACGACATGAGCCCTGCGCGTGAAAACAGCCAAGGCTCACGGTCTCTTCGGTCTCTCGGGACTGGTTCTTCTTCCGACGATGCTTCTGCTGGCTCCTTCCTTCTCCTCCTTCTTTCTAGAGTTTCGTCCATGTACTTATGGTAGATACGCCTTTGCTCGCTTTTAATTCCTCCCGTCTGGTCGTTAGCGACAAGATGGCGCGTCCAAAACCAAATCGTTGTCCGTTGTCATCGTCGAAGCGCCCTTGAAGAGAGTCAGCCTTTGTCTTATCACACTCAGCTTGCGCCAGCCATCAGCCTTGACTTCGCCCCTCTTTTTACTCCTCCTCTGCTGACTGTGCTGTGAAAATCGACCGAACGATGGCAGCCATGGCAGCCCAGCGAATTATCGCTTCTAGTTCCATTTTTCTATTTTCCCCAGTAGTGGAAGGGTGATGGTATTTCGATTCGGACGGGTGAGAAATTCTTATTGCGATCAATAAAACCTCGTTACGATAACGATTATCTAATAATATGATTATGTAATTGTAAGTTTGTCTCCTTCCACTGTACAAGATAACCGATTAATCGATATTCTTATTGAGATGGACATTTTCCTACCTCTTTTTGCTCGCTCGCTGTCCTATCGCGTCGACGTACATATCTCGGGGAATTTCAGCGAGTTTTCCGGCGATAGCGGCCTCGTCCGGTTTCCGATTTCTGTCGACCATCTCGAGTTTCGCGTCTTCCATCGTCCTCGTTTCTGTTCGTGTTGATGCCAATCGTTCCCAGCTGCAACGCGAATTTATTGAATTTACCGTGGAAAATTGAAATGATCCTCATGAAAAATATGGAGGATCGATCGTTACGCCAGTCAGAACAGAACTGGACCAAAGTTTGGAAAGGCAGCTTTGTAACGGAATGAATAATAGGACGAATAAAAAGGGATTTCGTAAAATCGATTCTATAGAAACTTAGCCAGACGTTCGTTCACTGTAATTGCGTTGTTTCGACTTAGTATAGGCGGTTTTCACCCAACTTCCTCGTTTTCACCGGTGAGCACTGTTCTACTTTCCCCTGGGCTGAGCGTTCTCGAGCTGAGCCCACGCCTCCATCGTTCAACAGATTCGAAATCAGTTGGCCCGATTGACAAATTCACTCGATTGACTAATTGCTCATTTTTAACGAGGGTATAACACGTACCTTTCACGAAATTCTGTGCGCCTTTTAAACGGATAATCAACATCTCAATGGATTTTCTTTTGCACCTTGCCAACAAATTTTTAGACTCTTCATTAACTCTTTCAACGTGGCCAATAAAATGTTGATAATTTCTAAAATATTTTTAGTATCGAGTCGTGCTTTGGTATAGCGAGTTATTATGAGACAATTTTCTAAATAAAGTCTCTGTAGTTCACCTGGAATGATCGTAAAGTCATTCATCTTCCGGCAAAAGAGTGTGCCCCGAATAGCGGCGTCCTCTTCCCCCATTTCGCCTGACGCTTCTCTTTGTATCTAGCGCAAAAGCAACGTGGGAGTAATGTGGAAGTGAAAGTTGGAGCAAACTGATGGCGGAGAGCTAGTGCAAAAGGCGCCAGTTAACATGTCCACGGATAAGAGGTTTAACGAATGGATGTATCACCAAAGATTTATGATTTTCGCTAACTTTTAGTACCTATTAGTATTGCAACCAATTTGGAAAGTGGCGAAATAAAAATTTTCTTTGCTGTTCCAAGTCGGTTAAACTCGGTGAAAATGAAATTGATTGGCAAAAAACGGTGTTACTGAGTTTCGTGACTCTCGGTCGATTTCCAGCGCGTACTTTCTCAAATTGTCTTTCACCGGATTGATAAAAATTTTCTATCCTCTTTCAATTCGATCGCGTTTCAGCCAAGTAAAAGCAACGTAATCGCGTGATTTCTCTTATCTGTTCGTCCACTTTTGCTGTTCGCAAAGAGCCAGTTGAAAAGTGAAATATTTTTGGAATAATTCTGTTATTTTGACAAATAGATTCTTGAACGCAGAGTTAAGTACCTAATCTTGTGGAATAGGGGGATTTCCATATACAATCGCGTTTCCAAGGGGTAACATCCGTTTCGGAAACGAACCGACGCGGTTTCCAGACAGATAAAACACTCCTTATCAAAGAGGATTTACCTTGTTTCGATATCGCGGTTAACCATATGCATACGCTCGATCGTACGTGTGTTATATGTGTACACTCGAACCGTATGTAGTTCACCTTTTAACGTAACCGGAAGCCGGTTTGTCCTTTGGAAGGGGATAAACAGTGATATTAACCCATCCGGTGTCCCAGCCGTTCGGCAATAGTTTTCTCCACCTATACCGAAACAAGTTAAATAAAAAGTAGATGCAATTGACTTCCATTGTCCTGTCCGATCGAAAGGTTAAGACTAGAGTAAGCTCGAATGGGCAGGGTTCCTCCAGGCTAGAGGTAAAAGCTTGTAGGTCCGATGAACCTGCGAGGCTAATGTACTCGACTCTATGATGCTCGAACAGTTCCGTACTTGGCGCACGTGAGTACCATCGCGTGCCCTGCATACCCTTCTTTCTTTTTCTTCTATCCCTTTTTTCCTTCCCTGTCTTCCCTTATCCACCATACCCTTCTCTCCTCCAAGAATAACGAGACTCGTTCACGACGTCACCTTGTTGTTGCGTCTCGATCAACCGTGGATTGACCTTCGTTCGAAGAATTCTTCTGATCGCTTCGACCTCTAGATAAATTGGATTCGCTCGATTTCATTTACTGTAGTATCCTTCGAGGAGATGGGTAAATTGGAAAAAGAGTGTAATTTTTTCCGAGACCAGGCTAACTGGAAATAACCCGTTAATCTGTATGTATATTTTTCTGTTGCAGACTTGCGGTGAGCGACTGTGCGCCTCAAACGTCGCGGGTCAGCTCAAACTTGCACAGCAGCAGTAGTATGGCAGTAAGCCGTGTACCAAGCCCTCCACCACCGGAAGTGAACACCCCTGTGGCAGAGAATTGGTGTTACACGCAGGTACGCAGCTCAGTATGGAATATTCTTCTCTGCTTCTTAATCGTAAAACGAACAATTTCATTTGATTTATTTATTTATTAAGATAGAAATTAGGCTACGTAATAGGGTGTCTCTGCTTGTCTCGTCTGATGATATCCTTACTTTTTAGTCTGAAAATGAGAATGACCTGTACGGCAAATTTCGCGAATTTCCACGGGAAAACGTTTCCATGCTCGGGTCAGAGATGAGGGTAGAGAAGAGAAGAGCGAGATATCTAGTTGCAGGTCATTCACATCGCGAGGGGACGAGTAGTAAAAATAGAACAAGAGCGCCAGGAGCGCGTGCTCTCACGCACAACCATGAGGACGATCGTATCGACCATCCAGCTGAAGGAGATGATACCTCTTTCTAACCAAAATCCAACGTACCTAGACCCCTGAAATTATAGATAGCTAGAATTAGGTTTGCTAATTAGTAGGAAGTAGCATCAAGTGGAATTTACTCGAATGAAAGATCAAAGTGCATTTTGGTTAGCAAATGGGACAGGATGATAAGCAGGTTGCGAGAGAATGGAGTCGAGGTTTGGCCTGTAATTCGAACCACGCTTTCTACGCTTTTATCGAGCCCATCGATCGCCGGCTACCGCCAGTTGCGACAGATTCGACGACGATGGTGCGATTGCTGCACCAGGCTCTCCCGGTTGCCGCTGACGAAGCGAAATCGGCGTGCATTACGAAAGTTAACTGGAGCACGAATCGACTTTCGATTCGGTGCTAAACAAGCCTCTCTCTCCAGTCACCGTGGTGTGCTCTCCTGAAAACCGAGAGTACTCTTCGATCGGTGCAACAGAGTTTCGCTCAACACTTTCGAACCCGCTGAGGTAGCGTTTTACCTCGCATTTACAATTAGTAGTAATTAGCTAATGAAAATTCTTCAGAGAACATCAAAGTCATAATGTATCGCGTTGCTCTCTTCAGAGAATTTCTTAATCGTTCTATACCTGATAGAGTCACCTGAGAGGTCGCTCGTCGCTTCATTTACATATCGTTATCTCTTTTGAGACACGTGTTAGTCCCATAGCTTCTTGTCTCCTCGTAGGGTAAAGAGCTCGTTATCTTGGACACCGTGGACGATTTTCACGGCGATTCTTCGGATAGGATCGTTTACCTTTGCCAAGGTAGCTACATGCTCGAGCAGCGTGTCCAGGATTCAACCGGAAGCTTCGACTTGGTCTGCTGCTTGAACCCGCGCACGCCGCTCCCGTAAACGGGCACGGGTGATTCAAGGCCGATCGTCGACGACCGCGGGTTGAACGACTCCCGGGGCGTCGACCGGCTCTCTTCTTCTCCTTTTCTTCTATGCGGAAACACATCTTCCTATCACTTCCGACCACATGCTCCCTTTTCTAGACAAATTTCATTCTTTTTTTTTTTTTTTTTTTTTTTTTTTTTATAATAATTTCACCATGCCAGAGTTAAAAGGTACCGAAGTGTTTCTTACGAATTTACGAGCACCAATATATGTAGCAGATGTTGAATCTGTCTGATGCACGTAACAGCCTCTGCCGAATGTTATTTCACCTGAAAATAGCTTGAAAGTCCTCCTTCGTATGATGAATTATATCTGCCGGCTTGAAACGTTCTAAAATTTCGCGTACATGCGAATCCCTAACGGTTTGTCTATCGATCGAATCGTGTAGATTATTAAAAAAAAAAAAGGAAAGATAGTTGGTCTTTGACCTAGCTCGTTCATGAAACGCATGATTCAAGGACAATTATGAACGATCATCGCGAGTTGAACGACTTCGGGGCCATCGACCGTATACACCTCTGGTTCCTCGTTGCCATGTTCCAAGGAAACGAACGAATCATATCGATATTCTCTCCTCCCACCTGGATAGTTTAACAGTACCCCAAGGCCCGGTTAACAGTATCTACAGATTCACAGGTGACCACTGATTTAATAACAAATCATTCTGTTTGCAAATTTTCTACTTTTTTGTCACTCTATTTCATTTAATTCTCATTATCATAAGCGTTTATTCGCTGTTTGCTCGATCTAATTGCCGATCGAATTTTGCAGCATCGTCGTGCGTAAATCTGACGTAACAAACAGAGGGTCACTGTGCGAATACCGTGATCGTGGCTTAACGAAAGGAATACACATGAACCTCGTGTTCGAGGGGATCAATCAAACGTGTAGGCAGACTTGGACACCGTCCAACACGTACTATTACGTAGAGGATACGGAATTAGATTCGAAAAATAATGCTCTTCGATCTCTACGAGACCATTCGAGATACTTTTATTCTTTTTTTTTATAATACTTGGTCACTACATTGGAAAAATATTCGTTGAAATGTTTCATTGAAAGAAAGGTGTACCGTAAATGAAATCATGGTAACGTCCAAGTCAGGCCCATAAGAAGATTGAGTTTCACGGTTCTCATGGAACGAAGAAACATTTTCCGACCATGAACCGTCCTAAGACGTAACTGGTTACGAGATTACACGTACAACAAGCGTACGTTGAACCTACGAGATAGCCACCGAAGGTCACGCCAAAGTCTGAGGATCGTCGAACTTGGTGTGCGCACGCGAGTACACGAGCACACCAGCTCTTTTCAACTCTATCTATCACCTTGGGGAAAAGGAATTCGTAAAAACCTATTAGCTTGTTACAGGGTTAATGATCAATTTCAAAGTATCAGAAAATCCCACAAGTGGGGCGTATCGATTTAAAGGGCTGTTCGTTAGAAAGCGAACTAGACAAACAGATTGGACTTTGGTCTGGACTTGGTTCACCAAGGTCGTGTACTGACGTGACGTCAGGGATCATTGACTCCTGGGTCTTCCTCTTCCTCTTCCTCCGACTCTGTCTTTTCCTCGCTTTCGTCCTCTTCCACAGTTTAGATGGTCCATTCGAAGGTTTTCCTTTGCTCGTCACTAGTGTCAGCAGCGGAAGTTGACCTACACGCGTCGTCGTCACGTATCGAAACGGAAACAAGCCGTGTCCAAGATCGATCGTGAAACGGAACCGTTCGCCACCTTTCTTTCATGCAACTCGTTATGCAACTGATGATTATCCACGTTGACACTTGGAGCCTCTTTTATTTTCTTAGATCGTTGCGTAAGAAGAAGACTAAAACGTATTTTTCTTTCTTTTTTTTTATTTCAATAATTACTGGATATTTGAATGAATTCCAAGTTTTTACTTTTAAGCTATCCATGAGCTATCAAGGTGTTAATATTAATAGCAACGATGAACGCGTTAATTATAAGATTAATTAATCAATTAACTCCTTTCCCGTTTACGTGCACACACGAGTCAGAATAATCCGAGTTTTATCGGATCATCGTCATCGTTCAATCCCTAGTGCATATTTCACGAGCGTAACGAGTATCGTAAAGGTTAATTCCTTTTTTCTGCGCGTTTCTTCCATTTTTTTTTGTCAAGGTAATTACGTAAGAGATAGAAGTTCAATTCGACCCTGGCTCTCTGTCCTCTCTCTAGCACGTGATTTCGTACTTGTAGTACTTCTCCCAACTGGTAGGTCCGTCCGCTAACATACAAGGCCATGGATCAATTTAGTCGTAGGAACCTTCGACGTTCCTCTCGAAAAGAACTTCCTCTCTTCGCTATGTTCTTTCTCTTGTTTTCGAATCACGCAACGAAACTAGCGAACAAATATATCCGAGGACGAGGATATACCATTTCGTGCTGTTTCAAAAGACACAAAATTTAGCAAGCTTGCGGAATATTCCTCGGTTATATCTGTTATTTCAACTATTATAATATTCTAATTGGGGTAAGTCAGGAAATTTCTTGTAAATTCAATATCGTTGTATTGTAACATGGTAATAAGTTCGTCACATTGTTAAAATGGCTCGTTGAGAAAGAAAGAAAAAAAACGAATTTGAATAGCCTTTAGCGTAGAGATAGATTAAGCTAGCTTCCACGAGATATATTCTGACGTGGTGTCGCATTTGAAGGTCTTGTGTGCACAGGTGAAGGTGGTTAAGTTCAGCTACATGTGGACGATAAATAACTTCAGCTTTTGCCGTGAGGAGATGGGAGAAGTGCTGAAGTCGTCCACGTTCTCAGCTGGGGCCAACGATAAATTAAAATGGTAAGGTCGCGGATTAAAGATTATGGCTGTGTTTTGTTCGTCCCCGAGCGACACCAGTCCAAAGATATTTATTTCTTCTTCTTTTTGTTTTTTTTTTCTTTTTCTTTTTCTTTCAATTCCATCGTAGATGAAATAATCCAACAGAAAAAAAATTGTTTAAGATTCTTTGCATTGCATACCAACTATACGTAATATGTATACATTAAATTGTTTTATCAAATTCATACTAAACTTTGCTAGGGTGCAAACTAATTATCACATCTGCTGTTATTAAATTAATACTTTCAGAATTTTTACCTTCAGAACATTTGTTTTTATTTGAATTTTACACTAAAAAATTGCGAAGATCTCAGCGTATTAACTTTAACATGCACGCGATATCGCGTGTTACCTACTCAACGAAAATTGAATGACATCCCATCATTTCTGTAAATAATAAAAGCAACGAATCGAGAAAATGTTGAAAGAATCAGGAATTTACATATCATCGGTATAATTGATTTTAGGTGCCTAAGAGTGAATCCTAAGGGTCTGGATGAGGAGAGCAAAGACTACCTGTCTCTATATCTCCTTCTCGTATCGTGCAACAAATCCGAAGTCAGAGCAAAGTTCAAATTTTCTATTCTTAATGCCAAAAGAGAAGAAACCAAAGCAATGGGTAAGTTTTGAATCATGCGAAACGGATGCAATGCAGGGTATTTTAAAAGATTTTCCTTTTTTCAAGAAATCGTCAACACACACACACACATACACGATTCACATCGAAGAGTTACAATTTTTAAAAAAATAAAACATTCTTTTTCTATCTACACAGTGTAAAAGCAATGTTTGTTTTTTGTTTTTTTTTTTTCTCGAAAATTATGAAAGGGCTTGGAAACAGCACCGAAGATACGTTCTCTGTTTCTTAATTATACCCAGTTTTGTGCTAGTTTCAATGTCTCTTTCAGAAATAATCAAGTCTTTGTTCAAAGTGAATGTAATTTAAAAAGAAACCTTGTAACTTTGTGCTTTCAGAGAGCCAACGTGCTTACAGGTTCGTCCAGGGTAAAGATTGGGGATTTAAGAAGTTTATTAGGAGAGATTTCCTGTTGGACGAAGCGAACGGACTGTTGCCCGACGATAAACTCACGATATTCTGTGAGGTATATACCTTTGTATGTTACTTAATACTTGTCCAATTTTACAAGTACCGTGTGCGACGAACGAAATAATATATACTGGCTATGTGATACGTTTACAGGTCAGCGTGGTGGCGGATAGCGTGAACATTTCCGGTCAAAGTAATACTATACAATTTAAGGTGCCAGAGTGTCGGTTGCCGGACGATCTGGGCCTACTTTTTGAAAACCAAAAATTCAGTGATGTCACGTTAACCGTATGTGGGAGGGAATTTCAGGCGCACAAAGCCATACTTGCAGGTAGATCCACTTTCAAAATGGTTGTAAAAAAAAAAAAAAAGAAACATTCGCGAAAATTAGCATATTTGATTTTTATCAATCCAGCACGAAGTCCCGTTTTCTCGGCGATGTTCGAGCACGAGATGGAAGAAAGGAAGCAGAATCGAGTGGACATTACCGACGTAGATCACGAGGTGTTACGAGAAATGTTGCGATTCATATACACGGGAAAGGCAGCGAATTTGGAGAAGATGGCAGACGATTTGTTAGCCGCGGCGGATAAATACGCGTTGGAAAGGTTGAAAGTGATGTGCGAGGAAGCGCTTTGCACGAGTTTAGCCATCGAGAACGCGGCGGACATCCTTATTCTTGCTGATCTCCATAGCGCTGATCAGCTAAAGGCACAAGCCATTGACTTTATCAACACGTGAGTCATTTTTTTTTTTTTCTTTTTAGCCAGCAGAATAAATTTCTCGCCACACTATCACTGGCTCCAAAGGTGATTGAAAAAAATTCTTATACGCGTTTTTCTTTCTTTCCTTCGCTAATATAGACACGCGACAGACGTGATGGACACAGCGGGTTTCAAGTCGATGGTAAACTCTCATCCGCATCTGATAGCAGAAGCGTTTCGCGCGTTGGCCACTCAACAAATTCCACCGATCGGACCGCCCAGGAAACGAGTGAAACAGAGCTGAAAACAATCACCGTTGACACCGGGCACGACCTCCACATCGCCCCCGCCTATTTTGCATCCCTCATGACTTTTTTGTGTACAGTGATACGACGAGTAGTGCTAAATAAATGTTTCCTAGTGCGCCATCCTCTGGTCCACTTTGAACTTTGAAAAAGGAACCGCGACGGACGATTGTCGCCGTGATTCTATCCGACCGATATTTAATCGTTCGTTAGAAAACAACTCTCTTTGGCCAGTTCAAGGCAAGATACACCAGTAAAAGATCCATGGCTAACATAGACTCTGTTTATATTATAATTCAGTGAAATCGTCGACGTTGAAAAGGGAACTATCACAGAACACACAGATGGAGAATGGGAACGTGTGCCACGCTGCTTCAACCGTGTATACACACGACGAGAGGAATCTCAGGATACACAAACAGACACAATGATGCACGAAGGAAGTTGTGATAGACGTCGATCCAAAACGATTAAAAAAAAAAAAAAAGAAAAAAAAGATTTTGTTCCTTTATCAAGAAAGAAAAAAGTTGTACGGATCAAACGAGAATTTTTGTCCCACGCTTGTTGGTTCGTTCGTTATGGCGCCACGAGCAAGGAAAAGAAAAACATTAGATACTATGTTTATTAAAGATAGTGATTTTTAGTTTAAAGAGAAGAAAAAGAACGTCGAATTCTTCCAAGGACGGAGAAAAATGATTCTAGTTAGTGTTTTTTATGATCTCTTTCTCTCAACATGTACGACTACTACTATGATTATTATTAATGCTACACAATCTGTGCCCCGTATTTTTGTATATTTTTTGTCTGCAGACACTGACCTACGTCCTCTCTTTATGCGGCCTTTTCTCCTCGTCCACCCCTAATTTCCTACCCCCTAATCCTTAGGCACAGTTTGTTTTGTTTTCTTGAGTATTGCATAGTAGATGCAGTGATAGATTCGAATTATTATTATTATTATTATTATTATTATTATTATTATTATTCTATTATTATTGTATTATTATTATATTATTATTATTATTCTATTATTGTATTAAATTTAGGGTTGTCCATAATTTATCGAATTTTATGTTGATTATTATTGAAATGTCTATCCATATTTGTGCGCAGGATACATATGTATTAATTAGATGTGTTATCAAGCATCGCGTTGCAAAAGAAAAAAAAAAAGTCGATAACACACGTGTTATTAGAAGGGAAAAATGATAAAAAAAAGTAAAACTGGTGGACACACGAAGTATAAGAAAAGCAAAAAAAGATGACAAACTTAAAAAGAAATTGTATAAAATAAAAAGTTAGTCAATTATATAGTACGAAGATATTAATCGTTTTTTGTGTAATTAACTATTGAATTGCGAAATTGTGCGTGGTCAATGATCTGAATTATGGGCAACCAAAACCGAAGTAAAGAATAATCATCATTTAGTACCGTACTGGCTTCCTGATCCTCCGATCTAGCTTTACCGAATGTTTTAAATGTGAGATATAATATCTAACCATTACATGGAGTAATGATATTGAAGATTTAATGCCATACATGTTCTGTGATAAGACCACTTGTAATTACCGCAATTGTGTATCACAACCTTTCTAGAATTTCTGACGATCCTGGCAGCCAGTGAATGTATATCTATTAAGGAAACGGTCGCTATATCCGGACAGTCCCAAATCTAGCGTCCCTTTCGACTTTAAGGTTTTTACTGTACATATCTACTGTGTATTTTATAAGAACTGAACCGAACGGAACCATACTTTTAAAATGAAGGGTACAATAACCGACTATATAATTTATTCTATTTTACAGACTGTGCTAAACTCATGTTCCTTGAAACACAAAACACTAGCAATGTTTTAAGTAAATGTAATTGTAATTACGACAAATTAATACGAGATTAGATTGTAATAACGTGTCTCTTTTGATCACGACACGTAAATACGCGTTTCGTATGTCACCACAACGATTAACGCGTTTCTCTGTCGCGATCAGAAAGAATGATATATAATATCTCCTATGGAAACATAGTTAGGAAAGGTTTTTCCACCGTTTTTTACACGATGTTTAATTTCAGTCGTAGATCGTTAGGGCTTACAACAACAAAAAAGAAGAAAGAAAAACGACGAAGCAAGCAAGGAGGAAAAATTAACGACGAAATAATTATTGTAAGCGGTTTAAGGAACAGATTTTGGCCGTGATCGCTCAGATTTTAAAGAAGAAATTTAAAAGTGAAAAATGTCTACGTCCATTCTTATACTACCCATGTTCTATCTTTGGGACTGTGCGGCGAAATATCTCATGAAACTCGAAACGTTGAATGTCTCTTTTTTCCTAAAACGAAAGCTAATATTAATCCGTATAACGGTTCGAACAGAAAGAAATGAAACACACAGACATTAGATACAATTCTTTGAACCAATCTGCATGAGCGTATGACTGGATAATTTGATAAACTAAGTACAAGTAAGACAAGTGTTACCTCATCATGAAAATCAGCATGTTCGTGTCGCGCTAGCTACTACTGCGCTGCTGTCTGATACACTTCCGTTGTATATTGCATTTAAACCTGAGAAAAAAAAAAAAAAATAAGAAAAGGAAAGAAAAGCTTTTTTGTAACTGAATAGTTCAGCAGTGGTAGCTCTTCGAAGTACACGACTGCTGTTCATCGAACCCAGCTCATACAAACGTTCATTTTTCCATTTACTTTAAGTCATTGCACCACATCAAATAAATGACATTTTCATTATATAATCATGAGAATTTTACGTGATTTTTCTTCATTATCCCTGACTGCGTGTTTCGTTTTCTACATATTTAGATATACAATAGTAAAATAAGTATCTCGAGAGTGAAAATTATTAATTTTTATTTTTAAATTCATCTTCCTAATTTCAAGATCTTACATTCAGAATAAGCGTAGATGTTAATATGATTTGTTATATATGATTTATTACTGGATAAGCTTGATTCTGCAAATATGCCTTTCGATCAGATGACTTAGGTGTTTCTGGATAAACTGGTGGTACTTCAAGCATAGATATCTAGAAGATATAAAAATTATCGTCCGATAACCATTCCACAATCAGACAGAAGTTTTCACCGCCAAATCAGATAGTAAGTAAACAGATAATATCAATAATGGAATTGATTTTTTATTCTTTGTATTGATTCTAAATTTAATTATTGAAGGAAAGATAAACATACCCTGTTGAAAGGTGCTGTGTACAGAGGTGGAGCACTGCAAGCTTCACTGTACGATGGTGGCCAGTCTCTGGATTCGTGTAAAGTGTAATATGGTAATGAATTTATATTTTCTGATTCCCCTCGTTGATTACGGTCACTTTCATCGGAACTGTTTTGCGAATACCTTGCGGATGTCCTGTAAATGCTTATTAAAGATATTGGCACTATACACATAGGTGGAAAAACAATGCTATATGGTTTTGTTTTTTCGACTATGCTTTTTTAAAGTTATCAAAGAGAAGTTGAAAATTCGTACCTGCTGCAGCTTTTGCAATATATTAAAATCGCAAAAAATATACCCAATACGAATATTAGAAAAATAACAAGTTGCATAGCTGTAAGGAAACAACAATTTTTATTCCTACAAAAAGATACAAATTACATACATATTTACAAATTTTTCAACTGCATAAAATTTATAGCAACGATGAGAACGTTTATAAATATGTAGGTATAATAAATCTTACCAGTACAATTTATAATCGAGGAATGATGATCGGTGTATTGCAGGAAAATAAAAGTATAATTAGAGTAAGCCTGAAAATTCTTTGCACTGATTAGGAATGTTTTAGTTTTCTTACCTTTGCGTCTCAAGTCAACCATACACGAATTAGAATAGAAATCGTTTTGATTGCATGAAGAGTCGTTTAAAAGTGGTCCTGATGTATTTACCTCTGTTGAATAATAATAATAATATTTAATAATAATAATAATGTTTTTAACAGATTAATCATTCGTTATAGAGTACATAAAGAAATAAAAATAATACATACCTAAATCATTTATATACTCATTCATTGCGACTATGTTAAAAAGTTGATGCAACTGAGAAATTTACAAAAATTTGATTGTAACTTGATGAAAATTTATCATTCATTTCACACGTTAGAAATCGAACTTCAGTTACAGAGTGTGTTACAAATGTTAAATGACATTTGTATAACTTTTTGCCAACATTTAACCCTTTGCAAACAAGTACATATGTTGCATTAAACTAAAACACTCAAGAACTTCAAATATAAAGGCTACAATCTTATCAACAAGTAACTCTCTGATAACCAGTACAATTAATATTTCTCCTTCAGCTTAGAATACCCTATAATACATTCTAGTAAAGTGTGTTAACAGGTAAAGTAAGAAATAGAAAGATGCAAAATCGCTTAAGAGTATATTTTGTAATATATATGAATAAATTATTAATAACCGAAAGTCATAACAATTCCTAAGATCATATAATTTACAATAAAATTGTGACTTATACGAGTTTGCTTCAAGTTCATGCTGTACAGTCAATTTGTTAATGTAATTAAAGCTTCCACGACGTTTCCTCCGTGTTCCCTGAGAATTTGTTCAGCTGCTGTTCGACTTATTTCCATGTGTTTTACCTTAAACGGAATAAACATTGTAATTTTCTATAATAAGCAAATGTTACTAACAACAATTGTGTAAGCACATCTTACAATGAGATCAACATATTCCTTTTTTATAGGGACTTTTAGCAATTCTTTCTCTCTCGCCTTCTTTTCTGCGGCTTCTTTGTTTCGTCGATCTCCGATTATACTTAAAGCCTGTAATAAATAAATTATTGTAAATAGTATATACAGCTGTATGCACTATTTATAGGTTAGGTTTGGTTTTATAACTTTTATGTTTACATTAATGTATCATGAATATCATGTATCATGAATGACAGAATGATAAAATAACTATTGATAACTTTAACAGGATAAATTCGTAAGGTTATAAAAAGTGGTAAAGAAACGTTGTTGACAATTAAAAACACGTGGGGATAGAAGACCAATAAAAGCTACCTACACAAGAGAATCCATCAGACGATGATATTTCTTTCTCCTCCGCGTAATCGGTTACTTTTTCTAAATCTGCCGCACCGCTGTCATATTTCGCCGCTTTCCTTTGTGACTTTTCTTGCTGTACCTCATCTGAATCACCATTTACATCGTTATCCGCCATTTTTTCCTCTTTATACTACATACTTCACGGTTCGTCAAGAATAACAAGATTTATACGATAACTTCAGAGTGAAATCTAATCTTAAAAGTTATTCAATGTCAAGACAATTTATTTTTTAATTAACACCAGGCAGTCTGTACATTGATATTATCTGTTTTTTTCTTCCATTTCCACAATTACTTTGTGTGGGCTCAAACGAGATATTTTCAAAATCATTTTGTCATTACACGAAGTAGGAAGTATTTATCATTTATGAATCATCCACAAATTTATTTTTAGATAAGAGCGGTGTGATAGATAATACATTCTATGTACAAAAATAGATAATTAAAATGTTCGATATATTACGTTATTGTATGTATGTGATTAAAAAACTGTTATATAAATTCTTTCTGCTATCCACAGTATAAGGTATTGCTTCTGCCGCTTAAAAATTGCGCCCAATTAAAAAAAAACTTAGCAGCACCATCTAGCGGTTGGAAACGCTAACTAAAAGTATTGTAATAGGAGAGCAGAAAGGTGAAAGAAGGTATCTGATAAAAAAAGAGGTGAACTCCCGCCAAAACTGTACGCATGCGCAGTGAAGGTGGGGGTAGGCGCACTTTCAAAATGGTGTCGGTAAATCGGTAAATCAATTAAAGGGATAGTAATAACTCATTAATTACGCAATAAATCTACATATAATTGACTGTATATTATTCGTGAAGGCCCAAAGAACATTATACGAGCTTAAAAGTGTATAAAATATTGCTAGGAAATGAGAAAATGAGAAAGTAATTCGATAATCACTATACGGGTGCAGGAACCGCGCGAGCAGGCGTTCTTAAACTAATTAATATTTGTTTATTTGCAGGTGCAACGGATACATGGTGTATAAGGGAATGTAACTAATGGACATGACTATATTCTTTCATCATAAAAGTGTACAAGTTGCTATCGAAAAAGAAGTAATTGATTATGCTTGGCTGCAAATGTCATTTATTCTACATCCGCCATTACGTCGGCACCCTTCTGCGCATGCGCGCAGTTTTGGCGGGCGGATATTTCTGTTTGCCGGATACCTCCTTAGTATTCTGCGATCCTGGTACCAGGAGCACACCCCAAAATCCCAATCGCTAGATGGCGTTGCTAAATTTTTTACTCGGGGAAATTCAAATAGGTGAGGAATTGAATTTGTACGATAACATTATTTAAACATTTATGTATGTACATATATTTATCTGTTATTTGCTCTATTCTTACAGATATTGTATTTTGTATATTTAAATCAGTATTATATATTGTTTCTTCTTATTTTTGTGTTAGGATAACATTTAAAGAAATCAAATCGGGTTACAGTTGTGCGTATAACATGTGTTCCTGCACATAACCTAATTCGTATTGTTTTGTTTCAGAATTTGTTGAAATAAAAGGTTCTATTTAATTGTAATAATGGCTGAAACATCGTATTCTAAAGTAGCGAATGATTCACAGTTTTTTCGCAATGAACCTGCAAATTATACTGCAGGTATTTATAATTTTAATTTTTTAAATGTATCACTGGCATTTAGGATCTGTACTTTTAAATGTTAAATGAAGATAATATTTAATAGAAATTCGACAAATGATGCATGGATTTGGTGACAGCAGCGAACCATTAATCGAATCTGCAAAAATCATCGAAGAAGTTGTTCTACAACAAATGAGAACAATTATAAGAAAGGCTTGCGAAGTTTCTGAAAGACGAGGGAATTCAAAGAAAGGCATTTGTATTTCTGCCGAAGATTTAATTTTTTTATTACGCAAAGATAAAATGAAGTTACAGCGTCTCCTAAAATATTTAGGCAAGTTTAACGCGAATATTTTTTAATTGCGCATTACTTTAATTTGGTTATGTTTTACAGAATTGAAGGAATTCAAATCTTCGGTACACAAGACAATAGAGAGCGATTTACCCGAGAATTTTGTACAAAGCGATAATTTAGAAGGATGTAAAAATAAAGGACCACTTTACAGTTTCCTAAGTTTGATTGATAATACTGGGGAACTTCTGGAAGTGGCATCCACTATAGATGAAGTCAAACAACATAGGTGTATTCGTGCTGAAATTGTTACACGTTCAATGGATGAAGCTAGATACTTAAAATTTAGTAAAGCACGCAATGCATCATTTGCAAATAAAAATAGACATAAATTTAGTGATTGGTTATTGACTGACAGTGAGTGTATTTAAATTACAATACATTATGCTGTACATAATGATTTTAGACGTTAAATACATTTTTATTTAGGTGACATAACAATATCCAAACAAGGATATACAATTTTGGGATATTTAGCATATGAAACAGTAGCACAAATTGTAGATTTGGCATTGTTAGTAAGACAAGACCAAAATAAAATATATGGAGATTCTATAGACAGGCTCAGACTTAGTTATGTTAATCCATACACTTATAAACCATATTACCATGGCAAGGTTTGTTGGATTTTCATATAGTCAAAGTACAAATTAATATAAGGAATAATATATTTTATTATGATTAATTAGGTTGCAATAACAAAATCAATCACACCAGCAGAAATAATTGAAGCTCTCAGAAGATTTTGGTCTCCACAATTAGATATGACAGGTCCATTCAATAGTTGGTCAATGCGGAAACCACATTTAAAGCTCTTATCTTGTTGACATAAACAGATTCCAAAAGGGTAAGAATTTGATTTAAGAAGACTTAAGATTTAAGTCATTTTCGTCAGTATTTTGCCATAAAAGTATTTTGTTGAACTTTAGTATACTAAGTTAATAATTTATAAAGATGCGTTTTAAAATTGACCAATATTTATTGACATGTTCTGGTACCCTTACAGATTTATCTTAGACTTCTAAAATTCGATTTCACACATGACAACTACTACACAAGTTAACATCTTACTCTTTTTACAAAATCTTTGAGTCATGTATTCTATTAATAACATGACATTTATAGATATTATTATATATTTTTATGCTTTCCTTTATAATTACAGGATTACTTTCTGTACATTTTACAATTGATAGTCCCTGATTTCATTCTAAAAGTAGATTTATAATACATTTGACTTTGCGCTAACGCGTGATACGTTTGCATTCATTGTACTTTTTATAAAATATTTGGATCTTTTCTTCGAACTTATATTTAAAATGAAATGTTCTTAGGTTTCATTCCGGTGTAATAAGACTATGGAATTTCATCTCAACATTCAATATGCTAGGCATTAATATCTACAAATTTGAGCTAATCGTACGATGATTACGGTACTTTACGAATTCACACAGATACTAATTTTACTTTTGTATCATGGTGAAAGCAGGGTTGATACTCGTACTTTTCCTTCGGCACCACCGGTTATACAAGTTCCGGATTGATTGGCGGTAGACCAGTCGCAACATAACGTACCCTTATGTCCACCTAATTCTAAGACTTTCGCTTGAGTACCTGGTGGCATCTAAACAGAATTCTAACATTTAGTATCATTTCAGAAATAAAATACTAATACACATAACACATATAAGTTACATACTTTGTAAATGTTTCCTCCAGTTTGTGTACAAAGTAACATGTAGTTACCACTTTGGTCGAACGTAAATAACTTCCCGTGAACGGTATTTTTTTCTACTTTAATTTTCGTCTCCCATAAAATCTTCCCTGAGTGATTCAAACTTCGTTGACATAGTTTTCCATCCTCGCTTTGCGTACATATATTCGTGTAATCGTTAATTAATTCTATATCTATAACCGGACTGGCATGACAACTTATGTTGTCGATTATTTCATTTCGCCTCAGGTCATGTATTAAAATATTTCCATTAGATAACCCCGTGATAAGAAGTTGTCCGTTATGATTAAACGCAGAACATAACGCTGTTACATTCTGGTCCATTGGTAAAGTTCTTTCTAATTTCCTTGTTTTTATGTCGTACAATAGCAGCTTTCCTTCGTTCGAATTTGATACAGAACACACAAATGTAGATTCCGTTGGATTACACAGCAGTGTGATGATTCGAGAATTTTCATGTTGTATGTCCCATAAAGTTTTACAATCGCGAGTATCGTGTAATTGAATCAGACCATTGTTATCACCGTGTAAAAAATAACGCTCATTTTTTGATATCCAGTCTAATGCAGTTATAGCTTTATTCGAGTTGGCGGGAGCAGAAATAAATGTAGTAACAGTCCTAAAAGAAAAGGAACATTTCATTAATGCACTCAAAAGTATAAAATCAATTATCGTGAATATTTCAAATAATTACTTTGGTGATGGTATTGGAGTCCATACTTTGATAATGCCGTCTGCATCACCCGTAGCGACGTATGAACCACTTGCATTACTTTTACATTGAATTATCGATGTTTTGTGCTCTGTGTACTCTTCCTAAAAATTATTTTCTTTATTATTACACAAAGCTTGTAATGTACTTAATGTACATTAATAATTATCTTACCTGGCTAAGAAGTATATACGTGGAATCAATTTTATCTTTAGCTTTGCGTTCGGCTACCGCGTCTATGGACGAATCTCTTTTTCTAGAACTAGATAGCCTTGAATCACAACTAATGCTTCTTTTGCTAACCGACTCAGATTTACTGATAGAGTTTAATTTCCCTTTTGTATTCGTTCGCTTTGTCGATGTTATTTCAGGTTCCACAACTTTCTTCCCACTTGTAGGCTTTCTATTTAAAATTGGACTGGAACCACCGCCTATGTTTCTTATAAGATTCCTTAAAGTTTTAGGATTTTCTAATAAAGGGGATTCTCTGTTTTAATCAGAAAGAAACATATTAGTATGAGTATATATACAAGTGTTACTTAATGCATTATGTAGATAAAATATTTACTGTGCTATTATATAAAAGTCATCCATAAGTGGTGGATGCTGGGGAGCTGGTCCTGGATTCACATCCATTACATTTTCTATTTTAACAGAATCATTTAAACGTTGTTTCAATGCTTCATTTTCTTCTTGAAGTCTTTTCAACCTGTTTGTATCTTCATCTATAGTAAGTAATGTTGGCAGAGGCATACACTATAATTAATGATTATCAAAGAGTTAATTTTTGTATAACAATACATTAGTTTGATCACATATAAGTATACTATCATTTTATAAAATATCAAAATAATAAAACTTGCAATATGAGAGGCACGACGCAAAATACCTTTCACCTACTTGAAAAATAGTAGCAAGAAAATTGTGCAGAGACACTAACATAGTGTCCTGCCACTGTCTACTAAAATGTACAGAGTATGCTGGATTGTCTTCAGGATTTTTAACAAATGGCAATGCTATAAAAGTAAAATAGAATATACATTTCTTTTCTGTTTCTCATAAGCATTAGAAGCAAGGGGAAAATAAAATACCCTACCAAACCATTCTTTCCATTCTGAATGCCCTTGCAGCTCTGGTGTCATTTTGATAAAAAACTCTTGAATTCTGTCCTGTTTATTATTCACTGCTGCATTTACCAGGTACATTTTTAGAACAGCATTCTCCAACTTTCTTACAGCAGATGTAAAATGACTTTCTAAACGAGAAAACATTCTTGTGTCTAAATGCCCCCATAATTCTCTTAAAGATGCCAAGTCATAATTGTATATATACTGCATTAACTGATCAACAATTTTATCAACCTGATAATGAATCATACAAAGCATTAAATGCGTGAAATTTATAAACATTGTTTTAATAGATCTTTCTTATTGCTTATCATAAATGCTTTCATCCTTACCCTGAAGCCTTTCTCTTTCTCAGCCTTTAAATCATTATCAAAAGCTTTCAAGGTTTGACTGAAACCTCTGAAAAGCAAATATTCTTTCACCAATTCATCCACATACTGAATGTGAGACATTTTCTCTTGATTCTCTTTGAAATATCAACTTTCTCCTTTAAATGACAGGCGTATGTTGTCATCCTTTGGCCATTTTGATATTCGCTGAATTCACAGCGAATTTTCGTTTATCATCTGACAATCAATGTTGCCAACATTAATATCCTCTACGTATGAATATAAAAAAATGACCGTAACTGATTCTCACAATTAAAAAGAATTCTATTATTTTTTTTTTTTTTTTTTAGAAATCAATCAAAATCAGCACAAGACTTATTGAAAATTATTGAAACAACTGTTTGACAAACGTGTATTTTAAAAGACCCGCCATAAATTAAATATTTTCGACTATGGCGCTATCTATACTAGAACGGCGGAAACTACTCAATAACTTACCGATCAGGTTATCCTATTTGTCGAGTAGTTTCCGCGGTTTCCCGATAGATGGCGCTAGCGTTATATTTGTTTACTTCTAATAACTTAGCCTGCATTATGTGTCAATGTAATAAATGGTTATATCAGGTTATATACCATTTGTTCTTTTCTTTTTACAGTATAATTATTTCCTTCTAACAAGTTTAAAATAATGTTAACGACGATACAATCATGTACATTTTATAATTTTATATGTTTAAGTAATAAGTAGTTATAAACGATGAATAATGTATATATATATAGATACATGTAAAGATATTTATAAATATTATAATGGCATTTTCCCTACATATTGGCACCAAATGGTGTCATGATTTTCCAAAATTGGCAAGAGAATCAGGTTTTTACTTTGATAAGCATAAATCTAAAGTACGAATAGACTGGAACCGCATAAGTATGTAAATTTTTATAACATATTTTCAGTCATTTTAAGAGTATGTATATCTAATATTATTATGCATTTCTTTCAGGTAGCATAGATATAGATCGGGTTATAAGAGAAAGAGATTTTTATACAATTGATGACAATATAAATAATGTAATAGATTATTGTCTAGAAAGTGAATATGATGTTAAAATTTTAGATTCAAATTTTGTTAAACTATTTCGCCTTGCACAGCTAGCAGTTGAATATTTATTGTATTGTAAGCAATATTTGGATCATAGTGTAATAATATTAAAAGATGAATTGAGATCAAAAATAGAAGAGAATGTTAAATTAAAGAAAGAAATAACTACCTTGGAAGAAATGATAAAACGTTTAAAAGAAAAAACAAAAGAGCGAAATAGATTAATAGAAACTAAGATTGGAGATTGTAGTGGTGAAATATATAAAGTAAGAAAATTATGTGTTATTATATTAACACTGAAAGTAGTTAAAATTGTCATTTTTTAAATAACGTAAATTTTATTTATTCGTTTAGTGCCCTCATTGCCCAAAAACTTTTATATCATCTATGTTTGTAAGTGCTCACGTTATACGTCGTCATGCGTATACATCAGATTTATACATGCCTGCATCTCCTATACACGAGCACTATCGTAACGAGACTGAAAAATTACACAATGAAATTAAAAATTTAAAGGAAAGGCTAAATGAAACAGAAAAAGTGATAAGAAATGAAGCTGAGAAAGTTTCTGATAAAAAGACAATAGAATATGATAAAAAACAGTCTGAACAAGAAGCTGAAAGTTTTAAACATAATGTTAATAAATCTGAAGAGTATCACGAATACAAAGGATATCAAGAGGAGATAAAAAATTTGAAAACTATGCTGTTTGATGAAATACACGTAAGTTTTAAATAATAAATGGTAAATGCTTGTACAATTTGTAATTAATTTATAATAATTTGAATGATAAATGTTTTAACAGAATTTAAGGCAAAAAGAAAAAACTATGTATGAATATAAAGCAGAAACAAATATGCAGACATTGATGAATCAGCAAGAAAAAGAGTTTCAAAAATTAAGAAATCAGCTGTTTGAAAAAGTAAGTATACGTTTCTTTATGATTTATATTTGAGTAAATGATTTTTTGTATGTATTCTTATAGTTAAATCCAGACATAGAAAGTATGCATGCAAAATTATTTGCACAAGAAAATTTTTGGAAATCAAAAATAGAACAGTTGGAACATCACCATCAGAAAGATGTTGAAAGACTGACCATAGAATTAAAACTAACACAAAAAATAGCTGACAGTATGAAAGCTGAATATGAATCTAAAGTTAATTATCTAGAACGCCAAGCTGCAAATCAATCAAATATTTTAACTGAACAAAGTAAACAATTGCATTCCTTATCAAATGAAATAAATGTTTCACAGCTAAATGAAAAAAGTTATGATTCTGAAAATAATTTACCGAAAAAATACAATCAATCTGTAATATTGAAACAATTCAATGAAACTGAAAAGAAATCAAATGAAAATGATTTTAAAAAAGAATCTCAGTTAAGTATGAAAACACAGAAAATTATTGTTGGAAATATTAATAGTATAAGTTCAGATCCATCAAACAAAGAAATTCTACTAGCCTTAGAAAATAAATTACCGGAAAGTATGCATACCTTGAAACCTAGAACTCAAACCATCATGTGTGAAAGTAAAGGAAGTGTTGAACAAGAGAGTACAGAAACTATGAAAGATATAAAGTTTGATAATGAAAATAAAAGAAATGATACTTCAGAATCAAAAGATTTAATATTTGAAACAGAGAACGATTATGAAATAGAACAGAAAAAGCAAGATTTAACTATTGAATCAATTAAGAAAGCTGAGTTAAATGAATCTAATATATGTAAGTTAAAAGGTTCGTCCGTCAAAAACATTTCTCAAGATTTCCTATCTCGTGTAAAAAATAATAAATTAGAAACTTTATCAGACAATTATTCTTCTGAAACAAGCTCAGAATTATCTGTTTCTGACTCGCGTATACCTTCAGAAATAGAAAGTATTACTAGGATTCGAAATAATTATCCATTACATAAATATATAACACATACATCAGTTTCATCAAAACCTAAAAGACTAACAGAATATGATTCACTTTATAAAAAACTACAAATAAATTTAAAAGATATATTTGAACAGAAATTACGAGATTTAGGAATAGACCCTGAATGGCAGGGAATACCTAAAGCAACTTTTAAGCAAAAAATGGATATTTTAAAACATCATCAAAAAATTGCTACAAAAGTAAGAAAAATGTACATAAGGTTTTATTCAGTTAAATGAAATTTTTAAAATTAATTTTTCAAACTTTTCAGAAATTACCAAAATATCATCAAATTAAATTAAAAATAATTAAAGAAGTTCTTGACAAAATTTCTAAGAAAGACAAAGTGGCCGAAAGTCTTAAACATTTTAAAAAGTCACCTTCACATAAGTCGGTCACTGCTGTCAAACCAGCATCACTTGATGATAAAAAAAATATTAGTAATTATTATTTTTCAATAATTAATACTTTTACTTTTTTTTATTTTAAATTAACAATATCGCGTTTCTTTTTAGGTAATACTTCTCCACTAAGAGGTACAGCATCTAATGATTTTCATTCTACATTAGAAGGTGATCATTCTATTAGAAGAGTAATTGATGATGAATCATCGGTTAAATCTATAAAACTTGCTAACATTAAGGCTACGGAAAAATTAATACAACTTACTCAAGATTCGATAAAATCTACAGGAAACATTCAACATGCAATAAATTCACAAGAATCTTCTGTACAAAGAGGTTCATTCAGTAAAATGAAAACTTTATTTAATTCTGAACAATGTAATACAACTCTAAACGATAAGGATATATTAAATGATAAACTTGTGAAGAACAATAGTATGGGCAATTTAAATATGGAACAGCAATTACAAAATGTTTCAGTATCTCCAAAATATAATAAAAGTGTTCTCAAGTCTGCAACTGCTTCAACAAGTAGTTTAATGAAAAAGAAAGTTATTTTTGATTTAGGAAATGAAAGAGATGAAGAATCTTTATCTGATTATGGTGTAGAGGAAGAAGAATCATTATCTGATTGTGATAAAAAGAAAGGAGAATCAAATGAGAGTAATTGGAATACCGATGGAAGAAAGCATCTGACTGGGACAGAAGTTTATAAAAATTCAGATAATATTATACTAAAAACTACTCAAAGTGATAAAATTGCTGAAATATCAAGAAAACTTGAAGCACAGGTAATAATTATAAGGTTTAATTAATTCTGAAAAATACTAAAAAAACAGATCTTCTATTTCAGTTAAATATGGTAAGACAAAAACCAGTAGGATCAGTTGAAACAATATTTTCTTCAACGTATAAACAAGGTACAAGAAATGAAAATATAATGAAAAATGAAAATGAAAATGAAAATATAAATTACACCAGCATAAATTCTTTTCTAGAGAGTTCATTCAGAACATCGAATTCTAAATTGACAAATGAATTGTTACTATCGCCACATAATGTAAAAGATAAAGTAAGTGAAACCTTATATGCAGAATCCGTATCAGATATATCAGATCTGGATTCCGATATAGATAAAATTTTAAAATTAGAATAATTGTAAACAAATAGTACGTTTGAAATAATCAAAATCGTACGAATATGTTTCTTTGTATAAAAAAAAGTATTTTTAACTCGGAATGACTAGTATAAAACAGTATAAATTAAACTTAATCTATGTAGTTCTTCAAACCAAAGTATACGTAAGTACAATTATCGTATGATATTAAGTCAATCAATACTTTATGTATAACATAGTACCTTATCTATAAATAAAAAGGAACGAGTCTTTTTTATATTTAAAAATTAAAATATGCTATATTTAATAAAAATACGTATACAGCTTTTTCATAATGCACATACATTTTCTCTCTGTTTTGTTAAGATTTAGACAAAGAAGCTACAACTTTTCTAATTTTACAAGAAAGATCAAAGATACTTTTCATTGTCGAGTTTATATTTATTTCTGGGCTTGTAGTTTGAATTTTGAATTTCTTTGGTGTTGTATGTATCCGGGATTGTTTTGGAGTAGATGCTGCATTATTATCTAAAACAAACATATAAAATTTAATTTATATACTTAATGTATTGATCCAATTATTCTGCAATGTAAACATTTTGTTATAGACCTTTAAAATAATTTTTTCTCGAATCAGTAGGAGAAAATAATCGAGAATATCTTGGAGAGATTTTTAATTTGTTGGGAGATTGCAGTTTATTACTTAATGATAGTCTCTGAGGGGATTTCCAATTAATTGCAATATTTTCTATGCTGTCATCAAATTGCAATTTTATTCCTGATCCTTTGGATGAATTGAACAAACGTCTATACCTTTTGAACAAGTGTTTATACGTTCCTAAAAATTGTATATATTAAATCTTATTTTTTCTCATACAAAGACAATGAAAATGAAATTACCTTGTAACGGAGAAAAGCATAGCGTTTTAAATAACTTATCATCATCTACATCATCATTGATAAAAATGTTAAATTTTGGTGAAGTTAAAAGTTTTTCAAAATTCATGGGGAAAAGAATATCTGTTTCAAATGTACAATTTAAACTTCTTTCTTGTAAACTGCATTGCGCATTGCATAATATATCGGAAATTTGTATTATTAATTTTTGAAATTTTATTTCGTGAAATTTTATTATTTGACAATGCTCAATTATTTTTGGTTCACAATCAGATAAGTCTGATAAATAATTCATCTTCAAATAAAAGTATAGTCGTTTCAATACATGATTAAGTATTGACAGGAAGATATGAAATACTAAACTCCCATTCATGTATAATCCATAATTAAGTTGCTTCAAATGAAATATTATAGATTATTACGTGGGTTTTTCTTAGTAATCTTTATTTCAGTTTTTGTATATTTTACCTGACTGTTATTAGCAAAACACAATGGGATTATTTCATTTTGTACTTTTGGAAGATCATTACCATCAAATGATTCGCAATTCGTGGATAGGCTCAAAACACCTAATGTTCTACTAGAAGTTTTCAATTTGTTTAAATTACAATTTATTGTATGCAAATACTTTAATTTTTCATTAATATTTCTTTTCCATACTGAAAGTTTAAATTTAGATGAATTATTAGTGATATAAATAGTTACAGTACAAAATAATGTGGTATATACAAACGATTTATAATATCTGTATCCTCAGTATCTATTAGTGATGTTGCAATTATTGGATTAATTGGAAGAGATGGTACAAGCTTCATTAGGTTTTCTTTTGTTTCAAAAATGTTATTCTGCATTTTTGTTAAATCATTAGATTTGCATCTAAAAAATGAAATTCTCATGCAATATACACATTTTTAATTGATACAGTATGGTAACAGTTATTAAGAGAAAATAAATTTTACTCCATGTAATGCTTAAAATTTTCTGCAATTAACTTTTCCTTTTCATTATACTTAGAAATAGCAATATTCTTTTTCAGATTTATAGTAGTAAAATATAATTGAACAATATTTTTGTTATTACCAATACTAGGTGCTTGCAATACTTTCATTTGACCTACAAAAAAAAAGAAACTAATTAACAAATATATGCAGAAATGTTACATTTGATTTTGAGCTCTACTTTAAATAAATATTTTACACTTGTTTGTAATATAAGCCCTGAGGCTAACTTCTGATATTTTCCACATAATAATTAAAAACTTTGTTCCCCCTGCTAGTAGCAAATGAGACATGAGTATTGATGGAAAATTGATATCTGGATTTTCATTTGCTACAATTTCTAAATATGCTTTTACTTCCATACGATATTTTCTTTCATCCATTTTATTCATAAGCGGCCATACAACCATTTTTTGAAAATGCTTTGCATTATACACAGATAATAAATAATGAGAAATATGAATAAAACCAGAAGTATTAGGTTTATCAAACATTCCCTGTAAATTTTATTATATTAAGTGTATATTTAGTAATTATTATAAACTTTGTTTCATTTCAATATCATACCTTCTTAAAGTGTTTTATACATTCATACGATGGTGGTACAAGTTGCATAAGTAGAAATACATTTTTATGAAATGAAGCATCTATCGCCATATTTTATTATTTGTTAGAATAACTTAAAACAATATATATAGAAACTATTTTTCTTATTATAAATTAGAGGTGTTAAATACTTCCAAAGGACATTAGAAAAAAATGTTTGTATACAATACATGATCTCATACATTATAAATGCAATTAAATGTAAAATATGTATAGATTTATATATATAAATATAAAATTTATAAATTCCTTAGAACATTAATATAGTATAAACAAAACTACTTTTGCTACTATTGTATGACTATTGTAACTTTGGTTACATGGCGGAGACTTTTAAAAAATGAGTACTTCTGCGTGTAAGGCGGCGCCACTGGGTTGTACCATAGCAACTCATCCCGATGTCGTCGTGAAAGCTTTCAACACTGAAATGAGCCAGTGAAGTGTATCTATCGGATAGTGGCGTGAAAATGGCGGTGTAAAATGGCAGGACGTAGATCGACGTTGACAAATGCCGATTCCCTATCGGGATCTGGAAACACAGATCCTTTGAGGGAGCTTTTCGAAGCATGCAAAACTGGAGACCTCGCGAGGGTAAAGGCGTTGGTTACACCGAAGACGGTCAATGCTCGAGACACTGCCGGACGCAAGTCCACCCCCCTGCATTTTGCAGCTGGTGAGCAAAATTTTTACATCAGCTATTATAATCCCCATCGCGCTAATGAAATTTTCCACTCAGCTCTAGATTTTTATCTTTGATTGAAAACACAACATTTCATTGTCATGCCGAGAACGTGAAACGATTCAAAGACCAGTTTTCAATGCTGTCATCAACAGTTCATTATGTATACCTTTATCCTTTCGAATGGAATATATGTATATTAAATGTGTGGTACACTTTGTACCAATAGTTTTATATTACCTTTGTTATATCAACAGATTAATAGCAATTTTCATATTGATCTTATATTAATTTAGTACAATAAGGTTTATTATAATAGTTATTTTCTGTTGTTTAAACATAGGTTACGGTAGAAGAGATGTAGTAGAATTTTTGTTATCTGCTGGAGCATCTATTCAAGCATGCGACGATGGAGGTTTACATCCTTTGCATAATGCTTGCTCTTTTGGACATTCTGATGTTGTAAGACTCCTTTTAGAAGCAGGAGCTAATCCAAACACTAGGGACAATTGGAATTATACTCCTTTACATGAAGCTGCAATAAAAGTATATTTTCATTTTATACTTAGTCTACTAATAGTTTATTACTTAAGAGTTATACGTATATTTTATGTTTTCATCATTTTAATAGGGTAAAATAGATGTGTGTATTGCTCTGCTACAACATGGAGCAGATGCAAATATCAGAAATACAGAAGGAAAAACTGCATTAGAATTAGCTGACCCTGCAACTAAACCAGTATTAACAGGAGAATATAAAAAGGATGAATTATTGGAGGCAGCAAGATCAGGAAATGAAGAACGTCTTTTACAACTTTTAAATCCCTTAAATGTTAATTGCCATGCAAGCGATGGCAGAAGATCGACCCCTTTGCATTTAGCTGCTGGATACAATCGATCTAGAGTGGTGCAAATTTTGCTACAAAATGGTGCAGATGTGCATGCAAAAGATAAAGGGTATATATATATATATATATATATATATATATTTATAATTAGGAATCAATCCTTAATTAATTAAAATCAACAAAGTTATTTATTTATTCTGGCAATATTACAGAGGTCTTGTTCCACTTCACAATGCCTGTTCGTATGGTCACTTTGAAGTAACCGAAGCACTTCTTAAACATGGTGCAGCAGTGAATGCTAGTGATTTGTGGGCATTTACTCCGTTACATGAAGCTGCTAGTAAATCTAGAGCCGAGGTGTGCTCGTTACTTTTAAGCGAAGGTGCAGATCCAACTCAATTAAACTGCCACAGTAAAAGCGCCATCGACGTAGCTCCTACATTGGAATTACAAGAAAGATTGGCATGTACGTTGATCGCTTGAACATTATATTTTGTTTTTCACATAAATCCACACAGAACATGATTTTGTTAGATACACTTTAATTGTAGACGAATACAAGGGACACTGCCTCTTGGATGCCTGCAGGCAGGCAGATCTCACTAAATTAAAAAAGTATCTGTCCCAAGAAGTTGTAAATTTTAAACACCCATATACTGGGGACACACCACTGCACTGTGCCGTTGCATCTCCTTATCCCAAGAGAAAACAAGTAATAGAATCATTGATTAGGAAAAATGCTGCCTTAAATGAGAAAAATAAAGATTTTCTTACACCTCTTCATGTCTCTACTGATCATTCTCACTATGATGCAATGGATGTGCTACTTAGACATAATGCAAAAGTCAATGCTTTAGATGGATTAGGGCAAACTGCACTACACAGGTATCGTGAATTGTATAAAGCATTTGAAACCTCTTTTTTTTTTTTTTTTTTATTGTGATTATTATACTCTATGAAAAAGTATTTGATCTTTTTTTTATCTAAAATATTGTTACATAAACAGGTGTGTTAGAGAAGACAATGTGCAAGCTTGCAGAATATTGTTATCATACAATGTTGATCCATCTATAGTATCGCTTCAGGGCTATACTGCAGCACAAGTAGCTGCAGAAAATGTCCTTAAAATATTGCAAGGTTCGAAACTAATTCACTTCGGCTATAAATATTTTCAACCAAAGAATGTTTCTGTTCTTATTTTTGTTTTATAGATCCACCAAGTGGGACGGATGACGCGGAAGAACAGTTACTGGAAGCAAGTAAGTCTGGTGATTTAGCAGCGGTTGAAAGAATATTACAGACAAATCCACACGCTGTAAATTGTCGTGACTTGGATGGTCGGCACTCCACACCGCTGCATTTCGCAGCGGGATTTAATAGAGTGCCTGTGGTGGAATATTTATTGGCACATGGAGCAGATGTACACGCCAAAGATAAAGGGTTGGTTACATATAAGATATAGTAGCTTTTTTTATTTTTTATTTTATTTTTTTTAACCAATACACAATAATTGAAACATTTACTTTTATGTTTTCAGTGGACTTGTCCCCCTACATAATGCCTGCTCTTATGGTCATTACGAGGTAACGGAATTGTTAGTAAAACATGGTGCATCAGTGAATGTCGCGGATTTATGGAAATTTACCCCACTACACGAAGCTGCTGCTAAAGGAAAATATGAAATAGTTCGTTTACTATTAAGACATGGTGCAGATGCTACAAAGAAGAACAGAGATGGAGCAACTCCACTGGATCTAGTAAGAGATGGCGATCAAGATGTAGCTGACTTGTTACGAGGGAACAGTGCACTTTTAGATGCGGCGAAGAAAGGAAATTTGGCAAGAGTACAGCGACTCGTTACACAGGACAATATTAACTGTAGGGATGCTCAAGGTCGGAATAGCACTCCGTTACATTTAGCTGGTAAGTCATAGCAAGTACATAGTTCTTTTCTTTTATATTATCTCTTGCACTGTGTAATTTGCTTATGTTTCAATGCAGCGGGATACAATAATTTGGAGGTAGCTGAATTTTTGCTTGAACGTGGGGCAGATGTAAATGCTCAAGACAAAGGAGGATTAATACCTTTGCACAACGCTTCGAGTTACGGTCATTTAGATATTGCTGCATTACTCATTAAATATAATACTGTAGTAAATGCAACTGATAAATGGGGCTTTACACCACTTCACGAGGCAGCACAAAAAGGGCGAACGCAGTTGTGCGCTCTTTTATTGGCACATGGTGCGGATCCGTTTTCAAAAAATCAAGAGGGACAAACTCCCTTGGATCTAGCCAGCGCTGATGATGTAAGATGCTTATTACAAGATGCTATGGCTTCGCAGCAAGTAGTACCATCGATACCATCCGGTAACAGTGGCGTTGGAGTTGCCATTAATTTGAATAGTAATGGTAATAATACTATTAACAGTAGACCGCCCAGTATTGTTGCAGGTAAATGTATTTAAATTACCGTATATGTGTGTGTATATGTATATATACTTACATTGATATATATTTATTTACCGTTAAAATTGATCAGTTCCAGTTACACCTTCTCCACCACTCACCCAAGAAACCGTCATTATGCCTTCTGGTACAGCTATGACTTTATGCGTTCCACTTGCGCGACCATCTTCTTGTCTGAGTCCAATGCCACCATCAGAAACGTGCTCCGAAAGGGATTCTAAAGATTCTAAAGACAATTCGATCATCACAACTGTGGCTGGGTTTCTTCAAAGTCTTGGTTTAGAACATTTATTAGAATTGTTCGAACGCGAACAGATTACGTTAGATATTTTAGCAGAAATGGGTCACGAAGACTTGAAGCAAGTTGGGGTGTCTGCGTACGGTTATAGACACAAACTAATTAAAGGAATGGAGAAACTTTTAAACACGACCGCTGGTACTCCTTGGCAGCCAACTATTACACCTGGAACATTGTTGGTGGATTTGTTAGCGGAAGATAAAGAATTCTTAGCTGTTGAAGAAGAAATGCAAAGTACCATTAGGCAGCATAGAGATAATGGTCATTCTGGGGGTATATTTTCTCGGTATAATATAGTTAGGGTATGTTGTTATGTACTATAAAAACATAACAAAAAAGAATAGCAATTATAATATCGGTGGTTTTTTCCCCTCTATGTAGATACAAAAGGTACAGAACCGTAAATTATGGGAACGTTATGCGCATAGAAGGCAAGAAGTTGCCGAAGAAGTTGGTGCAGCAGCACCTTCCTCTCCGAGTACTGGATCCAGAACTACCCCTGGCTCAAGTTTACCGCAAGCAAACGAGAGAATGTTATTCCATGGTAGTCCATTTATTAATGCTATTGTTCAGAAAGGTTTCGACGAACGACACGCGTATATTGGTGGTATGTTCGGCGCTGGAATTTATTTTGCGGAACATAGTAGTAAAAGTAACCAATATGTATACGGCATTTGTGGAGGTACTGGATGCCCAGCTCATAAAGACAGAAGCTGTTATATCTGCCACAGGTGAGATATACTCGATGAAAACACTATTATTATTATTATTATTATTATGTATGTACATGTTTTATATATTTGTATTTTAGACATCTGTTACTTTGCCGTGTTACATTGGGAAAGTCATTTTTACAATTTTCCGCAATGAAAATGGCTCATGCACCACCAGGACATCATAGCGTGATGGGTAGACCGTCGCAAGGTGGTTTAGCATTTCCTGAATATGTTGTTTACAGAGGCGAACAAGCATATCCAGAATATCTTATTACATACCAAATTGCAAGACCTCAGCAAGAAAGTGGAGAAAATGAGAGTGTCGAGGAACGGTGATCAGAAGAGTCTAGCCCAGCGGCAAGATTGCGAAGTCTTTGTTGCTGCCAGAGACCTAGAACTTGTAACACTCTATCTTAAATCTAGTTGGAACAAATCTGATTTCCTTTGGAATCAATTCTTCCATTTTTTATCTTCTTTAGCCGAAAAAGTAGGAAGGTCATTTGAGTGAATGTACGATGCTGGTGATTTGTAAGTGAAATTTCTCGATGTATTTATCGAATTTATTCATTGAAAGGAGACAATTAATAGGACATTTAATTTTTAGCATTTATTTTGTGATAATATACCGGTCTTATTCGACCATGCAATCGTATACATGCCTGGTTATTGATGTATATTGACTGCAGTGTATATATCAGTATGAATTAGAATATATGGAAGACCAGCATGATTTTTTATGTTAATTATTTATGTGTAATACGGAATATCTTTCAAAAAGAAAAGAAAAAAAAATAATTATATGCTTTTGAGATGAAGATATAATATTTCTACGTCCGCGTCAATTTTAAAATAAACAATTATGCTGGTTAAAACAACTATTTCAACTAAGTACGTTATAGGTAAAGTCCGGGGGTAAACATTTAATTTGTAAATAAATAGAAATAGAAATCTTTATAATGTAAATCACGAGCACAATTCACACAATTAAATCATTAGAGAAGATTTATAAAGGATCATATTTTCTTAACATTCGGATGAACTAACTGAATCAACTGTGATTCCGTTTACGATAGATTACACGAAATCATTGATACAACGAAAAGTATTATATTTAGTATCCATATCGTTCGCACAGAATCTCGGTTTCATCGCATAGGAGAAATTTATAAACGTTCGCTTTTAATTATATCGGACATTACCTATAACATATATGTATATACATATGCGAGTATTTTATATATTCGGTTGATATTACAGACAGAATAAATTGATTCGTATTGTCGACATTATCAACAGGGTTCCTATAAGCTCGTAGTAATTTTGAATATTGTACATAAATATACATTGTATTGTACGTAAATTTTCCTTTTCAACGAAAACACGCCAATTACTCATTCAGGTTTCTTACTTTTATGTGAGGTATAGTTTCATTTCTCTCAGGTGATAAGCGTGTGTTGCACTTTTCATTCAATTTTAATTTAAAACAAAAAAAAAAACAAAAAAAGACAAAAGAACGTACTTGCATTTGTTACAATACACATCGAAATCATTTTTCTTTTCTTTTTTCCTCTTGTGCGTCTATAGTAATAATATTAACATTCAAATAATAAGAGAACAATGAGATATTTTAATGTTAAACAAATTTGTATTTTATTCCTCGAACAATGGACGCGATATTGTGTAAATAGAAAAATATTCTTAACGTCATTATTTATTGGAATCACTAAAGTGATCTCTTCAAATAATGGGAGTAATCTCTTGCTTCAATTAATTTGCGACATTGTTGTAAAAAATTGTTGTTGGAAAACTAAAAGAAGAAACGTTCGATTACGTGATTGTACGAGTGTCAAGTACAAGAAAAGAAATTCTTTCTCTATTCATGAAATCTTGACACACACTCCTAATTATTATTTAGGTGACGGTTTTATTTATGGGTGTATAGATGAAATATTGTGTTCGTTTAATAAGTGCTCAAGACGATGCAACAAATCTATAATTTGTTAATTCTGCGTTCTTACATAAAGATACAAAATAACTGAGTATTGTAAACTAAATACAAAAATTTCTGTCCCTGTATTTACTGTATTCAGCAGTCGATGAGCGTATTCCAATTTAGTATGCTTTGACTGTAAGAAGATAGACTGATTAGAAGAAAAAAAAATCGTTTTACCGTTACGTCCAATTTATATTTCTTTACCGTTTCTTTGCCTAACGACTGAATGAAAAACAAAAATATTTATTTAAGTAAACGAAGACAACATAAAAAAAAAAAGAGACGAAATTAATGTTGTCCTTCGCATAAGCGTTTCTTTACATTTTGTATCGTATTTTGAGGTGTATCAAGTTTTCATTTGTAATCTTTTCCTTCGTGTGACAATAGACTTAACGAAGCACATTACCGTATAATAGAAACTTTTACATTGAAGAAATGTGGCAGGGTATTATGTTACCAAGAGAACTCGTTTATACCTGCGTTTATCTATACGAGACAATGACAAAGAAATAAACGGGTCTGTTTTATTTCTATACTGTACTGTCGTTAAATAATTCTTATATATTTTGCAAACTGTGTGTGTCATTGATATTATTACTTTTATCAAGGAAGTAAGGTAGTACTAATTTTCTATTTGCTTTTCTCGGTAAACATAATTTGAGATGCTTCAGTGATATAAATTAGTCTCTGTAGTATTAATGGTATATTCGAACAAATAACATCAATTTATTTTATGATTCATCGCTTTTAAACATACAACAGTAGAGTTTACAACTTTACAAATTCAAATATGGCGGGCAAACAATTAATCTGTTCTATGTTATACAACAGAGAGACTTATTTAAAAATAAATGATAGAATGCTATCGTATAGCAATTTTTTAATATATGTATAATATTTTTATCTAATATTTTTCTAAATATTGTAATCTTTTTTACGTAATATCATAAAAGTATTTTGTATCGATACAAATTTCCGGTTTTATTGTAAATTCAAATTTAAAAAAGGAAGTCTATTACTTCCTATACAAGTTTTAAATTTACAATCAAAATTTGGATTATATTTTAAGAGAAAAATTAAATTAGTTAGTTCATTTTCTATATTTTATAATAATTTTTATGGGAAAGTCGGTTAGTTTTAAATGTCAGCATTAAGATTACGAATTCGCTAAAATACAATTTACTGAATTTGATTTTTAGGAAATGCATGGGGAAAAGCGAGGAAAAATTCAGGTAAAAACCGGTATGCCCGATGATTGCTGGCATTGCTGTCTTTTTCTTGGTTCCTATTAACTTCTGGCCTACGAATCAGGTCTGTCGCCGGCATGGGCTTAAGAATGCAAACACGTGGACTAAGCGGTTCTCTGATTCGTAGATTCGACGAAATCACGTGAAGCGCACGAGGTTGAAAGGACGCATGCGCAGCAGGAACATACCGACTTATCGGCGACCTGGTGTCGGATGGATGAGACGCTAGACGCCGGTGTATTCAGACGCGGTTGAAACGAGGACGAGGTTAAGTCGCGCGGTTTGCGTCGGCAACCAGCAATAGAGGTATCTTTAAAACCTCTTGCGTCGAAAAAATAAATCCACGGAAATAATCCGTAAGTGTCACATAAGAAACAAAAAATAGAATGAATCGAAATTCGTGACCATTCTAAACCGGTACAAGCGATGTACGACATCGTTTCTATCGCGTAAAAATCATCCATACGTTTCGGTAATTTATAGTAGATTCGTATAGTAGTTCTGATCAGTTTTTCGTGTTTTTTGTTAAATAAATTACGCGAGAAAATTTATTCACGTACTACGATGTGTTCGGTTCGGCTATCTTAAAGAAGATGATCATGAGCTCCTGTCACTTTTGAAATTAAAGATTTTGAGAAGAACCTGTACAACATCCCTGAAGACAATTAGAAAAACCACGAGTGTATAGAGGTCCAGCCTTTCATCCCACTTTCCAGTGGAACTGTTTCTAAGTCATAACAATACAAGTAAGCAACTATTCTTTTATTATTATTATGTATTATTTTTTTACTCGAATTGTATTCTCTCACCGTGCAATACCTAATTCGTAAACTGACATTTGATAAACTCAATTGAAATTATTGAAATTATTGAAATTACGATGGTTTGTCGCATTATACGTAATTTATTTATGTACATTGCAGTGCACGTATACGCAACAGCGATCGAATTGGCGCATTCGCGACAATTTCTTATGTAATAGAAATACGTAGAGTTACACAATTTGCAACGCTATGCAGCTATAATTTTAGATAAAGTTCAATTGTAGTCTGGTCCGATGATCTCCTTATTAATAGTATTATCTTTCACGCGAAACAGACATCTTTGTTTACAAACAAACTTTGCGATAACATACGCGGAGAATGTTAGAAATGTCAGACGGTAAAAGTAAACGGCCGGTTTATCATTGCGTTTTATTATCTTACATAAATGAATCGTGATCGTTTGCTAAATTTAACCAGTTAATAGCGTTACATGGAAACAGTAGGAAAAACGTACGCGTGCGGGTTCCTCGCGAAACACGTGCGTTAGATAAGTGACAGGAGAAAATGAAAGTATTGTATGGAAGAGATGCAAAAGCTGCTGCTGTTGCTCGCTTATCTACGTTTCAAAGAAATGCTTTTATCGTGCAACAAAAAAAGGAAATTGACATGACCGATTAGCGGTTATAACTGGGAAGAACATTATTAGCAACGTTATTGTTTAATCTTCTTGGACGTTTTGAATGACGCGAAAGAGGGATCGATTAGCTGGCTCCTGACCTCGCGACAACGGAAATGAATAAATATCACTGGCGACTTATTCTTTGCCGTTTTTTTTCTTTCTTTCATTCTTCTTACCGATTACTTCTACATATTTTTTAATTCTTACGATTCAAGAATGATTCTTTCGTAATTATTTTCATAGGATATTAATAGAATTAATGAAAATATGTTAAACACAGTATCTGATTGGGAGTGCGTTCGAAGCTTGACCAATTTCTTCTGGTAACCGGCTTGACTGCTCTTTCAAAAGTACACTTTGTTCGTTTTTCCGTATGCGAATGCACGCGTGCTTCGTACTTGGTGCCCCCGCGTCAAGCATACTCGTATTTTCCGGTCACTCGTCTTTCGTCTCTCGTAAACGCCTACTTGCAGGGACAATTATTATTATACGAACACAAAACTAGTTGTTCGCCTCGCATATATAGAATTCCTACACGTGTGCTGCAATAAATATACATATAGGTATGTACGTACTTCCGGAGAAAGCGCAGAGAAAACCTTGCAATTCGCATCACTTTACTAGATGCGTCCTGCAGGTATTTACTTACCTGTCTCTGCATATTTCAAGAAATTTCAAATGACGAGTAAACGCGTTACATGAATATTTGCATTTTCTACTAACAGCTACAAAGTTTATGTTTACATAGCAGAATTATTTATTGTGAATGAAATAAATCAATTGATAAGTTTCAGACAAGGTACGATACATTGCCGCAGTGAACGTACCGTAGAGTTTGTTGCTCCTTTGATCGTGAGTCTTACGTAATACCTGTTCCTTTTAAATGTACCGATTATTTGATTTCGAAGGCTACACGTGACTCATGAATGATGCGATATGTCTACCGTTTTGTCTATTTAAACTTGAACGATATATGTATATGTTTTCGATTGTTACTGTTAACTTAATCCTGGATTTTTTTCAATCAGCGTCAATTTAAATCCTAAATGATATATAGAATATTAACTAAATTCGGACAATGATGTTATCTTTTATTATAATAGATAAATTGAATTCAGCAACTGGTTAATTAGAATGAAGTTAGGAATGAAATTATTTGTACATACATACATACATACTTATATGTATACGTTACGTTACGTTGTATATGATTTATGATAGTACTTGTAGATTGATGTATCAACGTTTCACGGTTTATTGTTCCACATATAAATCAGTAAGAGTCAAGAGGCTATCGTCTTCACCCATGCTTGAAGAATCCTCAATGTTTCTTTAAGTAATTATACCCTAAACGCGATTTATCGTTATCGGTAGCATAAATTTAGAACTACAACCGTGGCTGGTGGATATTTTAATACCGCATTTTAATTTTTATCAGTTGTAAAAGATCCGTTGGCAAATTGTCACGTGTATTCTAGTAATCTTGCAATGATATTGATCGCCTCGTGAAATATTGAAATTCGAGGAAAAGATTGAAGTTTAAACCCTCTATAGATTTCGATACGTTCGAATTCGGATTATCTTACTTATCGTTAGTTCCTTCTATCGATATCGATACATAGGCGCGCGCACACACACACAATATGTGTCATCTCATAGCGATCTATAACGCTATGCAGATTGCATATTTGTAGTTTCGGCGATTGAACTTTGTCCGGTAAGATTCCGCGCTGTCGAGGGTGGTGTAGTAGTAGCAGAAACACGACAATTGATAACGACAAAGGACCGACCTCAATGGCGCCTTCGATAGCTGAGAATTTTTATAACTTCTCTTATTAACTTTGGGGGGGACGTTGCTACTAATCATGGATAATCGGATAATAAAATGCTTTTATAACACGTGGTAGGTTCGTGGTATGGCAACTGATGCTTTCTACGCGACGCGACGCGACGCGACGCGACGCGCACGTGATTGAGAGAAAGTTTTACGGGCCTCCTGATTATTATTATTCTACTTTTGTATGCTTAGCTTTTAGATTACTCAGATGACCGAGGGAATTGTGCCAAAGCTTTTTATAACTCAATTCATGATATTTTCATTTAAACTAAAAGATTAACCCATTCTTCCTGTTTCACGGTATAGAATCAGATAATGATTTATTACACGTTCGTCTTGATTGATAAACAACCGTGTTCAAGGATGAATAATATTAACACATATTTCTCAAGGCTGTTCTTCAATGGTCCACAGTCGTCACGAGGCGACAGACAGTCGCGCGCTATAAAAAGAAGATATTTAAATTTTGCGAACAGGTTTCACCGCTCTGTCTTTTACTATGTAAATACGTACAACAGTAAGTTTGATATTCCTTTTTTCCCCACTCTTGTATCGCGTATTTGCTAAAAGTAAACTAACGAAAAGAATTCCTTTGGACAGCGCAGAATCTTTCTTTCGACGCGAAACATGCGTAAACAATTCCAGTGGAATTTCTGCGAAAACGTGACTATTATGCAGAAAGCAAACAACGATAAACGAGAAATAGAATATCCGTTGATAAGAAGACCTCGATTTGCCTAATGTTAAGTAATAACCGATAAAACAAAATTAACGCATCTTCAGCAATAATCATTCTTTACAGTTTACTACTAGCAATAAGTCGTAATAGTTGTTATCATAGGTCAGGCATTAGGCATGCTCAAAGGTTTCATCTCGTGATCTACACGATCTATTATTCTCCACTTTGACCTTACCTCAGTTTCTTTACGTTACTTATTTACGTTGATAATTGCATAATATGTAAAACTATTTACATTAAATCTTGAACACAACAAGTTTGTTTTTTATTATCGGTCTATTACTTGGTTAACGTAACGGATGATTTTGTAGACCGCGTTAGTTTAATTAACGAGAAAAAGAAATGCATCGAAATCGATCGAAATCGATCGAAATTAATGCCAGTTGTTCTTTATCTGATAAACACTGGTTCGTTGAAAGTTGATAAAGACGAATCTCTCAATATTTTCCTTGTAACGCTTATTACCTAATATTAAAATTGCCTCAAATTGTAAACTACTTTTCAACGCGTATCTACATATGTACTTTTTAAATTCTTCTGTATCGTATCTATATTCTATTCGAATTATGTTAATTAATTATTCTGTAAAAGTTTATCGTTCGTTGTATTATCAATTATTGACGTTTCCGGTTTCTCCATTTTGCGAAATTCCTGTCCATCTACGATAAGTCAAGGACTCGTATATTTTCTGCTTTTATCGAACTAATCGTAGTTTAATTCCGTGACTCCTAATAACCTGCGACCTCTTCTTATCGCGGACGGTTGATAGTAATTAACTACGATAGAAGTGAATTTCATTATAATTGAAACGATTGTATTGAAACGCGTTTCTTGTAACTGCAACGCTTATTAGATAAGACAAGTAAGTAGATAATCAATATTCACTGTACATAAAGTGTCTTACGATCGTTCTTAGCGTAGATGAAAAATTATGTTGTTTTTTTTATCACCGAAAGGTAATTATAAGTAGCCTTTACAACATAATTTCATATCCATAATCCATAAATATATTATAATAAAAATATTAACCGCAGAACCTCGCCGTATTTTCAAGATTCTAAACGCGTAATATGGATCTATCTGTACAGGAATGTTTCGAGGAGGGAAAACTAAATGCATACACGTACGATACTAAACAAATACAGCATGGTCAGGAAAAAGTGAAACGAAGATCAGGTTACCTTTGGATCCGCCAAGCGTTTATTTTAAGCCGTCAGAGAGCCGGTGACTAGACGCCACACGATTTCTATGTATGCACCTACTTATGTATTATGTAGACTTACGCACACACGTGTGTGTGTGTGTGTGTGTTGTCTCGTGTCCCGATCTCACGCAGCTTTACGATTCATTTTAGTAACCCTTTATTTACTATGCGCTCACAGGTCGATAACCGTGTCCTTTGGTTTCTTCGAAAATCTGAACGGATTCTATGTTAACGACGTTTTTCGATGATCGGTGTTGGAAAGATTCGTGTACCCTAAAAGCAAGACGATTGGATCGGTTCCAAGGGTGTAACGCATGTCAGTATACATATATGTGTATGTACTAAATTTAAATCGTTGTACGATTCGAAATAGCCGAATGCAACGAATGCGACGACTGCACATTTTTCTCTGACAAACATGAACATATTTTTTCTATGACGACGAAGGCGTTAAAACTTGTTTGCGGTTCGGCTTTCGACCATCTCAATATCGGTCAATTCTTTCAATGCCAAATTACTAATTATATTAAATTAACGTCGTTCGATAAGCGGCTGACTTATCGGGGTAAGCTAAAAAAAGAACGGAGACAGACATGTCGTGAAAAATAGTGAAATTGAAACAGATAGCTGGCTCACCCTGTTGTCTTGGTCGCATGTATGATTCACTAACAAGATTATTATAATTTTGTTCCCAGGCTAAATGATGAATTATGAAATATCCAGGAAAAAAGAATGCATCGTCCACGCGTGTATTTCTTATCGATTAATACTCTGTTAGAACAACGATTTTATCTCTCTCTTTCTCTCTGTTTCATAAATATTTAAAGGAGAAAAATTTACGTGACCTTTACGTAAGCCGACGAGTTTCTCGCGTAATCATTTTTCGAATTCAACGATTCAATTTCAAATGCAAACACTGTTCTCTACACTCCACTAAATAATTGCAGAATAATTCATCTTTGCCTCTGTTGTTACGTGGAATAATCCAATATCAACTGTCTTTTTATTTTATTTTATTTTATTTTCTTGATATATTCTTTTTATAATATTTTTCTTAAAAGTATGCCAAAAAAGTATGCTGGTTTCTTTTTGCTAGTTGATTTTGTAAACGATGGCGCCTCGAGGATAAAACAAGACCAAGTGTTATCAGCGAAAACGGAGATTTTTATGTCAAAAAATTGATACCGATGTTATCGCGAAAAAACGTGTCTTACATCAAGTAGGCCTGAAAATGGAACGTAAATATTGTTAATTACTTTTGATATAGCTATGATTAAATTGTATTACATATGTATAACAGTTGACGATATCTCGAATCGATCGAACAACTTTTAGGTTCATCTAACATCGTTGCGTAATAAAGAGATGTCTGAAATTTGGTAAACACTTGTGGCCTATTACAAATTGACATTCGGACTTTAATCACACAGAGTGTTACCCTTTTATCAAGCTTCAATTTTGCTTGGCAAATCTTGTATAAATATACATATAGTGGACCGATCTAATTATTTATTTGCACTCTTTCATACGTAATTTACTCCGTTCTTGGAATGTGTTTGCCCCTCTCCCCATAAAATTAATCGTTTATCGGTTGCAAAACAATTATTATGCAAGAACTTGAAATTTGAAATATAACGATAACTGGAAATTTTCGTTCCAGGACATTGAGAATGTTATTGTCTTCGGGTTAAGAAGTTAACGAGACGTATCGTTCGCATTGATATAAATAATAAGAATTGGCGCGTAAAAATTTGAAACGACACGAGCGATGTATGTAAATATGATGTCGGGACAGTAAGTCGAAAGCGTGTTACCGCGCAGAAAATATGATAAATCTGTTACCTTTTCTTTTTTTCTGATTTTTCCCTCTCTGCTTTTCTGTTTTAACAGACCATGCAGTTTGACCCTGGTAGCTCGTTGGCGTAACGATAAACAATGAGAACTGCTTGCTTTGACCTCAACCTTTTGTTATTCGTGACATCGCATCGGTGGACAGTATTATGCGTAAAACTTTGCTTCTCTTTCAAAATGTCTTATTTTCCTCTATGTTCATCATTAGAGATGAATATGTATGTATCAAATTATCAACGAACAACAATTTCATTATAACGAAATAAACACGTTATGCTGTTGAAGGAATAATGTTTGGAGGTAAACAAAAGAGTATAGTGTAATTTTGTTTATGAAAACAAGATATCACGATAACTGTTTATTTATTTATTTATTTTTTATAGAAATACGATAAACCCCCCTTTCGTTGTGTTACGATCGTTCGTGTTTTGACTAACAATAAGGAAAATAATAAGGAATAGTAAGAACAGTTTAAGATAATAAGTAGCTGAAAGTTGAAGCATCCGACTTTGCGATACCGGTTGATTTTCTTAGTGGTGTATGCGTACTTGGTTCCGGTCTGGTACACCTACAGTCTGGTTTGCGAGCAAGTCTCTTTCGAGACACAAGAGAAGAGGAGACTATTGCCACATTTAAAAGTCGTAATTCCACTCCTGGAGTAACATGACCATGCACAGCTATCCTAACGCGTAAAACACTTTACCATAATAAACTGGTAGAAAATACTTTTCTTGCTTATTTTCTTTGATCGGTAAGCGAAAACGTTTTTATTCATTTATCGGTTGTTTACGCAAACACGAACAATAAAGTAGTCAGTCATTATTCGCTTGTAATTATTGTCAAACGATGAAAGTGTAAAGACTTGTCTACTCCATGAAATCAGTTTCACAAATCTTGTCGAGGAAAAGCTTGATGTTTTGGTAACAAGTTTTGGTCAACTCGTTGAGTCAGTATTCTGGAATAAGGGATAATAAAAGTTCATTGAAAATAATAAAGGGAACGTTGTGTGCAAATATTTGTCAATTTTTCCTTACTTATTACGAAAGACAATGATTCACGTGATCCAACGTGATCTCATTCTGATGACGAAATTTTTGGCAAACTTTGACGCACGTTCCTGACTATTAAAAGTTTCACAGTAAACCGTTGAAGTAATACAAATTCGAATTTTGCAAGCATTAACTACCTAATAATAGTGTGCAAAGTGAAATTGACCTTCACAATAACCAGTTAGTTTTAACGAAGAATCCGGTTAACAAAATTAGTAAGCAAGGGTAGTAATACATATAAGCAAGAATAATATAAAACTGTTTTTCTGTTCCAGGCCTAAATGTGTTCCATAGCAATGCCAACCGAGCTGCTTCTGGGGCATAGTCCTCCAGTGTACAGCCCGCTTCTGTACAGTCCCCTGGTAGTAACGGCACCACCGATTACCAGCAGGTCGGTGCCACCCAGGATCAGGCCATGTCTGTCGTCTGGTTCCCTGGCTATCGATAGTATACGAAACAACAACGATGGCAATAATAAGCAGAAAAAGAAGGTGGTGTTTGCTGACGATCGTGGCCGTCCTCTTACTCAGGTATTCCTCCTTAATCCCTACAACGCGAACCTATTCAATTTTGTCTACAGCAAAGACGGTCTTCCTGTTATTATTTCGAATTGGATTAATCATACTTTTCTTTACCTTTTACCCTTCGATAGGTCCGGGTAATGTCGGAACCTAGCAACGTACCACCACTTTGGAGTACAGCATACCTGTCCGGATTAACTGGACGACTTTTAAATTCAAAAGTAGAAAATGACGAGCCCAGCGAGCTTATGTCACCGTGGCAAGTTACGTTTCCCCAACCAGCCAGCGATTATCTTGCCTTTCGTCGGAAACTGGATCAGGAAAATGTCAGTTTAGAGAACGTGATAGTAAAAGAATCGGAACAGTGCATCGTGGGCACTGTGAAGGTACGAAATTTGGCGTACGACAAGGAAGTGGTGGTCAGAGCGAGCAACGATTCTTGGAAGACCCACGAGGATGTACATTGTACTTACGTTGAACAACCTGGCGTTCCAGCTTTAATTCTTTACGACACTTTCCGTTTTCGATTAACTCTACCATTAACATCGAACGTAGTTGAGTTTTGTGTACGATATCGTACAGATGGCAAGGAATATTGGGACAATAACGACGGGACAAACTATGTCGTTCGCAAAAAGCTAGAGGTACGTAATTAATTTTATTCAACTTCTTTAGTTACTACATAATAGCCTTTTATTGTAACACAAGGCGTGAAAGTTTGTTCGTGAAAATGTTTCATCTATTTAATAACAGTATGCATCGCATAGAGAAAGGCCCGTATTATCCATTAGTTAAGGTCGTATTGTCTGACCCTTATAAACTCAGGGTTATAATCTTCAAGGCTTTGGAATATCCCGGAGGCGGTGATGTCCACAGTAGGGGCTCCTTCATTCCACTTGATTCTTCCACTACTCGAACCAATTTAATACACACCGAATTTTTATTCCTGATCTCTGTGAAAAGTAAAGAAAGACTCTATTAGACGATATTATCTCTATCCGTTATCGTATAAAATATTTTTTCAATTTCTTCTATTACAGCCTAGGGCACCACCGAAAAGGTACGATATTCTGACAACTTCCTGTGACGGATTCTCGAACAACGGTGCACGGGACAACATAACTCGAATCACAGACGCGACAAGAGCGAATATGCGCACATGGAGCGAATTCGCGTCCTGGCAGCATCTTACAAACGACACCCCGTACTGGTGAATCTTCTTCAAGGACTCTCGTTAAGCGATGTACGAAGTCGTACGAATTCTTCCAGTTTACTTGGTTAATCAGCGAGGCGTAGATCACGCGGGACGAGGTGTTCTCACTACGTACACAACACGACACACGGAAAAGGATGGTGTGTCACGACTGGACACCAGGAATAGGGGAACGGAGAAGAGAATATTGACGAAAGAAGGGAAGCAATCAATTACGATTCATTTCACTTTGTAAAAGGACATGCTTGCGCGGAAGGGATACATAATCGGAGCTCGATAGCGCGGAACATATGGGAAGGAGGCAATGGTCGCGTTACATTTATGGTAAGTTGATCCTTACTAGACGTTCGTGTCGCTACGGTATTTTTTCCTTCTATATGTATATTCTTGTTAACACGTTGAATGACAGATTAATTTCATTATGAATATTATATACACTCTAATCAATATAATTCTGTAATTTCATTTGTAATGTCATCGTTGTTTTATAGTGTTTAAAGTTTAGATGAATTTGCATACTGCCATCATTTCTCTTCACAAGAATACACGCGGCGTGTGTGTGTGTGTGTCTGTCTGTGTATACTTAAACTTTCTCTCTATAAATAACAATCTGCCGTGGTGCGACGATAACAGTCGCGACCGGCGAGTCGCCTGACTCTAATCGCCTTAACTAAAGGTTCTTTAAACCACGCGTGACACGATACGTTTATTTCTTCGTCTTCCTCTTCGTCTCTTTGTTTTCACGAAAAGAAGGGTCTTTTTACGTTCGTTAAGTTAGCTTTTTATATTCCATATAACAAAATTTATATGAAATAATTTATCGCTGTTGAATATTTGATAAATTGAAAATTTAGTTAAGAAACGCAAGTTCACACAAGTGTAAGAGTGACACTTTTACATTCTACAGGCGAGGACACTTGCCTTCGCCGAGTGCGAATGAACTTCTTTCAGGTCATGCAGCTTCAATCAAATATATAGTATGTACTTATACATATGTTCTTATTAAGAAATTGGCTGTACTTCATCACTTTCGGTTTCGCATGTGTAACTTATTAAATATTTCAACCATGACGATAATTTAAGAGATCGCCTTGAGCGATCTTATAGATCACAAACGATTTCATGGTCAAAAGAATAAGTTGGCGAATCCTTGGCCTACTGCCAGGCGACTGACAAATGTGAACGCACTGTACGTGCAAATAAACGTAAAGTAGTTTGATATGTTGAAAATATACATCTCTGATTTATACGAGGCTTCTAGTTGAATTTAACATAAATAAAATCGTGTTCGATTTGACTGTGGAGATGATCGTGAAGAAAGCTTGCAAAATCCAGATGTTTCTGTCCACACGCATTACCCTACATTCTAAGATAGCCAAGTTGACCTATATTTGTGCGTTACCGTCGTATCGCTTGTGCTGTGCTAAAATTTTTTGCTCACAATTATAACAAGTTCGCACACATAAGAAAAGAATTAGAGGAAACGTTATTAGGAAGTATTCGCAATATGTACAGAGAGATGAAATGCAATTCATGAAAGTGAGCTACAATGTAAGAATACTTGTACACACTTGGTACATACCGGTTAAGGCGTGGTTAAAAAGTGGTAGTACAGGATCATGTATGTGTCTTGTGGTGCGTTGCAGTCATGCCATACCACGCCTTGCGAGCTCTGTAAAAACTTTAAGATGTCTAGACGTGTGGGCTGACTGGATATTGTCGACTACCCTGTACCAGGACCGACTTGTTAACACTATATATTCATACTATCCAAAGTATTAGCTTTTGTGGATTAAAAATTCTTTCCCTTAAAGTTTCAAGTCAATAAAAATTGTCGTTTTAACAAGGTTTAACTCTATATAATGAAAGTTAATTAATTTACATTCACTAGATTGCGTAAGGATGACTTGTATAGATAAAAAATCGTAATTTTACAAACGTGATAAAATGTTTTAATTGCGTCATTGATCAATTAAATTCTCGCGTGACAGTAAGTAAACAAAATGTAAAAAAAGAAAAAATGATAAAAACAAATTTATATATAAATACTTCAAGAAAAGAAAAAAAAAAGAAGAAGAAGAAGAAAATCTTTTTATATCAATTTACGTATAACGTAATTAAAAACGATTAAGACAAATGTACCAAAACAAAATAATCCCCGAGGAATAATGAATTATCAAAATCAACAAACTTTATCCAATTTACGTAAGACTGTCGTACGTTTCTGCATTAACGATCATTAAATGCATTGGCATAAAAAAGTGGACAGTTAGGCTAGTAATGAAATGTGATTGTGAACCGTGGCGATACGTGTCCTTCGCGCCACTACTTGGCTTGTTAAACAATTCATTATAAAGCGAACAACTACTATAGCTCTTATTTCTCTTGTTTCAGATTGCAACGTGCAGCCATCAACGCGTACAGATAACAGTAGCCGTGCGAGACAACAGATTATTTCAAGATCAGATCAGATCAGATCAGATTGGATGGATGATTAGAATTCTTAAAGCTTCCCTGACTCTACAAATTCGAAGATATCGCCATAAACGTCTTCTTCTCGATCGTCATCTTCCTTCTCCTCCTCTTCCTCTTTCCTGGAACTTGGCTGCCATAGCCGAGGATGTCCATCAAGATAAGTTTGCACCTTCAAAGTTGACCAAATCTCGCTGGTCTCGCCCGTTCCTCTTTCTCTTTCTCTTTCTCTTTCTCTAATTCTGTTGTCCCCGTTTTTATGCCTTTCTTTCTTTCTTTCTTTCTTTCTCTTTCTTTGCTTATTTTCTCTCTTTCTATCTTTTTCTTTTTCTCTCTCTTTGCCTGTTACTTCTTTCAATTCGTTTCAAACGTCGTACGAATTCAATACCTTTTTCTTTTTGGGCATGATCTTTGGATTATCAACGCGAGGTAACACAACAGCTTAGCTCAACGATAAACAGTAATTAAGAAGGGATTAAGGAAATGAAAAGAGACTACTGCGAGCGGTTTCAAACGCAACGGTCAATCGTCATTGATCATTTTATTAAAAGATCAATGAAAAAAGCTACCTATGATCCGTATTACAAATTTATTTATATCGACAATATGGAATAAGAAATATAAAATAACTGAATGACGGTATCCTTAATAATAATTATTATTGTATATTGGTTATGGCGGTCAACAAGATTGTGTTATTATATGCGTGACACGTTGCAAATGTAACCGCTCGCAGGAACAATTATAAAAGTAATTTGTTTCCGTGAAAGTAATACCGTATCGTTACCGTAATTGTATATAGGTGTAATTATAAGAGAAGAAAAAAGAAAGGCCCGTTACCTTCCGATGCGGGGAATTACTATATGTTTTTGTTATTTCACCGGTGCTAACTGCTGTCTCTTTATTCAAATGATTTACGGAATAACAACGTAAAGAGGCTAAAGTTACACGCGATGTTATTACGTTTGTATCAATCTCGTATTGGTTGTTATCGTCTGATAAATTGGTATCAGTTACCACGGTTATAGAAATAGTCTCCTCGCGTGTCTCGATTTCTGTACGACAAATTAGCTGACAATTAGGCGCGTCGATACACTCTCTCTTCGTGTGTACAATCTTTTCTTATAATCTTCAATTTCATAACGTTCATTTTATGGATAACTTAACGTCGTGCTCGTATCGTGGACACTATTAATTTGTGATCAGATGTTTCCATGGACAGACTAAAAATAGCACTTAATCAACCAACATTTTATAATCATAATCAAAAATTGAAAAAAGAAACATATTTATATAATTAAAATTTATTTTCAAATAGTTCCGTGACACGTGTGTACTGCCATGAGAAAAAACAAGAAGTTGCACATCTTCATTGAAATTAGGAAAACTTTATCAATAGGAATGAATATTCTTTTTGCTGCATCCCAACTAAGAAATTTTGATTTACTATCTTTCGCTTTATTCTCTGTACTGTTTCTTCACCAAGTACAAATCATCGCATGATGGAATGCATGTCATCGTAGTATATCTTTATGTACGACCAGTTCGTATGTGAAACAGTACATGCACTCCCTCCTTTGACTTTTCTTGCCTCAATTGTTGTATTCGAATAAACACTCAGGAAACGAGATTTTCTTTGCAGGGACGTTGGCGTGTGATGATGACGATTATCTCGAGATTGCGAGGAAAAGGACTGCGGGAATGGACTCAGGATAGGAGGGAGGGCATCGAATTATAGTGTATACGGGTGCGATTAGGGATCCTTTCAAATCTGGGAACCACTGGAAAACTGACTACTACTACGACTACTACTACTACTACTACTACTACTACCACCATCGCTACTACTACTGCTACTACTTTAGAAGCTAATCACACGATCCAGCTTAGACGTCTTTCAGTCAATTTTTGCCTACTATCAACAGCACCCAACCTCACTGAAAGGAGAGCAGTCTCTTCATTGTTGATGCCCTCTGTGTAAAATGTATATCGAAGTTCAACTATCTACTGGACATAGAACAATAGGATCTTGATAATGATTGTTCTCTGAACACGACACTTCTGCTTTCTTTTTTTAACGTCGTTGTAATTCTCAGAGTCACAAGACTCTTTCAGGTCTCGTTTTATACGGTCCTTTGTTTTATACGCTCCTATCAGATTTACATATATTTAAGATCCCTCTGTGATGTATCTTTCTTATTAGACTTTGTGAAATTTCCAGTTACGAATGTGTGATTAATTTAAAACGATTCCTAGAGAGTCTTTAACTCTGCTCAAAATTGTTTAATAATAGATTTTGAAATGCAAGTTAGTAATTTATAGGACAACCAGAGACGATGACTTTTGGAGTTTTCTTTCTATATCAAAAATTGAAAGGACGTACAGGGAATATCATAGTAAAATATGTTTGCAGATCCAGCTGTGCCCAAAGTGTTCACCCCCGGTCAATTTATTTTGTACTTAACTCTACTGATTATTCGTCCATTGGTATATTGACCTAATGTTTCTCTATTTTTATAAACAGACAAATTAGTCAAATTAGAATGCAGTAGAAAGACGTATACATATTACACACATGCTTTTATCTCGTTAAGGAACAATCTCTCTCTTTCTCTCTCTTTCTCTCTTTCTTTTTTTCTCGTTTTTACTTCTCGACAATGTAGTTTTGTACATAAACAAGATTCGACATTTTATTTATCGTAATCAAGCGTTTGTTAATTCCAGTGAAGACAGAGGCAACACTCAGAATGATCTACTTATTGAACTTAAAGTTGTTCCTCGCTGTACATCAATCCCTTCTGTGTCATCATGGTTATTCTCGACAATCTAATACTCTTTTTTTCTTTTTTTTTTGTACTGTATCTTGTACTCGATTCATTCCAGATATTGTACAGAAAATCGTTTGCCATTAATAAAGTAGTTTAGTGAAGGAAGAATATTTCGAACGACTGAATGTACATATATAGAAGAATCAAAATCGAAGAAAAGCAAATTATTCTTCGATAGTTTATTCGTTTATATACTCGTATACGTATGTAAATAATACTGGCTCCTGATATTAATTATTTAAATGGGATTTAATTTAGGTGAAAACAATAACGACTTATATGTTTAATGTCCTTTAGAGTGCAATAGAGCTTTCTTCTTTCTTTCTCTTTCTTTCTTTGTATATATATATGTATATGCATCGCGATATATTGTATATTAATAGCGATAGATAAATCGCAACGAGTTCAACGAACGGAGGGAAGCGCGTTGCACCGGTTTTAATTCGCGTTTCAGCTAGCAGAGTTTAGCAAGCCTTCGAAAACGCCGTTAGGATACTTCCGTGTCACATTGCGTCCAATATAATTAGATGTATTGTGTTCATTTCACGTGAATAACACCGTGCCGAGTAAGCGAATATGTTAAGATAAAATCTACATTTGTACACGCTTAAACTGTTGCGCTGCGCTCGTTTGAAGAAAGGAGAGTTTCAACCAGTACTGTCAAACGTTAAAGTTTAAAAAATTTATCTACTTTAGTAAGCAATCTAGGGAGAGGCCAATACTAGGCGGTACTTGTTGGAATTCTTCAACTATTTTATAGATTAATCGTTTGAATGCTCTCATAACGCGCTCACTTTGTGCTTATCAATTATAAGAATGTCTCAAAGTCAGTTTCAAGAATTATACATATTTTGACACGAACTAGTGGCATTCAAACGGTGAAGTAAATTCGTGCAACGTAAAAAAAGAGTAATCGCTACTTACAATACAACAAGGTCGTTACTTAAACCCTGAAGGAGCGATGTACTAACATAAGTGATATAAGGATACTCAGGACCACATACAGTGTTCTGTTTTAAGGGGTTCCATTTTAATACATATTGCTTGGAACACGTTTACACTTTACGAAACATTTCCTAAATTGCTCTTTCATGTACCTTTGCCTCTTGAAGGCTTTCACGATCTTGTTACGTTTTGTGGCGGCGACTATTTTCACGAAGCTCCTTAAGAATAAATTTGCCTAGATATTTAATATAGTAAAGCGAGATTATTAACGAACACACGCATATATATATATACACACACACACACACAAACGAAATGCGTTATTTAAATGTAGAATTTCCTTTTGAGAGCCGTAAGACTGATAACTTAACGCGGACCGCACAGGCTGTTGTATATATAGTATATTAATAAGATGCGAGGCCGAATTTCCGTAAAGCTTAACGACGCGATTGAAACGTTTTTTTTATTAGAAAATTATACGATCGTTTCTTTTGATCACGTCGATGAGTTTTATTGAAAGTTTTATTCCTCAAATTAGGGCACATCCGGCGTTAAGTTGATTCGTTAAAGTTCGTTTAAGGCTTTGCGAAAATGTGAAAAAAGTTCCCGAAAAGAAATTAATATATCTTGGCTAGTTGTCAAACGTTACTTCGCGTTGTGATTTTTTTTTTGTTAAATATATGTATTTCTCCCTTTTATTGTATAATAATTGTAATATTTGAAGCCTGAGTATAGTCTAGATAGATTTATGATAATAACAATAATAATGTTATCAGTTACTTGATCGATTTTTCTTTTTTTTTTTTAATTAGTATATAACACGACTGCGAATTTATCATTATATGAACGCGTTTTATTCTTTGTATATGTATACAAACGTCTGTTATTGAAAATTGTAAATATTCTAACGTGTTATGTACTATATATATACAATATATATACACATATATATTTAGAGCGATTAGAAATATTTTTTAGGTGGGAATCATTATGTGCCGTAGAAGTTATTATTCTTAAGATCGCGACAAAAGAGAAATGCGTAAGACGAAAGGTACTAAACTAGATAGGCTTTAGAAATTATGTTTCATTATTGATGATACATATTAGAAGAAAATATATACGTATACACATAAAATTTATTATCCATATTTCGCATTATCTATACTAATATCATCAAAATTAGAAAACACTTTGTTATATCTTTATTTCTTTTCCAGTATTCATTACACGATGATTTATCATTCTGATGACTACTCCAGGAATAAGGATAAATTGTTTTAATTAACGAACATCATTTATCTAAATAAATTTATTAATATAATTAATTACAAATATACGTGTATTTATTCAAAATGAAACACTGTTAGCGTTAACAATTATATTAGCGTCACGATAATACATGATTATTTCCTTCCAAACAACGTCATACGATCCTTTGTATGGGAAATCTCATATCGGATCGGCGCAAATAAAATAAAAAATAATGTCTCGTTAATAAACGTCATAACTTTCTCAAGGTGTTGAAATATTTCTTTTATTGAAAAGTTTTCCTCAATTATGAATGAAAAAATGACATTCGATTACATCATTCAACTTCTTCAATTTTTCTATAAAAAGTTTAGCTTCGGGGTCCCTGAAACCCCAATATGTAATGTCGGTATACAGAGCGTTATCGATGCATCGGGGTCTCTGACACCCCAGATACCTATTGACAGTGCTTCGGGGTCCTTAACACCCCAGATACCCAATGCCGGTGCTTCGGGGTCCCTGGCACCCCAAGATGTCATGTCAGTATACAGAGAGCGCTATCGATTCTTTGGGGTCTCTGACACCCCAGATACCATATTGTTGGTGCTTCGGGGTCTCTGGCACCCCAAGATGCCATGTCGGTATACAGAGAGCGCTATTGATGCTTCGGGGTCTCTGACACCCCAGATACCACATTGTGGGTGCCTCGGGGTCCCCGACACCCCAAAATGTCATGTCGGTATACAGAGAGCGGTATCGATGCTTCGGGGTCTCTGGCACCCCAAGATGCCATGTCGGTATACAGAGAGCCCTATTGATGCTTCGGGGTCTCTGACACCCCAGATACCATATTGTTGGTGCCTCGGGGTCTCTGACACCCCAGATACCATATTGTCGGTGCTTCGGGGTCCCTGACACCCCAAGATGTCATGTCGGTATACAGAGAGAGCTATCGATGCATCGGGGTCTCTGACACCCCGGATGTCACAATGTCGATATGCAAAGAACATCATCCCTGCTTCGGGGTCTCTAACACCCCAAGCCATTAACTTACCGACTGCCGAAGGGTCGATTACCGACTGTTGGAAGTTCAGTCGATAAGTCGGTAATTCGTTGAGTAGTTTCCCACGCTTTTGTATAGATGGCGCAGTGTTCGGACTTTTAAAATTTAGGCGGTCTTTTCAAAATATAAGTTTGTCACATAATTATTCTAATAATTTTTCTGAAGTTAGTGGACGATTATTATACCGGTTGTACATACCCTCTATGTATGTACAAGGCAAATTTCATCAAGGGGTGCCTGGGACCCCGAAGTACGGTTCACTCTCTGCATATCGACATGGAGGGGAACTGGAGAATATAATGAGATAAAAAAAGACAACGAAGAAGTAACAGCCCAAATAACAAGCATCGCAATAAGAGGTGACAGTTAAGCACGTACAGTGTGAAATTCGTTAATCATGGTGTTAAGATTTTCCTTATTAAGAGTGTTATCCTTACTATGCTTCTTTCTTCTTTCAACTGGTCCTACATTCTGCAATGGGCAATATGAAGGTAAAAAAGATTCTTTTTTATTTATTTAATACTAACAAAATCATCTTAAATACCTTGGTTACATAATGCTAAGATTATTCTATTATCCTCATAGCGAGTACAAATTCTCTATAGTAGTATAAATAGTATAATTAGTATAATTTTCAGGTGAATCCTGTAAAATTGATCAATCACCAGGTGTTTGCTCACGTCTGGAACAATGTCCACAGGTTTATGAGGATTTACTAAAAGGGATACCTCCCCAAAGCATGTGCGGGTATTCCTATTTTGATCCTATTGTATGTTGCCCCGTAAATAGGCCAATACCTATACCAATGCCGGCACCAGAACCTGATCCTACTCCAGGAACATTTATTAGCGATAGGGGTGACAAAGCAAGAGCAAGTATGTACATTTTCAGTTTTACCAATATTAGTAATAACTTGTAATTCAAATACCCTCAGGTGTATTACTCTGTATTGCTTCTTCAGAGTTTCAGTTATATCGTGAAGAGAGAAGGAGTATTTATCATTTTCAGGCCTTCAGAGGGTGGCTTTATCGAAACTGTATTATAAAACTGATGCATCGAACCGATGTATGTTTCAGAATGCGAGGAATACTCGAGATCAGTGTACGCGTTCGTAACTCCGCCGACATTAGACGTCAATCGAAAACCCGTAAATGTATCGTTATGTGCGCTGAAAACCCGCAAGCTTATCGTTGGTGGTAAAAAGGCTGAACCAAAAGAATTTCCACACATGGTTGCGGTTGGATTCAATTCCGGGGACGGAGGTATTGCTTGGCTCTGTGGTGGTACTTTGATTTCGGAAAGATTTGTCTTAACCGCGGCTCATTGTACCTATAATTTAAATTTGTAAGTATCTCTATCTTGACATTCATTCATTTCGTTTATACCTAATTCATTCTAATTATTTTATGTTGCAGTAAGGAAGCAACGTGGGTTCGAGTGGGTGATTTGAATCTGGAGAGAACAAACGACGACGCGAAACCGCAAGATATTCAAATTACAGAAAGAATAAGACACCCTTCGTACAAGAAACCTTCTGAATATCACGACATTGCCCTTCTCAAATTAGAAACGAATGTACAGTTCAACGAGTGGGTTAGACCTAGCTGTTTGCCTTATTCTTTACCGGATACCGGTACAGATAATAAAGCAACCGCAACTGGATGGGGACGCGTTGACTGGGGTAAGTAAAAAGTAATAAACAACAAAAGTTAAAAAATAATTTATCAAATACTATTCAGTCTTATTACTTCAGCCGAGGACACATCCAGTGATTTATTAAAAGTTACCATTAACTTGGTACCTACATCAAAATGTAATAGCACCTTTATGAGAGGTCAAAGGGATGCTAAACTTAAATATGGTATTGTGGATGATTGGCAAATTTGTGCTGGTGAACCTGGAAAAGATACTTGTCAGGTATCTAACTATAATATAGATTATATTTTTAACATCATGACTAGTATCATATTATATGTTTAATTTTATATACAGGGTGACAGCGGCGGACCATTAGTTATTTTAAACAACGATTATAACTGTATGTATACTTTAATCGGTGTCACGAGTTTGGGAAAAATTTGCGGTAGCATAATTCCCGGTGTATACACCCGGGTTTATAATTATGTTCCGTGGATAGAAAGCGTAGTTTGGCCAAGCTCGTGATGTATTAAAAAGGAAGATGAAATAAACATATTTTTTATATTGATAACTCTGTATTTTCTTGTTAAATAATAATACATAATAAATTTCTCATGTCTACATTTACAGTTCTTATCTGTGCTAAAATCATAAGAGAAGATTCATAGAAATCTGTAAGCTATCATAATGATTCTAGTTCATAATCCCCAAAGGATTGATGGAGAGAAGTTTAGGTTTGAAGTAGAAATTTCGAATAATATTTGGCATTGATCTCCAGACGCGCAAGCGCCAGCCGGCAGATTATACCTAGTTTTCGTTACACGGTTTCTCCATTCATTCACAGGAGCTAACTATACCGTGGCCATCTATTTTCGTTTGTCCAGAGTCCTGAACCGATCGTGACTAAGGTAAGAATCGTAGGTTTCTAACAAAGCACTGTACACGAAACACATTATTCTTCTTAACGTATGAATGATATCAATACTGCTGCTTGTCTCAGGGGAACAAAAAAATCGTCACCCACGACTTCATATTTCCTGACACACTCACAAACAAAATAAAAAACACTCACCTTATTCAATATCATAAAAATGGACAGTATTTCATTAGGTAGGTGATATTAATTAATTTGTAATCGTAGTCAATTACATTGATAAACATTATAGAGAATATTTTTCTAACAGTACACTAAATCAATGTCGGTCATCCTTGACGAATGTGGAAATGGTACCGGTTCTCCATCGATTTCGAAGGCTGAAGATAACTTGTCCAATAGCGACGGTCCGCTGATCAAGGGGTATGTTTACCAAATTCTATCAACTACATATTTAACCGATGACAATGACACAATGCTTTCAGTTCTGAAAATATTAATCAAACAACAGTCACCACCTCCTCTCGCACCATGTCAATGACAAATGAAAAATTAACAAAACGACGTTATTGTCTGTGGATCTTAACTTTTATTTTGTCGATCATTGGTCTTTGCAATCTTTTCCTTAATATCACTGTCATCGCTGTTCTACGGATCAGTCAAGGAATGGAAGCTATGGAGATGATTCCTGACGAAAATCTTGTCAAGTTTTATGGGAAAACTGACTTGGATAGGGTCAGTTAAATTATAATACTATTTCATACTTTTACCAGTTGTGTTCTATAGATCGTTTGATACCCACAGGTGTGTTTGCAATCAGGTGTTTGTCAAAGCTATGGTGACGAATCAATGGAAGTCTCTGGTGATGAAGCAGGCGTGCAAATAGATGTAAATGGTCAGAGAACACGCGACGAAACGGGTGCAAAAGTCACAGTCTTACCAAATGGAACCTCAATTTCCCAAGTAGAATCTTTTGAGATCAGAGATTCGAGATCTGGAGCTATTTACTTTACTACTGATTTTCCAAATTTCGGTTTACCAGCTGGCGTAGAAAGAATAGACGTTAAACTTGCCGAGACCCACAGAATCACATCACCGGTTAACGAAAGTCTAACTGTAAATTCTGACGATCAAATTTCTATGCAAGGCGCTGAAGGTGCTAGCATGGAAAGCAAAGATATCGTCTGGAGTGCGGATACCGATATCTTCTTAAAAAGCGTCAATGGAAGCATCGTTCTTGACGCCAAAGATGGCGTTTCTATTGACGTTGAAAATATACCTGTAACACCGATGTTTCTGCAAAATTCACCTGGTCACGAACAGTACAAAGTTTGCGTTTGCATGCCACAAGGAAAACTTTTTAGAGTTGCGGTTCGTACAGGTTCTAACAGCCGATCTGTAAACTGTGCTCGTATCAGTAGAACTCCAGAAAATGATCCTTGTTTACGATAGAATCTGTTGTAATTTAATTATTTTACATATCCAACACTGTGTCTAGTGTACGAACAACTGAAACAATAAGAATTGATTTATTATTCCTTCAATTCTGGAATCATTATTATAGGAACTCGTAAATTTATTACAAGTACTGTAATTCAGATTTTATTTCACATATATGTATGTATAATTAAATCGCACTCGGCAATCTTTCAAACATTACGTACAATTACAATTATATGTAACATCGATCATTATGTTACTGTTATTAGGAAAAAAATGATACATTGAAATTCATCGATAATACTGTATCCGCTAACTTTTGTATAAAATAATAAAGACTTTGAAGAAATTATCGTCCTGGGAAATAGTAGAAAATTCTTGGTTTTATCCCTGAAGTTTTAGCACAGAAAGTTAACCGCTTTCCGTTATCATTTCCTCGTTACTTTCTTCCATATCCTCTTGCTGTTCCTGTTCCGTTGGAGGTTCGTATGCTTTATCTAAAGGACTGGCAACTACACCACCTACCCATACACTCATTTCTACGGCAAGTTTATTAGTACCCTCGAGTAACGGTCTATATCCTCCATGAGCTAATACGCGTAACAACGTTTGAGCTGTGAGACATACCAAATCTTGTTGTTCTAATGTCATAGCTGTATGCACACGTATATTACCACCTTCGCATGGATCGGATATACCTAAATAAAGTTATATCACAATAAAATATCATACGATTTTTATATTTAAATCATTATTTAATACGATAAATTTTACCTGCAGATCCAGGCAGGAAGAGTCCAGAAGCTAGTAACTGAAGCACTCGTTTATACGCTTGGTTTATCGGCAGTGCTTGTCTACTAGGATTATTCATTATGGCGTTATGAGCCAACAAATCTAACATCCAAGGTGACAATGGTTCTAAACCTTCGAATCTACTTCTCAGATCTCTAAGTAATCTTATTAAAACTTTTATACTAGAATGATGAGCATTTTCCTCGAACCATCGGGAATGTCTGATTGCAGCAAGGTGACCTTGACATATTTTTACATCTAAATGCTGATCAGATTCTAATTTTCGTAGATTTTGATGTAAAGTGGTAATAAGTACGCGTACCGTAGCTTCGTTGTTAGAAATATCGAAGCCACGTTCCGTCTGAGTAAGTCTGAAAATCTCTTTCGGATTAACGCTTTTCAAGTCGTTATTGACTTTCGTACCAAGCGCTTCTACCGCAGTTTTGGTAGGCAACGTCTTAAGGATTACAACAATATCAGCTACATTGTGACCCTTGATCATTGTTCCTTTTTTAAAGCTACCCACTTGTCTTACTTCCTCCAGTTGCTATAAAAAGAAATTGTTTTTAAACGTATAGAAAATATAGTCTAAACAGATGAAATAAATAATTACACAAGCTTCAAAACTGCCTGGAGCAACAATTAAATTGTCGAGTACACTCTGTAGCTTAGTTACAAGATTTAAAATAGAAGTTTGCTCCTTGGGTGTAGGGCACATATCTGTGTTCTTTTTCAAAAGTGCCACTTGAAAATCTGATTCATCTGGAGCAGGTTTAACGCGTGGAAAAGCAGCTTCGCATAGCGTATAGTCAAATGGGTGACGTGGAAGAAATTGCTTCCTGGGAAACCCCATTCCACGTCCCATACCACCTCTGCCTCCTCTAATCATTCCACCACGACCACCACGTACCATATTATGCCTAATGATAGAAAAAGCGCTCAAAAATATTCTAGAAACATTTGTTACATTTTAATAATAATTTGAATTACACAGTCATCCTTGCATTCAATAAAGTTGCTTAGATTATTTAAGAATCTATACATCGAATTAATAATATACAATGAATAATAATATCTGATTTAACGACAATTATAAGGAGAAAATTAACCATAAAACTTTCCGGCATCATTCACATTCGATGAAAATACTCGTTCGAAGGGTTAAATGATAATTACAAAAGTAAGTGAACCTTACCAACAAATGGAAAAATAAATTTAATATTATTTTACAATGAGTAACCAGTTGTTTTTTCTTTATTACGATAATATCATATAACCAAGTACAACAAACTCTACTCAGTGACAACTGATACAAAAGACTAGATATGCCTTTATTTTTTAGGGATCAAGATATTGAGGGGTCCCAGATACCCCGAGATGAGTTCGATCTACAGCAGAGTGAGAAACCTCCAGTCTTATAGCGACCGCCGAGGAGTGCGGATCTACTTTATAAATGTACCTGTAAATTTATTTTATTTTCTGCGTTCATTTAATTTGCTGTATTTATCTTCTTCATTTATTTAATAAACTCATTACGAGGATGAACGTGTTGATATTATTTCAGTGTGCCTCGCCTGTTATTTTATCCTTTTACTTATTATTTTACTCCCATTTGTAGGCTTCGCAGGGACCACCCCCCAAAGTCATTTATTATTTTATCTCCTTGCATGGGAAGAGTGGGCACTCTTCCCAGTTATTTATTAGTTTTTTTATCTTTGGGGACTTCACGGCGCACAGCCCTATATCACTGCAAACCTTAGATGTCTGTATCCCTTACATCCATGTCTACTGCACATCTCCACATCCCTTACATCCCTACATCCCTTACATCCCTACATCCCTTACATCCCTACATCCTTACATCCCTACATCCCTTACATCACTACATCACTTACATCCCTACATCCCTTATATCCCTACATCCCTTACATCCCTACATCACTTACATCCCTACATCCCTTATATCCCTACATCCCTTACATCTCTTACATCCCTTACATCTCTTACATCCCTTACATCCCTTACACCCCTACATCCCTTACATCCCTACATCCCTAAATCCCTTACATCACTAGATCACTTACATCCCTACATCGCTACATCCCTTACATCCCTACATCCCTACATCTCTTACATCCCTGCAGCTGGCTTCCAAAACCATTCTTTAACCCTTTCATATTAAGCAAAAATTCATTATGGTTTAGTTCCTTTTTCCGAAATCAGATGGCGCTGATCGGACGTCGAGATTTTAGTTCACATTTTTGCCGCCAGAGGGCCAAAAATGGTGCAAGGTTTAGTTCCTTTTTCCGAAACCAGATGGCGCTGATTCGACATCGAGATTTTAGTTCACATTTTTGCCGCCAGAGGGCCAAAAATGGTGCAAGGTTTAGTTCCTTTTTCCGAAACCAGATGGCGCTGATTCGACATCGAGATTTTAGTTCACATTTTTGCCGCCAGAGGGCCAAAAATGGTGCATGGTTTAGTTCCTTTTTCCGAAACCAGATGGCGCTGATTCGACATCGAGATTTTAGTTCACATTTTTGCCGCCAGAGGGCCAAAAATGGTGCATGGTTTAGTTCCTTTTTCCGAAACCAGATGGCGCTGATCAGATGTCGAGATTTTAGTTCGCATTTTTGCCGCTAGGGGGCGCTGTTTTTTCGAAATTTTCGCAAACTAACTTACCTTTACTCGAAGCAATCTTTATAATATATTTATTATAAGGGATGCAGAGATGTAAGGAATGTAGGGATGAAAAGAATGTAGGGTTGGAAGGAATGTAGGGGTGATAAGAATGTAGGGATTTAAGGGATGAAGGGATATAAGGAATGTAGGGTTGGAAGGAATGTAGGGGTGGAAAGAATGTAGGGATGATAAGAATGTAGGAATTTAAGGGATGAAGGGATATAAGGAATATAGGGATGTAAGGGATGAAGCGGTGTATGGAATGTAGGGATGGTAATAATGTAAGGATTTAAGGCATAAAAAGAATGTAGGGATGAAAAGAATGCAGGGATGTAAGAGATGCAGCGATGTAACGGAACGAGGGATGTAAAGGATACAGGGATGTGGGTGGTGGAGCATCTCAGGGATGCAGAGATGTACAGGGATGTAAGGGATGCAGAGATATAAAGGATAGAGGGATGTGGGTGGTGGAACATCTAAGGGATGCAGAGATATGAAGGATACAGGGATGTGGGTGGTGGAGCATCTACGGGATGCAGAGATGTGCAGGGATGTAAGGGATACAGGGATGTGGGTGGTGGAGCATCTAAGGGATGCAGAGATGTGCAGGGATGTAAGGGATGCTGAGATATAAAGGATACAGTAATGTGGGTGGTGGAGCATCTAAGGGATGCAGAGATGTGCAGGGATGTAAGGAATGCAGAGATATAAAGGATACAAGGATGTGGGTGATGCAGCATCTAAGGGATGCAGAGATGTAAGATGTGCAGGAATGTTAGGGATGCAGACATCTAAGGGATGAAGGAATATAAGGAATTCAGGGATTTTTACTAGGGGGACACTGAGCATATTCTGGGCTGTACTTAGGAAATTTTCAGATATGTATAACTTCAAATACGAAGGTTGATTAATAAGACGTTTTCATGTATGTATAATATACAGAATTATATTGAAAATACAAAAAACTTGCATGTCTAATTTCTACTTACATCGAGTACGTACTTGTTCGAAATATACAGCATCTTACAATTAATACATAGTATGTGTGTTATGTGTTCGTATTCCATTAAAAAAAGATGTCTGTAAGTTTTAGAAAATCTTCAGCACGAAGCAACCACTATCGAGTCTTTTATTTTTTGTAATAATTTCATACAAATCACACGTTGTGCTATCGAGAAAAGCGATTTATATTTCTATAGAATCGTAATTACTTTAGTGTAAAAGTATTCATAAACTAATAATGTATTTTTGAAAGAATAATCAAACTGAATCACAGTACACCAGGGGTTTTACAGACAACTGTTTTTGATTACAAATAAAATCTGTCAAGATTGTACAAATTAACATTTCACATATTTCTTTTTTCAATATTATATATATGTATATTTCTTAATTTACTAATTTTTGTTTTAATGGAAAATTATAAAATATAAAATTCTTTATGCCGTATAAAAGTGTCGAAGAGCACTATTAATTTTTGTTTTACGTAATAAATATATAAAGCTAGAGATACATCAATTAACTGACTGCGTTGAAATTGTCATTTCTGTATTTAATTTAAAACCAAAATATGTTTTTATACCTTCTTTCGTAACTAATAAAAACCCATAAATATAAGAACGGAACAAAAATCATTAACTCTCATTATCTATGCGTTATCGAAATACTTCGATCATTTCGTTACAATTTTATTAAAGAGCGAAACCATAAATTGCATTAACTAAATACACAACAACAAACTTCTTATTTCCAGCGCGATTATACAATTTGAAACGGTTTCAGACTTGTACCAACATTGATCTTTGATTTCAATGCAATAGGAATTATCACGGTTCGTACGATGGCATTATACATATATTTTAACTACGTACATTATACTCTCAATTATAAGATTCCATTCCTTTCTTTCGCATAAATGCAACAATCCTTTTCCCTTATATAACAAACATTCTTTATTCTCCAGCAAATCGTTTTTCTTTTTCAAGTAACGAGTAATAATTATAGATAAATACTATCCAAGCTATACCCTACGGACTACCGCAGATAGAAACGCATTAAAAATGGTATAAAACGGACATATTTTTGTTTTCTCACAACGCTATATATATATATAATAAATCATATGATTTTTTCTTTTTTTTTTTTTTTGTATTTTCTTTTGCCTAAGCATATAATTGCAAATACAACTTACATGTTTAGTACGGCGTTCAATAAGTACACCGTTAAGTTTTTTCCAGGCAGGGAAGAGGATTAAGATATAAAGTGCTAATAATTAAATCGGGGTAATCGAAATATTAATGTTGCGTGTCTGTTAGGCTCGATCGACCCTCTTGGTTCTCTTCAGTCTTTCTTACAGCTCGATTAAACCGACCCTTGTTTTACTCCGTATTCTTGCAAAATCTAGCGCGACAATCCTGACTTTCGTGTACGTGGTTATTTGTTTTGTTATCTTCTTCACTCGATGGTTATGCTGGGCGTTACGGATCCTCGCCTGGTCAACCAGACCCTGAAAAATATTAATCATTTCTATTAGTCATCAGATGATTATAGCGACCATAATAGCGAAAGAATTAAAATCTACAAGTGTAATTACATAAATTCACTCACCCTAAGCCAGCTCCAACCAACACGGACAGAATATTCGTGATAAACAGAGTATAAAGAACCTCTTTGGAAAACAAGCCAATCTTGCCAACTTTCGTAGTACGAATGCTATAAGATTTCTTTTTATTTATTCCCTGAGGATGTTTGAATTTCCAGTCTCTGGAAAAGAAAAAGAATGTCAATAAATACACTGTTTTTATTGTAAGAGAAAAACCGTCTAAATATAATGTATGTGTTGATACTTTGGCGGTGCTTGATCTGGTCGCGAACTCCATTCGTAAATCCAATCGGTATTCTTCTCCAAAAGTTCATTTTCCTGCAAAGAAAATGTAAGAAACGTTAAAATTGTTCTATCTAATTGTCAGAACCGTTTGAAATCGAAACTAAGCACTATTATAAAAGCTTCAGAGTTGTCGACACCAGAATTCATTTTATAATCTCTGACGAATCGATTTAATAGCGTTTAAATGATCGTACAGGTGGATCTTGTATCATCCAGTGAAACTAGAGATTCACATACTAGTATGTAGCGTAGCTTCACACATCCAGCTACGTATCAGTTTGTACCAAGCTGCTTTTGTTCAGCTGGTTTAGCTCGAGAAAGACTAACAATATATCATAATTCTAAGATTTTTAGTTTTACAATTTGCAGAAATATAACATACAGAGTGATTTCTATTACGCCACTATTGAATCAAGTTCTAGTCACCAGTATCATCCGTCATCAATGATTTTTGTTAAAAATATCTATTTAATTAAAAAAACAATGTTTATGAAATGGTGGATAAAATATATGGTTACTCTGGAATACATAGATAGAAATACTTGAAGGAAGGACGCGAAAAATTCTTATCTATCAATGACTTGAAAAATAGAATATCCAAAGATATCGTAACTTATCGAAACGTAATTAAGTATATTATGATATATAAGAAACATTAAACGAGGCGTGCAGTTGTTTGTAAACAATGTAACACTGTTATTTAATCTGACACAATTTAAATTTAAATTTAAATGATAAAAATAAATTTATACGATAACTTAATTTGTTTTATGCCAGAGAAAATTTAATTTTTGTGCAAAATGATACGATATTGGGAGTTTTTTTTCCAATTTTTTCTTTCTAAATTCGTTTAAACATCTATTCCACGACTGAACACCTTGTATTAAAAAAGCTTATCAACTTATCAATGATAACCCGTCATGAATTATCGACCAGTTTAAAACGTTCCGCGCAAAGACAGCTGTGTGATACCAATTCTCTTTCATTATTAAATAATATACAGAAATTATAGAAAATAAATTAAGTTGATCGTTTTATTTCTAATGAATTTCCTCTTGTATATATACTACATATTTATGAAAAAACACGTATGAACTGAAATGATTAAAAATCGATAAAATATAGTTTAACTGGCACGGTAAAAATAACTATGACTAACTAGGACGGCGAACTACGGTATGAATTATTAAGTATATTAACACGTTGAATGCTCTGCTGCTGGTCATCGCTGACCTGCACCACAAATATAATAAAGGCTCCTCAAGTTTTGTATAATCGAATAATTAAAATATTCTTTCGTAGCGCCAGTCAGCGATGATAAATATTTTTAGTAATATTTGTAGCATCATTTCACGCTTGTTATATGTGATCCGTGATCTAATTTATTCAAATCTTTTGCCAAGTTCGCTGAACGCATCACTCGTCTCCTACTTCCCAAAATAGGATTAGAAAGGAACGCGTAATAAATGTTAAAATTGCGTTTAAATTAATTTGTATTTATCAAACGCGTAGATGGTTTGAAAATATTCGAGTTTTTCATTTTGTAAAGATAGCGTAGCAGAGAATCTGGCGAAGATTACGACGATTCTAAATCGGTTTTATCGAATCGCCGACTCATGTTAGCCGACAACTAATTTGTACCAGCTATTTTTCTCCAGCTAGAAAACTCCTATTCATCGTGGGAAATTAAATCCTCGCGTTGGCTCTTTTATTACCACAAAAATAGAAAACAAAAACAACGCTATGAAAAGCATCAAGTTAAAACGAAACCAAAGATTCGGAGTAAAAGATTAACGCGCAAAAGTCTGAATAACGGAGACGAAAATCAGAGACGAATGCGTTTAAACAAACAAAACATGGGACCAAGGACTGCAACACGATCTAGACTACGATATACGAAGTAGAACCTTAAAAGGACTGTTCATTAAGTTACAACGCGGTCATTCTATAAAACGACGCGACGGTTACGACGACGTTCAATGAGATCATGCGAAACGATGAAACACAACCGTTTCAATTGTGAAATTTTCTGCAAAGACAGACAAATAAAACTCGCATGGTGCACCTTGGAATTTATTTACACCTGTAAAATATTACCGTCCTACGTGTTTTGGAACAGCCCACCGGTGTTTGATATTCAAGGTATTCGCAAAGAAACAACGAAAGAGATATCCTTGAGCATCGCATCTCTGGATGCATTTTCGCATAAATAAACGTTCAAAATTATAAACGTGAATCAAGCGGAAAATGTTGAAAACTAATAAAATGAACAGTACACAAGTTAATTCTTGAATATGTATATTTGAGATCGAAAGAAAGCAGGTCAGACATGTATTTTGCCCTCGGTAAAATGGCAACTATATATGGTACATATGTAGAAGACACTTTGCAAGACCTGACAAATTCATTCGATATTGCGCATGGTGTGAGCTCAGAACAGTTTCGGATTGGTTACCGACTACTACGACGCTGTTGAAAAGAAGACTGGTACCTCTCCTCTCGCTCTTTCATTGCCATAATCGTTCGTGGGTTTCTTTCTTCGACGTCTCCTACTCCATTTTCTGAGCGCAATAACCGAGAATTACACGACGCGATCGTTCGAAACCCCTTGGAAGAAACGTTTCACCACGTATCCAGACCTCCAGAGAGGGTCAATAACGAGCTTCGTTTTTCTTTAACGCGATTCAATTATTTATTAACATCGAAGAAGAAATAATTTGTTAGAAAGAAAACAAAGTACTCTGTTTGTTGCAACAGTGATGCATTGAAAATCATGAAAGCTGCATAGTGTAATCCGGATTGGTGTACGTCTCTCTCTCTCCCGATTACAATATTACACATGATCTGCTATAAATTTGTTTATACAGATTTTATAATACTTCCTCCATGTTGGCCAATCTTATCAAAGAATCCAACGAGAGTAGCTTAATTTGAATAAAGAAAATCATTCAACACCCACTTTCCACCTATCGCTCCGTTACAACACCAAATCCCCAATGAACCGATCGATTCAAGTTATCGATGAATATCAGTAGTATCTACAGAATTTTTTTTCGAGTCAATTGATTTAAATACCTAATTATAAAATATGATACAGCAATTCCTAGAACCGATTTCTCGAGGAAACTTGAGGAATCGAAAGTAAACGACTGAATTCTGAAGCGAAACTCTTAGATCCTAATCTACAAACGCGATAAATGAGTGCAGCCAATATAAACAATCTAGGAGTGTATGCGGAACTTGGATAGTTCAACAACCGGAATGGTACGTATGTTGAAAGGGACATTCGTACGGTTTTATTTTCGTATCAAGGGCATATTAAATTTCTCCTGTGTTTAAACGTCATTAATAATGAAACGAATTTCGTGGAGTTGCACGAGTACAAGCGCACGTTGTTCGCGTAACAGGCAAAAGAGAAATTTTTTTTTATTGCATAGCAGCTTCCTTCTCACAGTGCATTTCCGCATTGCACTACTTGCGAATTCGCGGTAGGTACTTTCTACGAAAACAAATTATCCACAAGAAATCTAGCATATGCTGAATTATTTCTCGTATTTCAGAAACAGAGACGCAATGACCACACAGTCATTATAATCACTTTTTTATCAAGAATAATCTGAATTTATTTCGAAGAAAAGTAAGAATTGCAGAAATGAAATGAAATGAAATGAAATGATATCCAACTGTAACTAACTCGTATTTCTCAACTAATGCGGACAATCGTGTTTATCACGTTTCACGGAACAACACGAACGCGTTCACGTGGAATGGGCAATAACAAACGGCTGACTTAATCCGATATAAACATCAAACCCGATCCACACTATCGATCCTTTCATATTCTGCTCTTGGTTCGATCAAATATTCTCCCAGGATTCTTCGAGCTTAACCGTTAGCCAAAAGAAGTCCACGTTTCATCCTAATTCGATCGAATAATGATCGAACCAAGAACGGATCGATGGTATGGATCGAGCCTAATGCATCGTATCGAGTGTCCCTTTTTCTAAAGCTCGCGACTCGACTCGACTCACCTCACCTCACCGCGAGAAGTTCAACCCGTTTTCTTAAACGCGATGCAAGAGATTGCGGGAGGGAGGACCGGTTCTTGCTCAAAGATGAGGAGAACGCCGATTCGCTGGTTCGCGATCGCGTGATGTGTTAACAGAGGCAAACACAGGCGTTCAAATGTGCAACACAAACCAAGGTGAACGATCTATACAATGCATATAATGTGTACGTACGTATTTCCAGTTCTCCCTTCCGATTAACCCGTTCCGGGTTAAGTGTACCGTTTTTAATAGCCTCTAATGTATGCATCATTGATTAATAACTTCTTCGACGCAGAATCTTACGGTTTTAGAAAAACGTCATTTCTTGTTGCTCACGAATATCAAGGACGTTCGTTCGCATTATCCGATAAACATTTATCTATCATACGTAGCGTAATCGTTGGAATTAAAAGTGCTCGTCGGAATAGGAAAAAATAAATGTCGCGTCGTAGATAGCATTGTTGTTGCAAATGAATATACATCGACGTAGAAGAACAGAAAACTTCCAAGATATTCTATTTTTAATCCGTTATCTAAGCGGTTAGAAGGAGAAGGAATCGAAAGATTCTCAAAGAAGAGAGAACTCCAGAGAACTGCATGCTTTCCAAGAGACCTTGCTTTCACAAAGCCGCACACACAAAGGAAAAGTTGCATACACTTGCAAACACGGTTGAGCAACTGACTAATGGAAAATCCTCGCCGCCACTACATACGACTCACTCTCTTCACAGCTCGTTATCAACATTATTCATTCTACCCCGGTACAATCGCCTTTGTTGTTAAAAATAACGTTGCCGTTCTTTTTAACGATGCATCTGCCGATACCGCTGCAACTGCCAAAAAACACGAATATCACCAATCGTTTGTCGTAGTTTTTAACGCGTTACAGACCTTTTCTTACAACGAAATCCCAAACGAGATAAGACTTCGAAAGTCGAGTCTTTGAAACTTTTCCATCGAGACGGATAATTTGCATAAGTTAAACCAACCTGCTAATTAAATCACTCAAATCTAACCCAGCAAATTTCAGATCAATTGGCCATCGGTACCATTCGGAAGTACAGTCACATATCAAGCATATTTCATAACGATTACTCGCGTTCACTCTTCAATGATAATAGTCCTGCTGTATAGATAAAGTATGAAGGCTAAACGATCTTTATAGTTCACACAAACGCACAAGATTAAAAGTGTATTATAAAACTGACCTTGTTGCAACAGTAATTTATATAGACTCCTTTCAATTCATCTTCGGTTGACAATTCCGTGTTGGGACTATTTGGCGGGCTCTTCGGGCTGTAATAAATTTCATAAATATTAAACTTATTTACAAATGATAGAAAATTTTTAAAAAGCAAAAAAAATAAGTACTATTAGAATTGCATCATTACCGTCTTCGGTTGATGTAAGTACTTGCATTAGCAACTTTCTATCGAATGACCTCCATACGAGTATATCGTACGATACCTTTTTTTTTCTATCTTTTACACCGAACTACGAAGATAATACATGACCTTATCGAACATCTGCGGTACACGATCGAACGTTGCAAATAATGAGCTGCAACACTGAACGAGATGTTCTTTCGAGTGACACCGATAGTCGAGGGAGATAAAAGTTGCGGGGTGCCCTGACCAAACTTACGGATACAAACGATCCAACTAACCAAACAGGAAACTAACATATGTATATTTCGAAACAGACTTTAATAACTAGACGATTCAAATTAACTGATCATTGGTGCCACTTAAAAATACAATCGCTAAATTTTTCTTCTCGAAAAAGAAAACAACAGGCGGATCGTTACCCCTACTTATCGGTAAAGATGATCGTAGAAAGATGAATAGCAAGATGATGTCAATATTTTGTTAGAACACTTATAGCCTTGGTAAAAATCGTTATCTCGAGTGTCGATCGCATGGAAAGATTTCGAGTAAACAAATCCTTGATACGTAAACACGGTATTTTCCTATACAGGTGAATTGTAAGCATCAGGAAATTTCATTTTCCATTGTAGATTTGACAAAACGTGTACAATGGAATAAGTCTAGCAAAAAAGATCTTAAAAAGTTACTTATACAGAGACATACGGGAGTGGTAGCATGTTTGCTTTTTCCTTTCTTTCATCCAGCCGGTTCTTGAAATGTTCCAACGCCTACGAGTACAAAGAAAATGTCGAAAAAAAGATTCTCCCTTAGCTTGAACATATGTATATATATATTTCAAAGCGGCATCTGACTCACAAGATACCATTTGTTATCTTTTTTGTCTTCTCAAGCTCTTCAAGCATACGAAGGATAAAAAAAACTAACCCTCTGTTAACGGTAGTCTGAAAAATTCCGAATGAGGACACGGTGTCCTTCTCGGATTCTAAACCCTTCTTCGGATCGAAATCTTTCAAATTAATGTAATCTCAAATTGATTTGCATTCACTGATAGCTCCGAGAAAAATCCAAAGAAGGGTTAATTCCTAATGTATGTTAAGATAAGATGTATATTTTACTGAAATTGTTACCTATCTCTTGGTGTGCCTCGACGAGAAGATGCCAAAGAATGCCTTGCAGACGAAGGTAATGAATCCCTTTGCGCTTCCCTAAGAAGTCGTAGGTACTCCTCTCCACCAGCACTGAATGGTAACGGTGTTATCCTATCCGGTACAGGATTCAACTCCACCCATGATTCTGTGAATATCAAACAAAGTTACGCTCGTTATCCGATGGGTTATTAAAGCGCAAGGTAAAAGAAGCTTTTAGAAAGTCATTAAGTACAGAGAGAAACTAGAGCGACGAGGTACTTAAACCTCGGTAAAATCTTTCTTTTAACTATCGCACAGTCTACTGCCTTATTGATTTCTAGGATAATATTGCTCAACGCGAAGAAACGTATTTTTCTCGTTAGATAAATTTTATAAGTAAGTTAAGAGCAAAGAAAGGATAGAAAAAAAAGAAAAAAGTATTTACTTCGGCTAATATGGTATTATCAAAGGAAGAGGAAACGTAATATCGTGCGAATAAAATTGCAAACGTGAGAAATCAATACGCGATACGCGTTCATAAAAATCGAGGAATCATCGAGTCGATTATCAAGAAAGTTCATGGCCAAGGTTCGTTAGCTCTGACGTAGTGCTCGTGTAGTACACATTGCGTCACTAGCGGATAATAAGAATGTTCCGTATTTTTTCGTTCATTTTATCCAGCCGCTAATTAAACAGAGCTTTAAGGAATCGATTTATTGTATAGTAGGTAGAAAATGTGGATGACGTGCTATTAAGAATGAGCGTTATTAATTTTGGAGCAGTACACACGATCTATTCTGTTTCGCGATTTCCTTTAATCGCACGCGAAATATTTGTTTGAAACGCAAAAACACTAAAGACAGAGAAGCTAGTAGTTTCTTAGCTTTCGACGGAAACCTAAATTTATATTTTTTCTTTGTAGCTTATACCAAGAGGTGAAAGAGTTCGTCTAAATATACGCAATCGGGTGCGATTAAACGAATAAGCACATTCGTTGTAGAATTTCTGCTCTACTTATTAACACGCAATATCATTAAATAGCTGTGTGCAAATTCTTAGAGTTTCGCATATGATTTCCACGTGGTGAGTTTACAGTGTCACGTGCACAATACAACCGAAGACCTACTAGCGTGGTGATTTATCAGTTGATGATTCATCGCTGTTTTTTTACTTGATATCACTGTTAAAAAAAAAATTTACAAGTAATCGATTCTTTAGTACTTATACGAAATGTACGGAAGTCGCGAATTCATGTCAGTTGCGACACTTGGCGATATGCATACGATTAAATTAAATTATTAATATTAATAGTAATTATTTTTATGTATTCAATTCGCCCGGTAGATATCCACGGACCTATTTTCAATCAAACATAATTATTATTATTAGTCAAAGAAGAAAAGAATTCGAAGAAGTTCGAAAACTCTTTTCGACATTTGTGAAGTTTTATATTTATTTGCTCAGTATATCTAACTATTAATACGTTAAGAAGTTAATATCAAAAATTTGCAGAACGAATTGTAAAAAACAAAAAACAAAAGAACAAAAAAAAAAATACACCTACTTCTTCGAAGCCCTAGAGCAGACTAACCGATCTCCGCGCAAGGCAAGTGGCTTTATCAGATGCATCTGGCCCATTTACCTAGGGCTGAAGTAACAAGCTCTGTGATTGGCGGAATGCGACTTATTAGACAAGCCCAGTTATCTGATTGGTCTTAAGTGTTTAATCGATAGGACTATTGTCGAATTATCGTAATATGACTGGTACGAGTTTATACTTTCACGCGAGTTTATAGGTACCATCGAAAATTAAACGACTCGCGATCGTTAATTCGCGGAAATTTTGAATTGAACAAATTTAATTAGAGATTAAAAAACACTAAATAAGTCAGTCGAAAGTCATTGAATAACATATCATTTACTACAACTTCAGGGCGTACCGAACATGCGATAAGACATGTGACGTACATAATCATTACGATTTCAATGTAAATATCGCTTTCCTGTCACTACGGTAACTAATGTTACGAAGAACAAGAAAACGACGGCCATTCATATTTTTTATACTTATTATTTTATTTAAAATATATAGTTCAACAAATTATAACAAAATTAACGAGTCATGATTGATGCGCAATATGAAGTAAACAGTAAATTCTGCTTTAAAAACACTTCTCTGAAGAAAATCGAGAAATGTAACTACCTAATCTCTCGTGATATGGTTAGAATAAACATGAGGAGACTGCGTCAACTGGTAATATTATCAAGTATCATCAGATATCATCTTCAAACAAGATTCACCGCAAATGCATATTCGAAATCGAAGAAACGGAAATGTCAGCCGACTTGCAAACGAAAAGGTTACTTTTTTTTCAAAACTATAACAATTATGAATGCGATGGAAAAACGACGAACGAAATACTACTTATCGTATGAAACTTTCAGCCACCTATTACAGAACAACTGGACAAATGCAAAAGAAATGGAAGAAATCTATGAAAAAATAGCAACTAGACATGATACAAGAACTCAATCTTACAGAGTTTAACCATGAGCATTTGAAATGGAAATGGATAAGAACCACAACGAGACACAAATGGATCGAATTCGTTTCTCGATAGACGTTTGAAAAGGAGCTTCTTCTGTTCAATCGAAATAAACGAGCACGTGCGCAACAAGGTCGCACGTGTTGATTTTCTCGTGTGTCTTTTTACATACAAACACATCTGAACAAACGTATCGAATTATAGTGAATATTGATACCGTGAATTATAATAAAAGAGACGACTGTGTCGAAAACCAATATCTAATTGAAATTAATAAACTTCTATATTTGTACCATCAACTATTTCCAGAGAGATTCATTGACACGGAGGAAAATTGCGAGGAAACGTCACGTGCCACGAAATCACGACGGGTTGACTTTAATAAATTGAATTAAACTCCGTCAACGGGCGTTTACGGTTAAAAATAAACGCAAACGTGTCCCGTCATTTCAATCAGACGTTCCCGGAGGCGTATACAACGACGATACAATGTGTCTCTTAATCTCTAGGCTGTATGTAAAGTGTAAAGGCTAACTTTAGTCGGTGCAGTAGACCTGGCTCACCCCATTCACCCAGCCGGTTACCGATGTTCCAGAGAATTCTCTTCAGCTCGTAAACATTCCTACCACTTATTGGAAGCAATTGGTCCGCTTAATGGACAACGCAGGTGCATGCTTTCAGACACGTTCACCAGCAAGAAAAGGACTACGTGGGCTGGGATGCGAGTTCGTGAAGTGAGTCACGTTCGAAGAAGTTACCTGTTAATGGTAGGATACCTGACAGCCAACTTTTTCGATGTAACAACACTCCCTTCCTATCCTGACGTCATACATACAAGTCGAACGTTCCTGAGGACGATCACGTAAGCAACGCTAGCTATGCCATCCTCGAAACGTGTTCCTCCGGACAGGAATACATAATATTTTTCAGGAAACGATAAGTAGCGTAAGCGTATCGTCGAGCTTCCGGTACGATTTCAATCACCTCTCTCAGGCTAAATTTAACCAGCATTTATTGTATTTATTCGTGTCAAGCCTCGATTACAAACGTAAAAAAATACCGGTTGCTTGTTTAATAAAAAAAGAAAAAAAATAACACCAATGCGTCACGATAATTACTCGATAACGCTGTCTCGTCACCCTGACGTTAAACACGTCCATACGCCGTTTTCCTACCATTTCGACATTTTTTCCATCCTATCAACAATCGTCCTAGAAGAGTCTTTGGTTTGAGAAATACCTTAAAAATTAACTACAGCTTTGAGTTAGCGAGAAGTTGAACAAAATGGCTTAAACTAATCGTGGCGTTTATAGGACAGTGACCCAATTGTCTGGTACGTCGCGTGATTCAACGACCACGAATAGCAAAACGGAGTAATTTCCCAAAAGACTGATCTTTCATTTCCACCGTTTGCTTAGCTGAAAATAAATTTCACACAAAGCTCTGTTATTTAAATGGTTAATTCGTATAATTTACGAACACATTTTACAACCATCAGAGGAATATAAATAAAGTCATTTTCCCCCTCTCGTTCTCTCCCCTTTCTGGTAAGTATGCTTTAAAATAAACGATCAACCGACCGTTATAAAGCAGTTTTTTTATAGTAAAAAATATTTTGTTGAAGGCAAAAATTTGAACAACATTCAAGGAAAAATTCTTTCTCTGTATCTTCATCGCGTTGTTCTAGAAATAAATTTTCAAATATTTACTCGAAGCTATTTTAGCTGAAAATCAATCAACGACGCAATAAAGCTACATGTGAATAGTTAATAATCGTAAAACAATCGAAATAATTTCTACAGAATGAAATGAAATATTGGGTAAATAAAACGATTATACATAACAGCAGTCAGTTTAAATAAAACAATTGATTTGCGCTATACTTTTAAACCAAAAATTTAACACACTTCTTTTTTTTCTTCTTTCGTAAAGTCATACCGGCATATACGATCGCGCCAAAATCTTTGAAATTAAACATGTTCAATATTACGTTGAGATTATTATGATAATGTTCTTACAATAATTTACGAATAATTAATATTCTTATAAAATATATTCAAATAAACATATCTGACAAATTTTCAAAATGCCTACGACGCAAAACGAAACAAGAGTACATTTGTTTACGCGTCAAGCATAGCACGCGAAATGGCCGCGACATTAAACTGACAGCTGCTCGCATCGTTCAAGGAAACAAAACCTTTACTTACCGCCTAGAATCTCGTCCGATGTGAATTTTACAGTGGACGACATCACGGCCCACAACACTTGCTTCACTTACAAGCTGGTAATGCACGTAAAGAACAGCTAACTGACACTTTTGCAAACGTAAGCCCAGAAACGACGCATCAGCAACGAATTGCCGTGGTAAAATGCTCGCCAGAGACGCGAGACTGTGCTTTGTTTTGATGAAACGTCAACACACGTACGTCAGACAGGCTGGCCAATCACACGGTACCCGTTTCAATGTAAATACACTGCATGAGTCAAATCAGCGGGTAGTGCCAATGACCATGATAGCTTCATCCCACTACGTGATTCGGTGCACGTTGTGCATCTACCATTTTATACCTTGCAATTTTCCAACTGAAACACACAAATACATATGTTATCGATTAAAAATAAATATTTATGAAAAACATTTGTTTCCGACTTTAAATACATATAACCTATCAAATTTAACATCTGTAATACGAGTACTTATATACATATGTACATATACATTCATACATGTATCTAACAACTCACATGACATTTAAAAGATACCAGTATTTTCCTTTTCGTTTTTCATTTGTAACTCTTTTTCAATTTGAAATAAAATTTATAGATTTATTAATTTAAACGAATCTAAACATAGTTCACAAATTTTTAGTTTTACAAGGTTATTATAGAGTTAATTACTTTGTACAAATCTTTTCATTTTTTCTACAAAATAATATTCATACAACTTCATAATTACATTTTTTATACTGTTCATTCGATAATACATGTAACAGAATCCTTTACTTCTTTACTTCTAAATCTATGTTGAACATTTATAAACTATATGAAAAGATACTGAAAATGTAAAACAAAGAATAAATGAAATATACAATGCCTGATCACGTATGATGATTACAATATTCTGATCAAAATCAATTAAGATAGGAAATCAATATTTATCTGCTTTTGGAGCACAAAGTGCATTGCTCCTTTTGTATGTGGTGGCAGCACTATCCCAGTGTTACTTCAAGGGTTAATTTGTGTTGCTCGACACGTATATTACCCATGAACTGCGTAAATCGTGTTTTCTATCACAAATTGTCAGAAACTACACTGTTAAAAGGTATGTTTACACTTTACGTACGACGAAAAATCGTGTCCTATTGTAACAGCACACGCATTCTGTAATTATGGATAAAGATTAATAACTATTACTTTGTCGATGCTAAAAGTAGACGATTAAAAATGGTTGCCTTGTAACAGATCTGTCAAGCGATATTTTATTTCATTGAATTTCTACAATGCGATAAATACAACAGTACGAAATTCTTAGTTGTCAATGCGTTTAATAATAAATTCAAAGTAAATGCAAGAATCGATCGATTTCTACGAGAGAAAATATAATTTCACCGTCTATGCTACCATATGTGTAAACCAAGCAATCGCATATTTGAACATTTCACTCGTAAGCTTCGTATATGTAAAAGAGTTCAAGGTTCTTTATCTTTTTTTTTTTTTTCTTTTTAAATACTTCATTATGTTAAAAAATACTTGTTACGAATCCAAATAGTATAAATAATTTAATCTGTAATTAGCGTTTTTACTATTTATATATTAATTAAAATATTATTACTCAAGTATTAATATATGTTAATGATAAATATATATTTAAAAATTAATTCTATTTCTTTGTACAAATTAAATCATCTGGATAGAGAATATTAGAAATTCTACAACAGTGAATTCATTTATAGATATTTGTTTGCTACATTGCTAAATATACATTTGGAATGAAAATGAAGATTCCAAGCAATCACTCTGGGAATGACTATGGACATGAAACAGGGATTATCTCTTACATGGACAATAATTTTGAATCTGAAATTGATGTGCAAGGATCGGATGAAAGTGATTTCTCTGAATACTTGTGGATGGAAAATGAGGAAGAATTTGATAAAGAGGTTCAAAAGCATTTAAATTGTTCAAGTATTGGTCAAGATTGAGTAATTTATAAATATTTAGTTATGAAATGTTTAAAAAATATAGGTAATCCAACAATTAATGGAAGAAGAACTAACAGAAGAATGCCTAAAAGCAATGTGGGAAGATGAAAGACACGAAAGGAACACAAATTCTATTACTTGGTCTACCGCTACAAACACATTTGAGAATAATAGTGCTGAACTTTGTCAACAACTCAGTCATTTAAAAATGCACGATGATCTTGCTAAGCAGGTATAAATTTTTCAAAGTATATCTAAATTCTATTATAAAATACACAAGATTAAATTTATCCAAACATCAATTTTCAGAGTACACTAAATCCAAATGCAGCTGAATTTGTCCCAGCTTTTAAATCGGCAGTAACAGCTGTAAGTACACCACCAGAAGTTACTGCAGAATCATCATAGAAGCATTCACCATGCATTCTTTCCTTTAACCCAATAAAAAATGAGCTACGTGTATGGCTAACATCCACATTCTTTAATGACACAGTTATATCAATGGAATTATATTAAGTGTTAAATGACTGTGACTACACGTACAAAGGTATACTGAACATCAAAGCGGATAATACATAAAGCTGTTATATATACTATTCAAGATTAATGAATTCAGTTGCATAAACTTAAATTTCAAAAAAAAAGCTATTCAAATTTTTATAGTCGTAAAATATTGCATAATATTATAAATGTTTAGTTTTACATATATATATTTTGGCAATATAATGAGCAATGGTATACGCATAAATCACTGATAAATATTTGCAATTTATATTTCTTATTTAATTGGGGAAAAGTACTTTCGAAAGTAGATGTTTTCGTTAGTTTTATTTTGTACAAATTACTATATAAACTGAGGCAGCATACAAAGAAATAATACGCTGATTTTCGTGAATTATGTTGTACATAATATTTAAAGATGAATTGCTGTATCCCAGAGAGCGTATTTTTTTTTTTTTTTTTTTTTTTTTTTTTTTTAATTCTTTCAGAATACTTGTTTTATTAAGATCTGAAAGTTTTTATAATGTAGTAAGAATTTCTAGATGAAATACTTTTCTAAGAGTTCCTTTTATAACACTTATTTTATACTGGTATATATCTTTTGCAATATCATTGACATAAATCATCAACATGTACTAAGGTCGTAAGAGTGATGTAATTAAAATGTTGCATCGAGAAATGTATTGCATCCAATACATATTTTGTTGCTAAAACATACTTAACACGTTTAATTATATAGAGAAACTTCTATGTTTTTACTGTCAATCTCCTTTTTTTATCTTAAGAAAACTAATATCATAATTCTGGTCCTCTATCAGCATACATCTTGAAAGACTTGAAGATCTCAAATGAAAGTCTTATATAGGCTGTGAGGGACTCTTCTTGGGACTCTCTTTAGTAATATTGAGAGTCAATATATTGCTTACTTATTTTAATTAAGTATAAATTTTTCGTAAGCTAATATTTTGAAATTAGAACATGTATATGAAATGTTGTAATATCACAAAACAAAAAAAAAACAAAAAATACTATGAGTGGTGAATTTATTTCAAATATAATAACTTAAATTTAAATGGTTAAACTATATGTTGTACATTCTTTTCATGGCATCATGTTTCCTCGTTAAATCTTAATAAACTGTTGATATATTTCTTCATAATGAATTTCACCACTTATGTATATTATTTGGAACTTCATTATGTACAAATTTTACTAACATTTCTTGCATTGTGATAGGCACATAATTCAGGATTTTATAAGATTGCATATTGTAAATCTGTATTACTTTAGTCACAATATGCTTTAGTACGAATACAGGAACTGTGATTATGAAGCAGATTAAATAGATGTATCAGATATATTACTCACAGTTAAGACATTTTGTTAATTTCGTAATGTTTGCTTTCTATTTTGTTTGTGAATTTTTTCTCACGTTTTCGTATTTCTTGTGGCTCCTCGTGAAAAAAAAGAAATGTATCTTTAGATTGTAATTGAATATTTTACAGCTATTTATAGATTTGTTAAACAGAATTAAATTTATAAATAGCAATGGATTTTAGTGATTTCTTTCAATATTCAAATATAACCTAGTATAAAAAGAGACTGCTTTATAGATTTAGGGCTATTTGTTTAACAGGATCTGATATATATTTAGTTAGTTACTGATTATTAATCATTAACTAATACTGATCAAATTACATAATATACCAATTAAAAACAGTTGTTTAATTTGTATGTTTTTACTTTTTGCAATAAAGTCACAAAAAAATATTTAAATACAAAACATACATTTATAACCACATAAGTATGAACCTTATAATCACTGAATCTGTGTCAATTTAAATGACATGCAATATTTAAATCAATATTATTGATATTTTTAACAGCATGTCATGTATTATAATAAAAGCTGTTTTATAGCAGTAGAGACAGAAAATGTATGCAGTTATGATCTTATTACTATTTAATATGCTACTGCATAATACTTTTTCCTATACTCAAAATGTTTCACATTATCCTAAAATAAACATGAAATTTTTTATGAATTATTTTAATAGTACCTGTGTTTATTTGGTATATAAGATAATAATAATAATAATAATAATAATAATAATAAAATATTTTAAGTTTTAAAAGCTAAGCAACTGCACTTATTTCATATATGTTATGTATAATACAAAAGCAGTACTATAATAATAATAATAATAACAAACGAAAAAAAAAAAGAATTTATTCATGTAGTGCTAAAAGCAACTTGTAATATTTAGATTCACAGGCACAAATAATGTGCTCTACTTTATTGTCCAGTATATATATATATACACACACACACACACATTTTTTCAACTTTATGTTGAAATTAAAAGTACAATATTTAAAATTAAAAAACAAAAAAGAAAAAAATAGAGTTCACATAATATAGACTATATAATCAATGGTGAATTTTTTCTTTTGTAATTACCATTGCAAAAGCAATGTGTAATAAATTAGGACAAAAACAATTATATTTTTTAAATGATTGTGAAATTATAATTATTATACTAATGCCATTAAATATTTGCATTTGCAATATCCTTGTATCGTATTATTTCTGTAACATTTAATATATGAAAAAAAGTATATAATATACAAACCTATGTGATTTGTTTATACCTTCCAGCCTGCCCTATCCTTCTGAGCTAATGGTAAATACAACCTTCTAAATTATAAATTTATTGAATGCATGTACATATGTATATAAAATCATACCTAAAAAATAATAAACAGAGATATTTATTAAAAGCATCACCTTATATTTGGCAGTATATTAGTAACTACAATTTAATCTTACAACTACTTTTGTATAAATTAATATCTGTCTTGCAACAGTAAAAAATTGATACCAATACATATCGTGTTTTAAATCCTGCTAAATATGAAATTCTTCTTCATTACACACTTTCTGCAAACACTTAGATGTAGTTCAATATAACACGTGTATTATAATAACTACACTGCCACAACTGAAATAACATACATTATGAAATGCAAGTTCATAGATACTATTACATATTTGTTACATGTATAACATACTATTTTTATTATCAATTAGATAATCATGCAATGTTTGCTGTAAAATTTATTAAGGTAATAAATTAAAATTGGTCAGTATGTCTAGATAACTCCTAAAACACTGACAATGAGTTATATGTGATAAAGTTTCACTATTAATGCTAACTTAAATTTTAATATGTACTACAGCAAATACTTGTATATTAATATTATACCAAAAGAAACAGTTATTTGCAAATCAATTAAAATGAAAAATTACAAAATTGTTTTTAATTTAATACTTTACTCACATGAAATATGAAATTGGTATCAGTTTTTTTAAGATTATTTCTTATATACTATGTGTAATACAAATTCACCATAAAGAAGTTTCTTTTTAAAATGTGTAATCGTATTTACTTATATACATTCATTAAATACTCATTCTGCAGTCTCTTTATTCCAATTCAATACTGTGTTATTTTTTTATTGCTTTTTTGTAAGCTTTACTGATAAAGAAGAGTGAATTGTTTTTAGTAGAACATATATCGTTGAATAACGAAACGTGTAATTTTCAATTGTTTGATAAGCACATCGGAAAACTCAAGACAAAAGAATTTATCATTATCTTAAATATGTTTGCATAAATGAATTCATTTGCTTATATACTAATTATTTGGAACTGTTAATATAATTATTCACGTAGAAGAATACCAACCTTGGTATATGTATTTTAGCTGATACTATGTAAAAGCATAATAAAGTATGTAGCAATATTATTGTCAAAAAATTCATGATACTAAAAAATCCACACTCACATAATAGATTAGCAATATTTCAAGGCCTGAGATTACTAATTAAATTACTTGTGGTAACGATTGTTATATGTAAAAGTTAATAAATTTTGTAATACTTCAAAAGTTTATAATTTTATACGGGTAGTAAGAAACATTGACTTCTAGATATGTATAAGAAAGTATGTCGTTTGTATAGTTGTTAAATATAATCCTTTATATATTAAGATCAAAAATAGAAATAATGGAAAATGTATATCCATCAAATTCAATCCAGATAATATCTTGTATAATCTCATAAAAGAAAAAAAAACAGAAAAATATGAGGCCCCCAATAAACTGTCGTGTATATATACGCAAATATATATACACCACTTATTGTTCAATATTATTTAGTAGTAAACTTCTATTTGAAGAAAGTTATACATATAATTAAAATTTATATTTCCGTATCAGTTATATAAGTAATACTAAAAAATTGGCATTTCTCTAAAAGATACTTAGTTAATATTATAAATGCTATTATACAATTAAGTATTACAATCTTACTTTCTGTAAATTGTAAATTTCATTTGCAAAAAAATATATTCAATTATTGACATCTATGAGTAATACCGAACTGTATAGGTGGTTTAAGTAAAGTATAATTCACTTACTTTTTGTATGTATCTTATAATGATTAGAATATTATAATCATTATTAATTGTCAAATAAAGTGTATATAGATTGTAGATTACTCTTATATTCTATTAAGGAAAAAAAATGTAAGATTTAGTCTTATTAATTTGAATACAATTGTAACCCGAAGTTTATACGTACTTCAGAAAAGAAGATCACTCTTTAATACATAATTAAATATTACTTAAAAATTAACACGTTCATATACTGCATGTTTTAACTTTCAGATATTTAAGAGTTAACTTTTCTTTTATGCAAGACATTTTATTCTCAAATAGTTGTGTTAGAAATATTTTGTTCTCTTATCACAATTACAAATATGGAATTCATCTTTTTTCCTTCGCTATTTAAAATTTTCATTTTGTTTACTACACTGACAACTATTAATATTTATGATATATTATATCAACTTTTATTAAAAAACATTTAATCCTGCTTATCTGATAGTCTGAGAAGGAATTTTTGCAGAAAGAGTGATTATAATTTTCTATACCTCATGATACATAAATTAATAATAAATGTGACTTATAAATTTCATTCAGCACATAATAGAAAATGAAACATCTTGCTAAACCAATTTTTTTTAAAGGTGATGCTATACACTAAGTTTTATTTTTATTAAATTACTTACAGATAAAATGTTAAACGCTTTCTGTAGGGCTTTGAAATTCTGAAAGTGCATGTATCGGATTCTGCACTTTCTTCTGTGAACCCTTACGCACTTTTGCTCTAACTTCTTCAGGTCTCTCAGGGCGTACTAACGGTTTTTTTTCTGGCGCTTTCATTTTCCATACCACAATAGGAGACTGTTCAAACAAATGAAAAAAAGCGATTATTTAAAAAAATAAAAAATGTACTGATAGCAATTATATATTCTTGTTAAAACATAACTGATTCATTTCAGTAGAACTACAAACGTAGTAACACATATATATATATATATATATGCATACTTACATACTGCATAATCCAATGGTTAGACGGTAACAAAGTTTTAACATTAATGTTAATTATATATGTAAATATAATACAATTAAATCTATTTTTGTGAATAAATATATAATTCAAATGAATAATATTAGAAAATCAACAGTACTTACCGTTACTGTAGATTGTCGAGGATATTTTGTTGATGCAACATACGAAGCTTTAACAGTTAGAACAACTGCATTCATTAAATTCTTAGCTGCCTGAATAAGGGAAGTTGCACTGTCAAGTCCAGAAACAATTAATTCTCCACTAATATTTTGTACATCTGCTTTAACTTTACTTGTAATATTCATTTGATGACAATACAGTGCTATACGTTGCAAATATGCTAAAAGATCTTTCTTGGTAGAACTTTCTGGGCATTGATCTGCTATTTGTCTAGTTAATTTATCTAACTTAGTTCCAGCTTCGGAAATTTTCTTTGCTGCGTTAATAACATCCATGGTTGTCTTTAAAGGTCCGCGACCTCTAGTAAAATCAGTCATTTCCATCATTATCATACACATATGCTTAGCAAGAACAATAATGTCATTTCCTGCATCGTCCCATTTGGCAACTTCTTTATCAAATTTCAATTTTTCACTCTTAAAGTACTCTACTTGTTGTAAAATTTTCTGTTTATCTTTTTCTGGCATCTTACGCATCGCCTCACGAGCAGTTGTAATACCGCTAATTTCTGGATATTCGTCAACACCATGTTCACCAGTTTGAGCACTCGATTTACTACGAGTTTCTAATGTGTAATGTTCATCCAGTTCAACATCTTCGGGGTCTAAATCTTCGTCCGCCTAAAAAACAATTTTAGTAAGTACGCGAAGAAAAAATTATATATAATAAATAAAAATAGAAAATAGAAAATCTGCAATTTGATATCTTACCCTATTCATTAATACAGCGCGTCTAATTTCACGAACTCCGTCGTAAACTAATCTCGAAGCATCTATAAAATCATTTTCATCCACATCTTTAGCAGGGTTACTACCTAATGCATCTACCGCGACTTCTACTCTCTGTGCAAATTTCGGCATTACTTGTTCTCTTAGAACTTTTACAGCTTCTAATACCCGTTTTGTGTAAATACATGGTTCATAATTATCCATTTCTGCTTGTACAACGTTACACACTCTAGCTGATCGTCCACGAATCGCACCCGCAGTTCTATCTAAGGTATCGGCATCACCTTCTTGTAATGCTAATACACATTTATTTACGTCTTCTAAAATATGGTTCTCAGATACAGCTAAGAAATCGTCGATGGTAGTAATGTCATCAACGGCTTCCGTTAATACTCTCACTTGATTCTCCCACGCTTGTCGAAATACTTCCATATTATCTAGAGCTACTTTAGACCGATTACGGGCTGCCAGCACACGTGCTGCGTTAATTACTTGTGGACATAAATTGCCAATCTGAGCTGCCGCATAACGAACCATTTTTACTCCATCTTCATTTCCTGACATACTACAAACTAGATTGGCAACCTAATTTGTATATAAAAGTTGATTGTAACATTATATTAAATTAATATAACAGTAATAGCGTATATAGTGATAGTAATAGTCTAAAGCTATACCTCGACCAGCTTATTGGCATGTTCTGTAAAAACAAGTGCATACTCTTCTACTTCTTTATCACGACCGTTTCTTGCAGCTTCAATGAGTACCAATAAAGGTACACTCGTTTCCAAAAAACTATCAGATACATGATCTACAACCGCTTTTCGCAATTGTCTACGAAGATCACGTGTTTTTCTACACATGTGGTCAATTGCTCTTTCCAAACCTTCTGATTGTTCTTTAACACCCATCTATTAAAACATATGAATCAAATTATTAAAAACAAAGTATGAACAAACCATTGTCGCATAAGCAGCCAAATAAAATCTATGCTATTTTTTAACTAACAATGACAGGTACAATGTATTACGTTTTTTAATGATATAATATGTACAGTACAAGAATTATTATAGGGTAACTAAAATAACTGCGAATACTGAATTATTAACAATTATTTGTTAGTGCTTGTTATTAGGTAAATAAAATATAAGTGATGTATACATACATATAATTCAAAAAAAAAAAAAAAAAAAAAAATATTTATTTAATCTGCAAACTTTATGAGAGAACGCAGATTTCATATTTACCCGTTTCCCACCCTGAGCAAGCTGTAACTGCAGTCATTAAAAATAAACACAAATGAGTAGAATGAAATAGACTAATAAGAAATATATCAATTGTGTTAAGTGACAGTGTAATTACTCATATGTACCGAGTAGTTTCATAAAGTGAAATATGAATGAAAATAAAATACTGCTGCGGTCGCCGTAAAAGAGGAATTTATAAAATACTTACATTATTCATATATTCACTGAGTAAATCCTGCAGTGCTTGTCTAACTGCATTACATTCTGCGACAATTCGTTCTCTACGATCATCTCGTGTACATGAAGAATCTGCCATTAGTGCAGCACCACTGATAATGCTTTCTAATCTTTCCTCAAGGCTAGGTCTTGTACGTACTTCGTTATATGCAAGCGGAGACATCACCATTCTTTCATCAAAATCATCTAATGCTGCAGCTAATTCTCCAGGTCCTTCATAAGGATGCTGACTATCAACTGGAGTTTTTCCTTGTGCCACATCATTGATAGTATTTACAGCTTCACAAACTTGCTTCAAAACATAATCACGATTTGCTTTGGCTGCAGCTAATTCAGGATGTCTAACATAAACTTTAGAAGCAGTAAGCAGCATTGTTGAATGTTTCTTTAAAACAGCTCTAGCTGCTGCTAAGTCATCCCTTAACTGAGGATCTTTTAGTTCTTGTTGACGTTTTGCAGCTTGATTCATTAGTTCTGATGCATTTCTTCCAAATTGTTTTATATTTTCCAACAATTCTCCTTGCGAGGATGCATTTTTTAATTTTTTCAAATCATCCTCTACTACGTGTAATGACTTTAGCAATAAATGCACATCGACCATATCTGCTAAAATAAGTAAACGTGTGACTGCAGATAATAAATTCCTTGCAGCACGGACCATATTGCCTCTTTTTAAAGAGGAGCAAGGATCTTCTGAAAATTCTCTATAAAGAATAACAATATTAGAATGTATTTAAAGTATTTGACATGTTACATGTTACAAATATAATAATACAATACCTGGCAGCAATGCTCATTGCAGCACCTGTTTTCCTTACTTCTTCAACAGCACTTAACATTTCAGCAGTAATATCAGGATTTTCATAAGCAATCTGTTCACCTTTCTCAATAAAATTATTAGTTGCTTTTTCTACAGTTCCAACCAAAGCACTAGCCCTCTTTGATTTTCCTTTCTTTTTCTTACTTGGACCTTTTGTATTTACAAGCGTAGTTACTTGTAAAACTAAAGGTTCTAATGTCTTTTCTACAGACATGGTACGAATTTCTAAATTTTTGGGATCCCATTTTAATGTTATCGGACCAAAGTGATCTGACATTTTTGTTTCTTTTTAGATAAATCAATCCTAAAAGATAAAATGTTAAACATTTATTATTGCGTGTAATTTAATGATGCTATAAATTATAGAAAAATTACCTGTGCCTTTTTAATACATTACAGATAATTTAAAAGCAGAGAGATGCATTAGATGTGTATAAAAAAGTACCATTATATTAATATTTCTAGAAAAATATTACCTTTTTCATTATACTGCTTTAAATAAAATATTTTTAAAAATGTAATCCTAATAAGCAATAAATGTTTAGAAGAAATGAGGCGTATCAGAATTCAGAATGCTCTGATTATTTGAAAAAAAATTATATACAGCAAATATTGTATGTATATACATACAAGTTAATAATTTCTTACCTTCATGAAAAGATTACAGTATAAAAACCTATGGAATCACTAATAAACCTACGTAAAACTTATTCTTCTCTTTTATAAAATCAATTACATCGAACACCAATATCAAGTACAAACAATTCTATATCACTTCGATGCATTACTCATGTCACCTACTCCTCATTTATGACGTCATGATTTCCACCACAGTTGAAAAGCTAACGATAGCTGAACCAACCGGTCTACGCCCGAAGCTTTGAACATGAACATTGAAGCGATGCTTGCAGGTGTTCACGACATGATTCCTCGCCTGAAAATGCAATAGCCAATCAAAAAATTGCTTTTTCGAACTTTCGAAATTATTTCATTGGTAAATACACTCACCTTTGTCGCGTTTAATGCGTACTTGGTATAAATATTCATCATTTAAACAACACATTCTTCCATTATTTGAATTATGGAAGTTGAAAGATCAGAGATATTTCAAATTCCAAAAAGACTTTTTATCTATCTGTGAAATGATGATTTACACGAAGTATTTATATACATAATCCTAATGCTTTACTAATGTTATTTTAGAACAATAATGGTTTTTATATAATAATGACATGTAAAATATAATATTGGTAATGTATGAAATTTTGACAAAATGTCAGAAGTTATTGTTTTAAGTGATTCAAATGAATCTAATTTATCTATTGAATTAAATGACGAGCTGAATCATGTTAATGAGAATAAGAAACAGAAAATTTTAATTGATGATACTGACTCAAATGATTTTGAATTTCCTGCAGTACAGTTTTATCATACTGTCAATGAGAACAGAACATCTGCATTATGTGACAACAATAGTAAAGATTATTTGAATGATTTTAATTCTTGGACACCATCGTATCAAAGCAATAACAAACTTCCTACTACTAGCAAAAGTACAAAGGAACATAATGTTAAAACACATCGTATATCTGACTCACCAGATGCCTCAGAAGATTCAGAAAATGATAACAATACAGGGAAGAAGAGAAACAGTAAAGCTACAACAAAAAAGAATAAAAGGCAGATCACAGAAAAAGGTGTGAAAAAGCAGAAACAATTAAAAGAAACAGCATTGAAAGCAATTGCTTTAAAAAGATCAAAGAATATTAAACCTGGTGAATGCTTAAAATTCATAGAAGTTGTTATTGATAAAAATATTGAAAAGTATGCTTTTATTACAAATATTGTAAATACATTGCTTGATGCTAATATAAAATATAGCATTGATACAGGATTAACTCCAAATGGGATTTTATGGAAAAGAAGTGTTGAAAATAGCTATGTTAATGAAAACAATGAAATATGTACAACAACAGATATTGAAACAGTTAACCAAATATTAATAATTTGGAATTGGAATGAAGTAGTAACAAAAGTAGCAGATGATAATTTTTGTGATTCGATTGTTAACATTAAAGCCTCTTTAGCAGATTACAAAATCATATTAGTAATTTTTGGCATAGAAAATTATTTTACATATAGAAAGCAAGGGAAAAATTCAAGTAAAAATAAAACAAAAAGGAATAATACAAGCAATAATGATGAACTTAAGAACTCCCCAGAAATATCAAGACACAAGCTTGAAATGTGCCTTGATGAAGTACAAATTATTGCTAATTGCAATAGCAGATTGATTGATAGTCCTCAAGATTTAGCATTGATGATTTATCAATGTACAAAAGCTGTAGCAGAAATACCATATAAGTTAGAAAAAAGTTCAAATTTAAGAAACAAATTTGATTGGTATGTGATGGGAGATAATAGAAATACTGTACGCGTGGATAAAGATGGAAATGGATTAAAAAGAGTATGGCAACAACAACTTTGTCAGTTTAATTTAAGTAGTTTAGAAATTGCAGAAGCAATTTGTTCTGTATATCCAAGTCCTGCAGATTTGATAGAAGTAAACATAACAAATATATTTAACATACTTCACTAAAGTTTTTATTCTATTCTTTTTTTTTTTTTCAGGCCTATATGAATTGCACAGATGACAATGGATTGAATTTGTTAAAAGATATTCCGGTAAATTTTAAATAAGTTTATATTTATATATAACCATAAACTGTTAAAAATGAAAACCATTGAAATCTGCGAATTTCAAATATTTTATTTTTATTATATTCTTATATTTAATTTATAAACATGTTATTAACTTCACAGATTAGAAGAGCAGCTGGACCTCTTACAACAATACGAAAGATAGGCCCAGAATTAAGTAAAAAAATATATTTAATGTTTACATCTGAAGATGGTGAAAATATTTTATGTTAAATATATTTGTATTAGAAACTTCAGTAAACAAATTAATGAATATGATATAGTTAATAAATGTTGCTTTGCTATTTCCATTTCGTTCAATGCATTATCTCACAATGAAGCACAAAAATCATAATAACCAATTCACACATTTTGTAGATTTTTGCTTATTTCACGATTATAAAAAATCAAGAAATTATTTTCTTCATATCATACAAATAAACAATGTTAAAATATATAAAAGTTTCAATCATTTTTTGTGTATTAATTATTTAACAATTTAGCGCATAATTTGACTGAATGAAAATTAAAAATATCAAACAGAATATATTCTACTGTTACATACATTTATATCATGTTAAATAAAGTAGTCTAATTCTGCGCTAGATATTCCTGCACACGTTATATGATATGAAATATAACACTTTTACTATACCAAAGGTATATACAATACATCTGTTTACAGCAAACTTGACTATGATAATCGGTTAATAAAAGTAATTTTCTAATACTTTTACAGATGTTTATTAAACATAAAATATCTCAAAGTTTATTATAAAAGAAAGAATGAGATTTCAATCATTTTATAGTAACTTTTCTCTACTATCTTACAGTAAAAAATACATAAATGATTAAATGCGGTTTAAATGAAATTTCTTGTGAATATTCAATGTAACTTCTGCTAAATTATCATTATCTGTATACAGACTAATATTACGTAAACCTCACGTGAATTTTTTTACATGCATTCTTCATACATTTGCCTCCCATTATTTAATATTGCAAATTGTTTTCAGTAAAAGGAAAAGTGTAAATTATTAACTAAATCGATTGCAACGGATAATTAATCATTTTAGAGTAATACAAGCTCTGTGTCTTGAATGTTAACGCACAATTAAATCTTACATGTATTGATAGTTGTACAAAAAAAAAAAAAAAAAAAAAAAATTAAACTGTAAATGAAGATTATATTGTTACATATCACTTATTAAGAGAAAATTTTTGATATTTCATGTATTTGGAGTAAATTTAAATAACAAAAAGAATTATTGATGCATTTAAATTAAAAAAACTTGACAGTATTCACTTCTAGTAATGAAATTGCTATTAGACTTTTTAATTGTAATGTATCTCTGAAAGTATTATATAATATGAAGATTAAAAACGAAATTTTAAAAAAGTACAAAATAGTGCATACAATAAAATATAAACGTATTATTGTTAAAAAAAAAGCTATTGGTCTCTTTCCACTGTTAACATGCATTCTATAAAAAACATCACGTGAATTTCAATCAGGTATATCTATGTTTATATATGTTCATTTTATGATACAATCCTTTGTAAATTTGAAGTATTTGTATGATTAAAATCAATTTATTATCGAAAGTTATATTTATATACTAATAATATACATACATTAGCTACAATCTTAATATAAAAAGTTAATTTGATAGAAACATTATTAATTAATATTAAACACTATTACAGAATTTTGTATTTCTTAAACATATTCAAGTTAAAAAATGCATATTGACAGTAGAGAGATATTCAATACAGTTTTTTGCAATAGGTATTGACATCAACTTTGTTTTTGTAAAACACGAATAGAAATTTCATAATAATAGCAACAGTAACAATACATTTGTAAGCAAATTTTTGCATTATTGATTTAATGATGTTGTTCATAGTACATCACTGATATTATGAATGATTCATTCAGTAACATAGTTTTAAATAAATCAAATTTTTATAAGCTGATATTAATGACTGAACATTACTATCTTTTTCTTCTATTTCAATAACGACTCATTAATTTGCTCGCCATCATTATAAAATGTTCTTAAAATTGTGGCTTATGTGTTGAAGTAAAAAATATTTAAATAACAAATACATTTAAATAAATGGAAGTTGATTGTAAAAATAGCGTGGAACAAGACATACGGTAATATTTAATATGCTTGGCTTTCTATTCTGCTTTGCTTTTTTACAATATTACCTAATAATGAAAACGATAAGTTGATAAAATAAAAGTGTAAACATAATATATGAATAAAAGATGAATTCTTGTAATAAAAAATTAAATTTTGAGCAAAAAAACAAAATAGATAAAAAATTATAATGAAATAAATCTATCACATTTGAAATACATGTTGTAAAATTATTAACATACGATGAAAAGGTGATCCTACATTTATAATATTTAAATTGTATTTAATAAGCAGCTAAAGTAAATTGAATCAATCTTTCCATACAAAACCGTTTAATATGTAATTAACTTTCGATCTACGAAACATAATATACTTATTGCCAATTTTTTTTTTCTTGTTTTATGAAAAATATTCATGTTCCCAATATTGTATTCAACTAAAATGGCAGGAGTATAAAGGTAATAAAAAGGATCTGTTTAATTTTTTCATCTTAAATTTGGGACAGAGTAAACGAATAAATGTGTAAAAATAAAATACCAGTTATATTAAATTTTGCACCACGTATACCAATCGAAAATTTTTTCGGAAAATAAATCTAAGTCGCAAAAGAATAGGAAGCCAAACAATAATGTTTCTGTAAAACAATGATACTGAATTTATTATCTTTATACTCATCTTAAACCATAATTTTTAATCCACTATAATTTATAGTTTCACTCGCACACACATTCAAGCATTTGGCAGGCAAGAACCTAGGAAAATCTAAATAAAAGAGATTATCATATCACTGTTAGGGCTTGCAGGTGTGTTAGGTCCTTTCAAGGTATCATTTATGTCCCTTCTAAACAATGATAAATTTTGTGTAAACCTAAAATAAAAAAGGCATATATACAAATTTCGGTACTTAATACAGTCGTTTTTCGTCTCCTAATGTTTCTTACCTGTCTCTATTTTTTGTGAGTAAATTTCTTTCAATCCCTTCCATTAAATTTTCAAACCACTGTGCCATTGTTGCCTGCTTATCAACTGGTTGACTTCTAATAATATTTTCTCGTAATTGATTAAAATACTGTAATTATATAGATATCGAATATCAAATGCAAACATTATTTACCAAGTCGTTCATGAAGTTTTTATAAAAATTATACTTATAAAAGACTGTTATACTTACTTCTTCATTTAAAAGAATTAATCCCAAAAGAGGACGTGACATACTCCATTGATTTCTACAATCCTCAAATATTATCAAATTTAAAACTGTACTTAATATTTGCTGTAGAATTTCAGGATGTTGTTTTAAAACTTGTAAGAATAAGTCACCACCTCCTGGAACTACAGCATTTTTCCTTCCTGATATAAACAAAAAGGGTACATGTATTCAAAAATACACAATATATGTATATAAAGTAATAATTAATAAACAATGTACCTTTCTGATATAATTGTTTAAATAAGTATGTCACAATATGATCGAGCGTTGCACAACAACCAGTACACACCATTGTATCTGTAATAAAGTTTGGTTATTCTTATTTTATATCTCTTATATAAATAAAACAGCACGATGAAAATGTAATTACATTAATTTTACATTCTCTACACCGACGGTGCGATAAATAAAAATTAAAAAAAAAAAAATAATAATAATAATAATACAAATTGTATTTTATACCTACCGTCAAAATAATAAAAGTCTACCAATATTTTTAATATTTACAATAATAAGCTACACACTACTTAGCATATCATGTGTCAAACACAAAACAAACCACATAAATGAACAAATGACACTTAATATATCATGCGCATAATAATAAGTTAGTAATTAAAAAATTTATAACTTTAAAAACTGATGTATTTTAGTAGCATGCCAGTTGTGCGGCTGACTATGTGTGCTAGACCCACTATGTAATTTAATTTTAAAGGAATAAACAGTTTATGTTTTTAACGCAATGTTGGACTAAAAATACCAATAACGATTTGGAAAAAAAAGCAATTCAATAACGGCACTTAGGGTCTAGATTCTATAAACTCCAATCCTCTTATTGCCTATATCATTATTATGACTCCATCATTCACTTTATATGCATAAAGATGAATTACTTAACATACATATTCATTTTTGTATCTTTTCAAACCATAGCTTAACTAATATCTGTAGGCAAGTTTACATTCCAAGCAACAATGCAAAAAGCAAATAAACATAAACAAAATTAAACATCCTTATAGTCTATTGTTTTTTTGCTGATTTGTATATTGCATAAATAATTTCATAACTGTTTTAAGATTATTCAATATGTACTCACACATGCATATAAAAAGTTTTTATTTTTTATTTTAAATATGGAAAATTTGGTCCAATTTGAATAAAAATATCAATTTCAAAATGTAACTTAAACAGTAATATAAGTAGGCGATATTAAAATCGCTATGATATATATTTAATTGCTGAATACTTTGAATATGAAATATTCTTCAACATTCGATAAATATTTTTTTAAAGAGAAAAAATTAGTGTAACTGATCGAGACTAACAATCCCAAGGCATGGCATAGAGGATAAGAGAATGATAAATAGATAGAATCAGCCGCACAAACCTGTATAGGAGTCTTTTTGCGCACCTAGTGCTGTAAGGCCTTCACTGATGCTTGATAAGATGTACAAGAAAACCCTTGGCTCTAAGGTAGAAAGAAAAACCATATGATCTTGCGCCAAACATTCAAGTAACACATAGTATGTTGCAGATAATTTTGGATAATCCTATAAATAGCAATATTAAATTGTTAAAATATTGTTTTCACGTTTTAAATTAAATTGAGAAATGTAATTATATGAATCAATCAATGCGTACCAATATATCACTTTGTGGTATACTAAGAAGTAATTTTACAAATGTATTAAGCGCATTATCCAATGCTTCGTCACCGTATAATCTGAACACGCCAAAATTTACGTAACTTCCACATAATGCTGCTTTTAACATACTGAAGCATATACTTATTCCTTTAAGCTTTAATGGGTATATCTGATCCTTTGGAACTTCAACGTTTAATATACGATTACCATAACTACATATTACTTTACTAGCTTCACGAAATAATAAAATTCCATTTGGAGAAGAGGCATCAAACTGTAATCTTTGACTCCTATTTTGTACTAATTCAGCGAATAATTTTAGGACGGGTGTGGTAACTTGTGGTTCATAATGCCACAACTCCACAGCATGTAATAAAATTGGTGTATAGTTGGGATATCTATATATAGATTAAGGTAATATACACATTTGTATATATCATTTGTAATAAATTATCTATCAAAAGTATTAATCGAATTATATTGTTAACGAAAGGATACATCCAATCAAACAACATCATATAAGATGTTTTTGTGTTGAATGCATAAGCTAAGCCTCTTAAATCTCTTGCTAAACCAATTAGTTCTTTCTTTGCTTCTTCTGCTGCAAACAGTGAAGGATCAGCAGCACCCATCAATTGTCCCAAACTTTCTAGTGCACCTATAAACAATGGGAATAAATATGAAGAAATATAATAAATAATGAAATACATGTATTACTAAGCTCTTAAATATAAAATAATCTTTATACCTGTTAAAGGTAACATAAAAGTATGAAACCTTTCTTCATCTTCTCCTAAATCTACCATTAATAATCTACCCAAAGATGTGTAAAACATTGATCTACAACGCATTTCTGTTACAGCAACATTATTTCCCAAAAATGGAAAATGCTCTCTCTGTTAATTGAAGGAAAAATACGTATAATACATTTGTTATTAATAATTTGTAATAATAATTATGCAGACTCCTTGTACGTACGGTATGATTGTTGAGCATAAACTGTACTTCTTCTAATTTTACAAGTTTACGAACGCAGCTATAACCCACTGACAGATCATTTAATAACTGTAATGTTTTTGAAATAATTTGTTCGCTACGGCCCCAATACTTCAGATTTGTTATTCTGTAAATGTTAGAAAAAAAATAATTTTTTTTTATAAAATAAAAAAAGGAAAGAGATGAAGATCAATCATTTGGAATTATTATTTTTATAAAGTATATTGTACTTACATCGTTCGAACAGTTACTTACATTTTTCGAATAAGAATACCGAGTACCATAGATTCATCATTAACCCCCAAAACATCTGACAGCCTTCTGTATAATTTAGAATTTTTCTGTACTTGATCACCTACGTATATTTTACGAAATTGTTCAAAGAAGCTCAACATTGCTAACTCCAATTTTTCACAGCCACCTTGTGCAAGTCTTGAATCGGTCAAATTCATCAACTGAAGTACTCTGCAGACTAATTCACCATCCATTGCATCATACTCTTCGTTGCTATTAAATGTTATTTTGCCACCAATAACACCACCTATTTTTTTATAATTTGTTTAATATACAAATTTGTTTCATCATTTCAGTAACTGGTACATTATTTCTTACCTATAATATACACAAGCCATGTGAGTTGACCCTCTTGTATAGTGATGTCCATTTGTTGAGTTGGAGATGCTGTTTGTGTCATTAATTCTTGGTATGTTCTAGCAGCTTGATCAAACAGCTGCACCAATAAAGTACATGTTTTTTGATATTCACATCTTCCAATAACAGATATCTGCTCCAACTGTTGATGAACTACTCCTAAATCATCAAGTGGATCTTCTAAACGTTCCCTAACTACTACTGCAACTGATTCAAGTCTTGAAGTAACATATGCATTTACAATTTCTGGAGTATATGTATTTAACAGGTGCGGGTCTCCTGCTTTCACGTAAGGCATAGACGATACCAGCCTTTGCCACAAAGTTAAAAGGTAATGTAAACTGTTTGGTGCAAATTGCCACATTTGTAAGCTTTGAACTGTAAACTTTGCAATTAATTGTATAGCTTCTGGATAATCTTTTACTAAAACCAATTCTACAAGTTGAAAATTGGTTTTTAATCTTGATAGCAATCTACAAAATTCATGATAGTTTCCAGGATCGCTCAGACCTCGTGGGTTTTGTAATATATGTTTTACACCACTAACTAAGTGTGTCAGAAATTGTGCCCTTTCTGGATTGGAAAATAAACTTCTTCTAACAGATGCTATTTGAACCAAACATGAGAGAGCCAAAGATGACAATGAATTAGGTAAACTATGATACAAATCAAAGAAAAGTTTCAGTGATGTGAAATCCAAGAATGCAGGCCTCCACCTGGATGGAATTTGTACCGTGCTGAGCTCATCTGCACTTTCATCGATAGATGTTCCAATAAAGTCAAATGTTAAACAATTTTGTGCAAGTTTTAAAAGTTGTCTAATTAGACCATGCTAAACAAAAGAGAAAAATATGATAATAACACTATGTAAACGTATATGAAAATATGTTTCTTAAACTTTGTAGTAAAAACAGAGATAAATAAAATATACCTGTGCTTCATCATTAAAATTTAAATTCTTGCAATTCTCACGTGCTGTACTTAGTAAAGTACAAGATAACCTAAATATTTCAAAAAGCTGCAAATCTCTGAAGCTACTAGCAATCTTCCTATGTTTGGTAAGAGATCTGTTTGCATCAGCATCTGATACTTGATTCATTTCACAAGTCAGTTGAGAAAGTAATTGAACTCCTATCATACAGTGTTCTACTGACCCCTGTATTATATCAACATATTATTCAATTAAGAACAAAATAATACTTCCTAAAATTGTAAAGTAATAACATACCTGAAGAAATTTTGACACATCACTGACCACATTCCTAAAAACATATTCTTCTTTATCACAATCAAACCAACTGAATTTTGATATCCTGGCAAATAATGTGACCAAAGCTTGTATCACAAAATTTGGTAACTTTGGTTGGGTTGCTAGATAATTGAGAACATAATTTCCTAAAACAAAAAAACCAATTGTGTTTCTGTCTTTTCTAATCGTATAATTGCATAAATAGACTTACGTATATCCAGCCTCTGTTGTAAAGTTAGCCCTGCAGAACGTGAAACCAATTTTGTTAATGTGGTAGCTGCCAATAATTGAGCATATGCAGAATCTCCCCGGTCTAATAGGAGCTGGCACTTTGTAAGCGTATCTGGTGCATTTTGAAAAGCAACAAGTGCTTTTTCAGCTTCTGCACGATGTGCAGAATCTTGTGATTCATATAACTGCTTGCATAGCAACTCCAGCTGCCGTACCTCCTGTATATCATTCATTTTTAATGTTATAATTTAAACATAAATTGTAATTGTTCCATTTATATGTATATTTTAAATCTACATGTTTCATAACCACTGTTTCACACTTCAAACCACTTAATGGATTTTGTCTCTGTTATGTTTAAGGTTTAATATGTCACATGTTACAGAATAATATATTTTAATTCAAGGAATATAAACAAACAATCATCATACTTTGTTATAATGTATTTTTCTATTACATCTAAATTATAACAAATAAACATCTTTGGAAAAATGTATCACTTATTTATTCTGCACTTTTATCTTTGTGAAATTTAATATATATTTAAAAAATAAAATAACAGAAATTTAACAAAAATTAAAGGTGTATCGATAGAATATATATAGAAAAATGAATTTTTATCCACAATCATATAATATTTATTTATAGTTTTAAGATCTACAATATATAAAAACCATAGTTTTTTCAAGACTATGCTTCACTTGTATAACTGATAAGCAAAAAATAAGTGATACTATAATGATGATTTCTGTAAACATAACAATTCTTTCTTTTTTATACTTAAATATCATGTTAAGGTTATGCAATTTATATTTTGTAAACAACAGATATTAATTAACTAAATTATAAATTATTTAATATTTAATTCAAAGATACTTAAAAGTATATTTCAAATTATTTGTAATTTGAAAAAAAAAATGTATATTTCATGTTAGATAAATAATAATCTAAGCTCAAACTTAAGCAGCAAGTAAAACAACACAGTTTACATTGCAAAATAGAAGTATTTAGACAGGTTATACCATATTTTTTAAAATAATCATAAATATTAGGATAACATGAAAATATTCATAACCATTCAATTTTTTATAAATACAACAAGTAAATATAAAATTCACGATTTAGATGATATTTTTATCCACTAATTATCTCTTGGAACACTAAAATTGTATCTACACAAAATGTTGTTCACGAAAACAAGGTTAATGTTTTACACGTTGACAACACAGTTGTATTTATATAATACAATTCTAATAAATCAAAAAATGCAAAATCTGTTACATTATAACATCATTTTCGTTGACAGTACGACAAAATAGTCACTGTAATCCGGCAACAAACAGTATAGCTTCCATGAATACTTGGATTTTCCGACAGCAAAATGTTCGGGACACACATTCATTCCACATAACTTGCAACAGATTTATCACCGGCTAGTTTATTACACGACTTTTGAAATCACTTCATCATACATAACTCCATCGCATTTTGAGGTTTACATGTTATTTTGATCGGTAACTCACCTGTTCGTCCGCCATTTTCGCAGCTTTGTATTATCTACAATGAAGGCAGGATCACATGCTTTAATCACAAACGAGGTGTAGAATAGACCAACCACCCGATGCTTTTTGGATCTTCCTAGGGGGGCGGTCGGGATCATGGAGAACCCCCTTACCATTTTCGTGTCACATTCTGTTATATCAACTATACTTCGTTTATCGGAAGTGTATAGTATTCTTCTATCTTCTATTTCTAACTCCGTGATCATCTACAGGGTGAACAAAAGTACATACATGAATAAAGAAAGCAAGTAATGATGTAAATAGAAGACCACACTAAATAAAAGGTCATTGGGTATACACGATCGTCGCAAGGGCACTGGCGCGTTACCTCTTGTTTAAAATACGATGAATATAAAAATAAAAATGTTACATTATCCTTTCCTCTTTTTCTTCTATGTATACGTATATATGGATATTTATAGATTAGTATTAAATACTTTTTGTTCTATTAAATTGGGTTTAAGTTCCCAAGTACTATTTTTGTTAAAAAATTAAAACATACCTTTATTTTTCATAATCTATTCATAAAATAAAACATGATCAAACGATGATTTATTTAATTCAATTATTAGTTTGTCAATATTTTAAATAAAAGAAAGCATCACATGCAAGTTCAATGTTCTTTTGTGCCAAACTTGGACAAGAATAAGAAAAGAACATTTGTGTTTAAATAAAAAATGATTGACATTACTGATGATTTTAAAATGAATATGCATCAACTTTTTGTATGTACATTATGTATAACAATACATAATAATAAAATAGATAATAACATGTAAATATAATATTCAGATTGGGGCCTTTTCCTTTAGCCAAAATCATAACATTTTTAAAGAATTTTGTATCAAAATATTTACAATGAATTATGAACTTTTGTCTCTGATAAAATCATGCAGTACTCCGCGCTATACAATTTAAATTGAAAATAAAAAAAAAAAAGTTCATGAAAAAGATACATATTAATTTCAATAGTATGAAGTACGTTATTTAACAATTTTATACATGGACGCATATTAAATTTACTATCAACAATGTCTTGATAAATTTTATCATATACATCTACTTGAATGCAGGATAATGCAGGTTGCAATAATTTGATCAAATTTATCAGGAACTGTACCGTGCAGCATCGGCTTTAAAGAAACATAATTAAATGTATATGGTAGATCAATCAATTTAGAATATTCATAACATTACCTAAATTTCCAATTATATTATTAATTTTGTCAATATGCAATGACTTTAATCATTAATCCTAATGTAATATGTACTTTAACATTCTGTACATGTAAATTTAAACAGTAAACATATTAAATTCAAGGGATAATGATGGATATTTTTTCCATTAAAATTCCTGCAACTTCTTGTATACGTATTGTATTTCGAATATAGCTTTTCCACAGCCTTCATATTATTTTTACGTAATTAATTTCATACATGAAATTCCATGCTAATATTAACAATAAACATCACAATATTTTCTTAAAAATATTTCTGTTATACTATTATTTCTGTCAAGCATAACATTTAACTTATAATCGAAATTAAGTTACGATCAAGACACGTCGCTCATCACAAAACTTTTGGGATTGAATTAATCATTTTGTATTAAATAGGTCTTTTATAATGTTTATATAACATACTCTTTTTATATTGATAAATATATGACTTGATTGATTTCAATTAAAGAATATTGCATAATGAAAACATGATGTTCTTATGTATTTATTGATTTAAATGTTTTAAGACCCCAATCTAAATAAAAAATATATACATATACGTATACATATATATATTTCTTTTTACATTCGAATGTAGAATTTAAGAAACAGCACTACATAATTCACTACCTATGTGTGGGTGTATATATATATATATATATACGTATTTAGATAGCTATAATGTAATAAAGTGTGTGCTTACAAAGGGTATGCTGAGACTTGCCACAATTGCTATTATGCTATTTTGTTCATTGAAGTATTTTATATCCAGAACATGCTGCATACTACAAAAGTATTGTTTGCACTGGAGTCCCATATATACATACCATAAAGTTATAGAAAATTTTCATGCCATCATTCTAGCTTAAAAATCACAATTCTTTGTACCCAATTTGACTACATGCAGTTCACGATTTTTAATGTTTCATAATTCCTTTACTTTTAATGTAAAAATTGTTATAATTGGAGGATAATGTACAATATCTACTTAATACTATTTGTTACTTATATAATGCAAAAGTGAAGTGACTTCACACATTTTATCAGTAATAGTTAATTTTTTTTCCCTTTTGTTTTAGCATGTATTCACAGTTTAATTTTCATGCAAAATTTATGTTGTATAAAATTTAAAATACATGTATTGAAATTAATATTGAAATCTATATACCCCTAAGCTTTGTTTCGAATTTTTTAATAAGACCGAAACATTTGAATTATTTTGAATACGTGCATGTGTGTGTGCCTGGACGCACGTGTATATAACTTTTATAATCATTTAATTACTTATTATATCTTTGTTCTGCTGTTTAATATACGGCTAAAAAAAAAATTAATGGTTTATTGGTAGTAACTATACAAATAAAAAAGAATATTTTAAATGTTCAAAAAATTCAAAAAGTGACAATTATAAACGCATATAATATTGCTCAAAACACATTTACAGTTTATTTTTTGAAGAAAGAACGTGATTAATGTAGTTTAAACAAAAATTGAAAAAATATGATCAATTTGAGATCATTAGTCAAAACATAATAATTTTAATTCTTTTACAGTAGCTAAAATTACTTCAGAGTCACTGTATTGCTTCTTTTTATAAATTAATATTTACATTTTCATATAATGAAAATTTATATTTTAAATGCAAATGGTATTGTATTAATGGCTGTGCAAAGATTATTTCCATTTACTTTTCAATGTATAACGTGATCTTCATAAAATTAATGTTCATGGAAACTTATATGTTTTTGAATAATGGCTGTACATCTATAACACTAAATATGGATATAGCAATTCACATTAGCTAGATTTAGAAGGTAATGAAACTTGATAATTATCATAATCCTCCTACATATCAAGACCTTATATACCACATTCATACAGAATAAGTACTCCAATCAAACATTTTACAATCTTCTTACTATAAATTAATTACATTTAAAAAGAAAAATTATTAATTTACTATAATACAGCTAGCATCTTATTAAGTGTATCCAGCCTCCCTAAAAACGTTTTTATTTTCTTTACGTATTGTAAGTCTTTTTTCATAGTAATAGGAAAATGGTCAACTTCTATCATGTCATAGAGCGTAGAAGAATTCCAGATATGGCCAAAGCAAACAATTATTTACATCCATGGGATGTATTTATGTGGTTTTAATATACTGTTCGTTACTAAACGCAGTGCGTCAAGCACGTATAAATTAATTCATAGTTTTATGTGTCACTCCATGTATCCTATTTTAGGGAATTAATTTTGCTTTTCACAGCAAATAATAAACGAAAATCAATGACAGTGTTTGAGATTCTGTCTTTTTCTAGGCGCTGTTCACACTGGACACTGATTCTTCATTCTCTGCGTACACTATCGTGAACACATTGAACTCACTCACTAACCACTTGTCTGAAAAGATAAAATACGAATGCAATATATCTGCATCTTTTTACTAAATATGCAAGAAAGCTATATTATATTATATGTTCAACTCTGAACAAAATAGTGTTATCAATTATTAAAAATGATTACTTACAATTATATCACAATGAAGGAATATTCATATAGATGCGTCACTCAAATGCTACAAAAGCACGTATACAATATTAAAAAATATTTAATATACACTGTAAAAACTTTATCGATCATACTTACGAGATGGAGATCTAGTGTCAGATTGATTCACACCTGATGCATTTATTGCTGCAGGCCCACAAGACACGGATCCATTGGATGGATTAAAATTTAAAAAATCCCAAATTAATATGGTATCATCGTGCGATGATGATACTATCTGGAATTCATCAAACTGAAGACGAAATACACGCCCCGTGTGTTCCTACATCGTAAAAATACATGTAACGTAGATTTTCTTTTTTATAAAGTATCAATAAGTCCGTAAAACACATAAAATGTCTTACCACTAATGTACGTAGACAAAGTGAATTAGCTAAAGCACGTGGATCTAATGCTGCTACTAAATCCCATACTTTAATTTTTCTGTAACATAAGACATAAAAATACATACGATTAACGCAACGGTATGAAATTAAAATGTAAAAATCTTTTTTTTATGCTTACCCATCATAAGCTCCACTGACTATGTGCTTGCTATCAAATCTAATACATCTAACCAACTCTTCGTGTCCTTCTAAGACACGCAAGCACGCACCACATTCAATATCCCACAATCTGATTGTGTTATCACTGCTACCACTAACTACTAAGCAGTCCCTATATTGTAAACACGCTATACCCCGTTTATGTCCATTTAATGTTCGCACAAATTCGCAAGTAGATGTATTCCATACTTTGATAGTCCTATCACCACTAGCAGAAACTATATATTTTTCATCAAAATCAACAACATTCACTGCTGCCCTATGTCCCACTAATACTCTTCTTAATGCAATTTCCGTTTGCGATGTCATGTCCCATACCGCAATTGAACGATCCTAAACACAATTAAAAAATAGTATTATTCTTCGTAATTAATAAAATTATATAGAAATATACGAGAATACAAAATAAAACTATAACAAAATTTTAATGACCTTTGAACAAGTGACCATCATGCCATTGCTAAATCTAAGATGTAAAACTGCTTCACAGTGATGTATCAATGTGTTAACCATTTCTCCAGTGTTAGCATCCCAAACTCTTACAGTGCTATCAGAGGAACCAGATATTATTGCTTTATCATCATATTGTAAACATAAGACAGAACCAGTATGTCCTGTTAAGACTTTAATACATTGTAGTGTACTTCTGTCCCAAATTTTAATTGTATTATCTCTAAGACCAGAAACTATTTTTTGATCGTCATATTGCAAACAGTAGACACCTTTTGAATTTTCACTTCTACAGTTTATTCTTTGGAGATTAAATCTTCCCATTTTCCAATTATTATCTATACTATCGATATCTTTAACTATTTTAGGGTAAAGAGATCTATAAAAATTGTGATTTGGATGGCTCTCTCCTGGTCTTGGTTTAAATAAATACTGAATCCTAAAAACAAGAGTAAAGAGAAATTACATAGTTACGTGATCATAGATTCAATATACTCAATAAAATTATATTTCATAGAAAATATTAACTAACCATCCTCTTCTTTCAGCAAGACCTCTCCAAACTGAATCGGTCCGAACTTTACGTTCAATTAATTTTTTCCAAAGCATTCCTTCGCTGATTACTCTATGCCATTCTTTACATACTAATTCTGCAGCAATTAACGAGTCTGCATCAAGATAGGAAAGGATACTTTCTGCCACATGATCCAATCCCTTTTCTAATAAAAGAATATTATTTACAAAGAATTCGATTAGTTTTGATCAATCATTTTAACATTAAATTGTTAAATTAAACTTTTTAATACAATAAAAATACTCACTTGGTAATAAAGAAATAAAATCCCTTTGCAACATAGGCTTTAGATAGGCATTAATGTGTCCATGCTGGTAATGACACATTCTAGCTAATAACTGCTCAACAAAATTAACTTGTTCTGGTTCACTCCATTTTTCAAATAATTTCATACACATTTCCCTTTCTTGTCCATATTGTGCAGATATTCCTGAAGGTAGTTCTTTCTTGCGGGTAGGATCATAAAGTATTGTTATGGGATACTGAAAAAAGAAAGAAAGAAAAAAAAAAATACCATATAAGTTAGACATATTATTATTTACAATATATATTTATTCGTAAAATTAAATTTCTATAAAAGCAAAGAACGGAGAGAAAATATTACCGTTCAATTCATAATAGTATATCATTTATAAAATGAAAATATATCGAAAGTAATACATATATGTATATCGTATATCGAGATTGACCTACTTGTTAACGCTTGCTACCTCTGGAAACGAAAACCTTACAACAAACGGTGTATCTTGTCAAAGGTTTTTAATAAATGAAATTAAAGTTGAACATTTATATCATCGAACGCAATTAATCAATATACCATTTATAACATTTTATGATCGGCGGTTATTCGTTTAGAACAATAAAAATTATTTAAAAACTATGAATTTAGAATTTTGCTTTCTAACATATTTAGAAAGCAAAAAATTTCTTAATTAAATGCACATAGAGAAGATATTTATTTTGTAGAAAATTTTGTAATATACAGTTGCGTTATTGATGTTATTGTACACGTGTGTCATGCATACAACGGCCTGTGATTTAAGATATCGTGACCACTCGACTGTAAAAGGTGGCATAGCAACATTGAAGAGTCCTGGCGACCAAGGAGTACCTCCGATCACCTGAAAATGTTTCTCCGCGGTGCTCCCGGTATAACGGGATCACGAACTCGCGTCGAATCTACGCTCTTTGTATCTCTCTGTCTTCTTCCTTCCTATCTTTACATATTCTCTACGTCTACCGGTAAATAATAATATGAATTAGACTTAATACTTTCGTAATGAAATTATAGTAATTCGTTAATATCCAAAAAGTCCAATCATAGTGGTTAAGTATTTTTATCTAAAATGCTTGACAAAAATGAAAGAATGTTTATCTTCACTTTGTCCTCATATTTATAGATACTTTTCCGATAGAAGGAAAATTATAAAAATAATCCGGAGAATTCCAATTTAAAAACTTTTATAATTATCCTTGAATAATTAATACTTTAGAACGTTTTCTTATCTTTCTAAACAATACATGTATCAAGAAAAGAAGAAGTTCGAAGAAAACAAGTTTCGCAAATTCGTCGAAAAATTTACATATATCGCTGTTTCTAAATATTTTTTTTTATAACAAAACCTAACCGAAAACGATAACAAAATAAAAAATATGTACGTTAACGTTACAGGCGATGAAAGTAGAATGATGAGTCACTAAGGTGCTAAATTTTAGGGGGTTACTTTTTTTCGATAAGTCACGTTTCTTCTAACAATAAATATTTCAAACATCATGAAAATACAGAACATGACTAGAGTAATCCTATACAACTAAAACTGATATCGCAAAATATGTATCCGAACTGAAATTCGAATTCAAATATCTCGATTGCCGGGCAAATGTCTTAACTAATTAAACTTTCCAAATCGCTAATAAATTATTTCTGCCTAAACATAAATGGCTGATGCTTACATACATTAGCTTGTTTTTGTCAAGCTTGTTACTAAATCATAAATTGTTTGCTGAACCGTATAAACAACAGAAAAATTTACAGAGAGATATTAATCGTATATTTGTGAACTAAATATAACATATTACAACATTTACAATTTTGTACATTTATAATGAAATATGCAAATGTTACACTACAATACGTTCAATGACACGCATGGTAAATATAATTCCTATGAATCATATTTTATATAGAATAAAAATCTATATCTCAAGTCATTTAGGAAGTAACACAAAAATATAAAATTCAGTGAAAGTGTCAAAAAATGATGCAATCACGATTTTGATTGAGATAACAAGATAACTGTCATTGTTGGGTGTATGTATGTATATACATGCATAAATACAACTTGATGAAAGAGGTTTAGAGAATTGACCACAATCGTTATCATGTGCAGCAGCATACAATTAGATTCTATAACCTCTTGTTCGCAACATATTTATCTAATTAACAATTTGAATTGAAAAATACGTGTAATAGACACGAGCTTGTGAAAATGAAATAGATCGCAAAATATTAACGAATTTCTTCATCATAAGAAAACATAAGATGGCGTAGGTTTCAGGTCTCAAAAATACTAATATATGTTGCGTACCTGAAGATTCGTGTTTGTGTCTTCGATAATCTCGTCCGTTTCCATGTTCATCATTTTTATGCACAACTGGCACAATATTGTTAATCCAGGTGGTAGAAATAGATCAATTTAGCGGTAGGTTCTCCAAAAAGGATAAAACACCGTCTGAACACTAGCGTTTGACTATTCAACACGATCAACGACGCTCATGAGTCTTCGCCATGTACAGGAAGTTGAAACAACATTTCACCAACACAACAGTTCGTAAATAACTATGTCACTTCACGATGCCCAGAAACCTGATACGACTCTTAATTTATATGGAAAAAATAGACTAAAGTATTTCTTATATGTAACCAATGTACGAAATCTGTTAATTTTCTTTACAAATATATCAAGTACTCGAATGAAATCCACAAAAATATGCACAATCAACCGCCAGGCAAAAAGTTTAACAAGAGGCACTAACACCGCGGACTTGGCTACTGCTTCTTGTTTGACTGAAGCTAAGTTGATGGCGCACCAAACGCGAGACTTTCAAAATGGCGACTATGCGCAATATACTAATTTATACATATCTGCGCACCTTTTAATTGCATCCTTTTAAATAATTTTAAATCTTACCTTTGTTAAAATGGAGTACTTTATTAAATAAAATAGATGTTTTTTTAATGGCATAAAATATGTATTTACATTAAAAATGTATGCATTAATATTATTTACTACATATATAAATATATAATACAAAAGGGAGAAATGAATGTACAAAATAAAAAAATAAATAGAATTATTAAATGACCAAAACCGTCATAATTTGTTTTTAATACCACTGTTTGTCTCTTTTTTGTTAAATCCATTTAATCTGTTCATTCCTGTTCTTTGTATTTTCCAGTTGAATTTGCAAAGTAAGCACAGAATATGGTTTATGACATGCTTGTGAATCTAATGGTGGATAATAATGTCTATAACATATATATGTTAAAAAATATCCTATTATTGAACCTGCAACCACATCTAAAATTTTCAGAATTAGAAAATGCATTTATTCAAAGTAAAAACGTGCTTACCTTGCCAATGATGATGATAATCACAAGTTCTACTCAATGCAATTACAAGAGCAATGCCAATTGGTAATATAAATGCACACAATTTCCATGACTGTCCTTTGCCTATTAAGCTAAATGTATGTAACTTGCCAGCTACATACAGTGCGATAAAACCGAAACTTGCAAATGCAACTGTAAAATAAATTTAAGAAGTATGAAAATTTACATATATAATTATTTTAAAATTATATACTCTATATTATTCTTTAACATACACGAAGAATGTCCACTTGGAAATGACTTCTTGCCATCTCTTATAGCAACTGGATTTCCATTACATTTAAAATCTGAATTTACTTTGCCATCAGGAAAACATCTCCAAAAAAAATCTGGCCTAGGACGGCCTACCAAAAGATTTACATGATCAATATGTATATTAATTGATATATACATGAATATTAATCATAAATTAAATTAATCTTTCTAGTTTTTTACCAACTATAAGTTTTATGATGTCTGTAATAACACCATTAAATCCTAATGCTAAAGTTACACACAATATTGCTTGATAGCTATCAGTTTTATCTTTATAAACTAAAAAAGTAAGCAAGATCACCATAGCTGGCATTATGAAAACCAAAGGCTGAAAATATATATAAATTATTTTCAAACAATTAAAATTGAATGAAACATTAAGATACAAATATATGTAATGAAATACATTACCCATAATACTGTAGTTGGTACATATGAATCAGTTTTTGGATTTTTATATAACCATAATTCATCTTCATGAATTTTTCGTGTGAATGGTTCTGCCTTTTCTAGTTCGCTATATATTCAAAAAATAATACACTTGTGACAAAATCATGCAGGTACATTTAATTGGCATATGTTAAATAAAAACTTACATGAATAATACTACCAAGACAATTCTTAATAATATGTCAAACCAATGTCCTGTCAAAAAATCTGTACCACGTGTAACAGCCATTATGAATTTGAATAAACAATTGTAAACATAATACAACTATTAAACAAAATATGTATATATATACAAATGAATAGGCAATTATAAATTTAAATGATTCATAATGCAGATATACAGTTAGGTATGTACAAATTTGTATTTCTGAATAATACTGATTACTGAAAATGTAATCATCTTAAACCCACCTAAAAGAAAAATTTAATTAAAAAATTTGGTTTGTTATTATTAACCTTCTATAAAAACATTGAATAATTTGCATATAAAAATGAATGTTACCTAATGATTTATAATAATTGTTAAAAGTTCAATTTTTGTTTAATAGAAAATTAAAAATACATTTTTGAAAAGGAATGTTTAAGTGAAATACAACACTAAGATTTCGATGTAAAATATGATACATTTCATTTACACCATTTTGAATTGTATACTAACATTTTGGCTAGATAATAATATTAAAAGCACGATATTCATTGTTTTTGATACGATGATACCTTCATTTGAGAATCGGACTTTATTCTAATATACTGAATATGAAAAAAAAATTAATGTTTAGATTTTTCAATATATTTGGAGCCTTCAATGAAATAAGTATTGTTTTATTTTATCTGTTTGTAAATCGTCTTTAAAATTATTAAAGGAATCTTTAAAAAGTATGAAATTTAGTTGAATCTTTCAATTGTCGATTGATTGCTTAAACGCATCATAGCCATCAGTAGGCCACAGTATAGACATTTGTTGTTCTGAATGTTATGCGTTGTATAAATTGGAATTATATGTATATACATACCTATTACATACTTATTTACATATGTTTTTCGAAAATTTACTTTTCTTATTTCTCATTTGATATTGCACAGTAATTAAATCGATTCATAATAACTATTTCCTATGTACATATGAAGTAATTTTAAATCAATGGAGATACAAAATATATTCCTGTAATATTTTTGCTTTATGTGAGTTTTTGTGTATTTTTATGATAGATTATACTGTACTATTTTCTATCATTTGAAATAGAATTACGTGTCGTTATTACAATTGAATCAGTGTGATGCTACTGCTAAAAATCTCCATGTTGTTTAGTAAAGGTTAGTTGTATTAATGAATTTCTATAGAAGTATTCATTGAATACATTTACTGAGTAAGTTTCACTTTTATACATACTTCATCATGGTTTTTTCTCCTAAATATTATGAATGATTAATGTTATAATAATTTTATTTTAGCTATATACATTTAAGAAATAAAATAACAGCGATGCAAGATAACAAATAAATGGTTAGAACATCATTTGGAGAAAGGAGCATCTATACTTAGTGACAGATTTAAATAAAATAAGAAAGTAATGCTAACATCATCAGCAATGCCTTCCACGTCGATAAGTAGTTCTAGAGTACCAAGTCCCACCAGTGACACGTTTGATGAAAATCCAAATAGGTTAACTACATATTTGCATCAGCTTGCTGGATGTTATGAAACAGAAGATAATGTACTTGCAAAAGATCATTGTTATGCTCGACCATGGAATTGGAAACCAGAAAATGTTTATGTGAAACCAATAAAAAAATTATTTTTTTCAAAGAAATCCTCATTAATGTAAGGAATAAGAATAATAAAATTGTAAATATGGTAATTAAACACTGAATGATATTATAATTTTGATACATTAAATATTATAATTTTTCATACTTCAGAGAGAAACTTATTCAGGATGAAGAAATTAATATAGACGAAGAGAGTAACGAATCATCGATACTGCCGATTGATTTTACAAGAGCTAGACATCAAATGGATGAACTTCAACGGTTAGCAAATTTTGCTCGGCCGGATGAGAATGAAGATTGGGAAGAACAACTTAATAAAATTTTATGGACACCTGTTCAAAATCGAATATTTACTAAAGTTCTTAAAATATTTAATTCGGAAAGACTTGCGAGATTAGCTAAAGCTAATGGTCCAATAGAACCAATATACCGGCGAACATCGGTTGATACTGCTGCCAGAAGATTTCGGGAAGCATTGGCATCAGCCGGTTGGGATTGGAGACTTGCACAGTGGCTACATAATCTATTGTTTGATCATCTTCCTCAGGAGTACCTTGGGATTTATCTTGATATATTACAAACTTTAAGACTGAAAATTCCTCAACTTATTGATAAGATGATTGCTGTACAACCAAATATTAATGCAAAAACAGGTTCTATAACATGGGAAACTCTTGGCTCACTTCTTAAACGAACATGGGATCCGGTTAACCCAATTTTAAACATCAACAGACTTGTAAATATATGTTACTACATAGATCATCATAATGTGTTTATTTATACGTATTTATGGATATAATTATTATTGTTGTAGAAAAAATTACCAGGAAATCCAATTTTGATAATAGTTCCTTCTGGAGTTGGATCTAGTATGTCTTCTAGACAACATAAATGGATTTCACAATTGGGAGCTTTAGGAATGGTTGTTACTGTTCATACTCATTTAGGTTTGGCAGCTAACAGAATGACCATGATGGTGTGTATTGATCAACTAGTTCAAGCTACTAGAACTAAAATACAAGATATTAGGAGCGATTGTCCTGGTCGACCAATAATTCTTGTTGGTTTTAATACTGGTGCTGCTCTTGCATGTCAGGTATATCTTCGTATCAGTATACATATATTACTGCAATATAAAGTTTTCAACATTAACTTTAAACATTTATAGGTAGCACAAATGGAACATGTAACTGCAGTTATTTCTCTTGGTTTTCCTTTTACTACAGTCGAAGGAAAAAGGGGTACACCCGATGACACATTAATGGATATACGATGTCCGGTCATGTTTGTCATAGGGCAAAATGCTACACTTGTGAAACCCGATGATTTAGAAGATCTTAGAGAAAAAATGTTGGTTGAAACAAGTTTAGTAGTAGTTGGAACTGCTGATGATAATTTAAGAATTTCTACCGCAAAAAAGATATCAGAAGGTATTACTCAAAGTATGGTAGATAGATGCATCTTGGATGAAATTGGAGATTTTGTAGGCACTATTCTTTTGCAACCACATCCACTACCATTAAGACCGATGTCATTGTCAAATTATGAGAATAAAAACAATAGAAAAGAATCACGAAAACGAAGAAATTCTACGAGTAGTTCCGTTGAAAGCGAACCAAATTCACCGACTATAAAAAAGTCTCGACCGACTACGCCTATTTCGACAACAGTATCTGTTGGACAAAATACACCATCTACTACGATTTCTAGAGTAGGAACATTTAATACCCAGTCAAATTTAATTGCAGTAGGTGGAACGCATACAAATCATACCCAGACCGTAAAACGAAAACCCCGAGTTATTAGTAATCAAAAAGCACATTTTGTAGAACATTTAATAACGTCTAGGCTTTCTGGACAGGTAAATTTTTTAATGTAATTTCAAATTATGCTAAGGAAAACGGGTGTGATAACATTTATTTTTATTTCAGCCAAATTCAAATTCTGACAATGGTGGTATAACATTAAACATTGGTTCATTAGCAAGTTTAGCGCCTATTGGTCCAATACGACTAGCTCCAGCATCAACAGATCAAACTGTACTTAATGCAACAAAAAATATTCCCAAATCTTCGATTGCATCAACTAAAGTGTCTAAAATTGTACCATCAAATGTACAATTACAAAACGTTTCAAAAATGAAAGCAATTGTATCGTCAAATAAAGGTTTTTCTAAAGTAATATCAAGTAACTATAGGCATCTTAATATTCCTGACAACAAAAATGGAGATACAAAACTGGTTAATGTTCTAACAACGGCAGGAAATCAAATTAGAGTTACTACTACAACTACTTCAGGTATGTCTCATGTAAATAGTTATGTTTTTCATTACTGTTCATATTATTATATATATATATATATATATTTATTTTTTATAGCGATACATAGCAAGCCAACAATTGTTACGTCAAATGGAAATTTATCAAATATTTTGCAAAATGGCAAAAATTCCTTTACACTTACGAATAGTTCTTCACCTGCACGTGTGTCAGCAGCTTCCAGTATTTTACTTACACCAAATAATTCTATGGCTGTTAATGCAACATCATCTACATCGACGATATCAAAAGGTAGAATATTATTATCTAATCAAATACTAAGTAATTTACCTACATCATAATGTTTTTTAATTTTTAATTAAATTTACACCGATTTTACAAATAGTGGAATTATTAAGTTTCTAATCTAAATAAGCATAATTATAATCTACTTAAAAAATGACATTCTTTTTTAAAACAAAAATAACTTTAATTTCTAAATTTTATACATATGTATATGAAAATTATATATTTGAAATGTATTTTATTTTGATTATTTGCCAATTAAAAATAAATTTGCCAATTTATATATTGATACAGTATTCATAAAAACGAAAACAAAAACAAAATAAAAATTTTCGATTTACTTTACAACAAATAAGACATAAAAAGATGGTAATTAAGAAGTTAAAGCACACAAAACATAACAAAAGTTTCAATAATAGAATAATTTGTAAATGTTTAATATACAGTAATTTAAAGACAAGAGTACTGGCATGTTGATCAGAATTTAGTAAATTTAATAGATTTTATTTTTTCTAGTCATATTATTTTTTTTCTCATTATTAGTCAATTTATATTATTTTTTGCACTTGTCTATGTATTGTCGAATGTTTCTTATACATTATTCTTTCTATGAGAGAGAAAAAAAAGTAAGGGGATTTTGCCTATATATATTCTTGTTTAGCATGTAATGTCATACATGTCCAAACATAGCATGTATTTGTATCATTTTACAATTAATATAAGTTCATATATTCAAAAGAAGTCTAAAATGATATGTTGTAAATATATTAATACTATCGTTTATTTTATGTTAAATAAACATTTTTTCATGTAATTTGAATTTATTTGTTTCCCTATCCCAATCCTATTTGACATTAATTGTGTGCAAAATATTGCAATTAAAAATATTTAGCACATTTACTTTAAAAACATGTATATGAAACAAAGTGTAACATTAGTCAGAATGCCAATTCAACATTTTATTTTTCATCGAATTAAATTTTGCATGATTATATTACAATCATAATTAGTCAATAATCTGTTGTAAGAATGTATTTTTACAATTGATATACAACGGAAAATGTATCCTTTAATGGTGTTCATATTAATCCAATGAATTATGTACTAGTTTTCTATGCTTTAAAATACCGTTGAAACATACCTATGTATTTTATAGTGATGGACGACATGGCAACAACCAGTAGCTCTTCACATGTGATGCTCAGTTCTACTCAGTCATTGGACACGTTCAAGATGTCACAATTACCTCGTCAAGTAACAACCTGTAACAACAACAATACCTCTCATAACACATCATGTGGAAATGTAATTATGGTTGAAAGTTCTCTTAATACTAAACCTGCTTGTTCATCGGTGATAGTTCCATTAAGTAGTCACAATTCAGGGACTATTCTGCCACTATCTAACAAAATAAAAGTTACCCATAAATCTACCAAAAGTATGCCAAAAATTACAGTGAATACATCTAATTTACAAAGAATTCATAAGCCTCAAACAGTACAAAAGAATTCTCTTGTAAATGATATAGATGATGAATTAGGAAACATATTAGATATACCAATAATATTTGCAAAAGATGATGACAATTTAAATTCTATTGAGAAAAATCCTCCTTTATCACAAACAACTATGTCTCTGGACGTTTATGAAAAAAATACATCTAAATTAAGCAGTAATACTAAAGTTGTCCTTATAAGTAACAAACAAGACAAGTTGCAACAAACAACTAATAAATTTGTAACACCTTCTACCCAAGCTATTATATGTCCTAATGTTCCTGTACAAAATTTAAACCATGTAATATTACAAACAA